TCTCAATCTTGTTTTGGTTGATCCCAAAAGATTGCCTTTTGGCCTTTTGCTAAGGAAGACCTAGAAGGAGGTCAACCCTCTTGTGTCCCATACCTTTATAAAGAAGATAGAAAGGACTCAAATAAGATGTGGGGTGAACATCTTCACAAATGCCCTGCGTGGCTCTGAGTCCTAATTACATCTTTTTGAGCTGGCTGTACATGGAGATGGGATGGCACAGGAGAAAGTGAGGGGGAGTGAGGATGTGTAGAGGTGCTAGATACCTTAGCTAGTCAATCAAGTGCCATGAATCATTTACTAACAGCTGGTAAATATATTCCATGGAGACTGCTCTGTATCTCATATGCATCTTTCTGTGTATAATTTTAAGACGAAGTTTATTAAGTTATTTTTTAAACTTCACTATGTGATCATGAAAGTTAACTTCACATGTTTACTTCCAGAATCATTCTTACAGTCATTCTTATGGAATGAAGAGGAGGTCTTCTGGTTCTCATAAAGACCCACTGGTTAGTTATGTTCTGTCTCATGTCCCACTGTCTTGTGCTGCTGTAAAATTCCCTGATTACTTTTAGGGAACTTAAGAATTATGACTGCTTTGGTGTGTGCCTTAGGTATTGTTGAAATTTGATAACATACTGAAACATGATTTATCAGAATCTTATTTAAAAGTAATTTTGTTTTCACTTACAGGATTTAATATCAAGTTAGTACAAGAAGTTCATTAATCACCTATTTTCATTTATGAACTGTCCTTTGGAATATACTTCAAGAATAAGTTTAGTGAGAGTATTTATTTATTTATTTTTTGAAGATTTTATTTATTTATTTTGACAGAGACAGAGAGAGAGATAGCAAGAGCAGGAACACAAGCAGGGGGAGTGGAAGAGGGAGAAGCAGGCTCCCTGCATGGGACTCGATCCCAGGACCCTGGGACCATGACCCAAGCCAAAGGCAGACACCCAAACGCCCCAAGATTTTTCATTTATTTTTGAGAGAGAGAGAGGGAGAGAGATAGCATGAGCAGGGGAAGGGGCGGAGGTGGAAGCAGAGTCCCCGCTGAGCAGGGAGCCCGATGCGAGACTTGATCCCAGGACCCTAGGATCATGACCTGAGCTAAAGGCAGACACTTAACTGACTGAGCCACCCAGTCACCCAGGTTTAGTGAGATTTGTATCCTTATTTTAGAAATTTTATTTAGTTGTGGTGTTATAGGCAGTGCCAAACTCACAAATAGGTTTCATTGTGAGAGTTTGTTTGTAGGTTAAATTTTGGGAACGTGGAATGAATTTTCTGGTAGAAACAACGAAGTGTGTGTTAGCAGAGTTCCCATGTTGTCTTGCAGAAAACTCTTTAACCTAGAATGCCATTAAACTGCAGAACTAATAGTGCTCCATTCCAGCCACCTTGCTAAACATTTCTGTGGGGTAAAAATATGTCCAGAATGCCCATTTGGGGTATTAGGAATGCCTCTTTCTGTTGGGCTGCCACAGTACTGGCGGGAGAATCACTCCCAAGCTCCCTGTTAACTGGTTCCTGTGGAAGGGGCTCCGACCTTTGGTGGGGTGAGAGAGGATCAGTAGACTTTGGCAGGTAGAAGGGAATATAATGGAGAGGACATTAGTGAGAAGCGCTGGAGGGCGAAGCCTTGGGAGCCCTGGGGAGAGGTGAGTCCTGGTGCCTTGTTGAAGGGATGGTGTGGGGAGGCCAGGCCAGGAGTGGCAGGGGTCAGTGGGAACAGGGATTCCCCCACCGCCCCCCACCAATTGCAGTGTCAGCAGTGCAGGAGGAGTCTGTCAGTCAGGGATTGCGGACATTTCCTTAACTCTGAGTGAAAAAGATGGCTGGATAATTTAGAAAGGGAGTTTTATAGATGACGTCCTCTTTGCCAGGTAATCACAATCCGTATAATGGCCCCTTTGTGCGGCGTATTGAAGATGAACCTGCCATAGATGTTTTAGGCCAAACCTATTTCGTACACACTTGCACTGTGTCTTTGGTAACTTAATTCGATATTTTGACAAATAATGGGACTAGGAGAAGTTTGAAGAAAAAGACTACTATTTTCTGTGGCATTGCCAAGTGGATTATAAAAGTGGTAATTACTCAGTTGTCTTGGATTTTTCAAGGATGTTACTAAGTATGACATGAGAATAAATCACTTATCATTTCCATTCCATTTTGACTGAGGGTTTATGCTCATGTTTTTAAAGTAAAAAAAAATTAGTAATGACTTGGTTTGAATACAGTTAACCTTTAATATTAGTCTTTTTTTGGAGACTTGAGATAATTATTATTTTGACTTTTACTTAATGCAATTCAGTGCTTTAAAGTCATTGTTTTGGAGGAGAGAGGGTTTGGCAGTATTAGAGTTTGCCTTTGTGTATTGTCAACAATGTTTAACCTAAGGAAAATGTGTTTAATTTTACTTTTTGCAGAGTGGACTCTACTTTGACCAGAGAAACTATAGCAGTCTTAGACATAGCAAACCCACCTCTGCCTACTACACTCGGGTTTGTCTCAAACTTTTTGGCTTTGTGTGTTTTATCTAACTTTAACGCACTTCTAACCCCTGGTTTTTGCATTTTGACTAGTTAGAACTAATCTGTGAGTGGCTGTGTGTACACTGATTTATGGTAACTGAATTCATAGAGCCTGTGTATCTTTAGATGATGTGAACTATTGAACCACCACATTTATAAATGAGTACCATTTACCCCAGTTTTTTATTTTTTTATTTTTTATTTTTTTAAAAGGTTTTATTTATTTATTCATGAGAGACAGAGAGAGAGAGAGAGAGGCAGAGGGAGAAGCAGGCTCCCAAGGAGCAGGGAGCCCAATGTGGGACTCGATCCCAGGACCCTGGGATCATGACCTGAGCCGAAGGCAGACACTTAACCATCTGAGCCACCCAGGTGCCCTTCCCCAGTTTTTTAAAATAAAAAATACTTAACATACAAAAATGTTCAAAGAATTGTGTATTAACCACCCACATGCCTACTACTTAGATTCTACAATTAATATTTTACTGTGTTTCCTTTATCGTATTAATGTCTATCCATCTGTCTGTCCATCGATCCATCTTTTTTGGGGGGATGTATTTCAGAATAAGTTGTAGGCATCACTACACATCATGGTGGTTTGCCTTTTAATAAAAGCTTACGTGTAAAAATTTAAACTGTAAATGGGATGTAAAGAATATTATATTTGTTTAATGTTAGAATCCTTGTTTTTTCAAGACATTTGGCACATCATACATTTAAAACATAAATATGTGGCACATAGTACATGGAAAATAATTCAGTTGTCAAAACCTGCACACGCAACTTAGATATTCTTATTTTCCCTGTCTGATGGGCTTGGAAAAAAGAGTTGAAAATTATTTTCAGATGACGTCAGAAGAGGAAAGATTTAATTCCATTTTTAAAAATGCTGTGCCTTGTTAGTGACTTGAATTCGTTGTGACCAGTACATTTTTTTCTGATTAAACTAAGATACTTTGTCCATGGGTTATGTATTTGTAGTGTAACTTGGAAATCATTTACCTGGTTCCTCAGCAGTCAGGCTAAGCTCATCAAGAGTCTGCTGTGAGATCTCAGAAAGTGTCCCAGGAGCTTCTGGTGACCCGGGTGTGGTCGCTGTCCTCCACACTCTCTGTGCCGTGGCCCTCTTTTCTTGAGTGTTTTCTTAGGTTGCCACCCCATCTCCTAACATTACTATCGAAAGCCCAGTAAGACTTAAGCACATTTATAGAAAACTATTCCAGGTGTTTCTCTTATCCCTTAAAATGGGTATTCAAAAAGATTTCTAATGGCTAAGTTTTCTTCACCTTATGTGTTACTTAACTATCGTAAGCACTTAGGAATTGCTCATCAATTATGGAGTGTAGAATAAACACAGCTTCTGCTCTCGTGATGGAGAGACCAAGTCTCCTTTTGCTGAATTATCTTGTTCTGTTTTGTTTTTGTTTCTTAACAGTCTTCTTCCCTGTGTAGTGACCCTCTGGCGACCTCAAAGAGTACCAGGGTTAGTACTTTCTAAGAAGTGTGTTGCCTTCAGAGCTGAAGTTGCTTTTCTTTGGGTTAAATCATGCACTTTTTTCATAGGCCTCCTCTACTGCAAATTCTGGTCTGCTGAGAAGTACCAGCCTGGTTTGTATTTTTCTCTTCCAATGTGTATACTCCTGGTGGATCCACTCTCATGGTGCTGACCCTGGCTTGACAGCTTTCCTCCAAAATAGTCAAGGACACATGGCTTTGATGCTATGTACACTGCAGAATGTGCTGCCAATGCTTAAAATGCAAAACTTTAGGGTAGTAAGAAAAAAGAAACCCAACCAGCCCTATTTTCCAGATACTGCTGGCTGTTGGTAGGCCCTTGCTTACAGTTGGTTTCCTGTAGAGAAGACAAACTTGCATGGGCCCCACTACACTTGTATACTTTTGTGAGATGGTTGCCCATGCACAGATGTCATATTTCCTTTGGGACAGCTCTGGCCTTGGCCGTGTTAATACTAGGCTCTAATAAAGCAAGCTGACTAGGAAGCAAAAGCCATTATCTGTGTAACGTGCGCCATAGCTCTGTGTAATGTGCAAGTTGTGAGCTGGCTGTTGCTTTGTTGTCCTGTGGCCTGTTCTCGTAGACTGGCAACTGGAGGCTTTGTAGGTTCATTTTATTGTGCCAGTGGGCAAAATGCTTTATGTCCCTCACTTTCCTTTTCTGCTCAGTCCCCTCTTGAGAGAGAATAAATTCATAAATGTTCCTTCTAGTTTCATAACATGATGGTAAAAAGAAGTACTGTAATGGTGCTTTTTAAAGGAAGTGTGAGTTTGAAGTTTTGGGACTGATGTAGGACTTTACGCATATCAGTGAGTTTTCTCACCTGACACACTACACTACAACACTTTTTTGGAACTGAGTACTTCGAAGAAGTTGTGACATTTTCAAAACAACTTTGATACCTGAATAAATAGATGAGTGGTATTTCCTCTGTTCTTTAGGTGTCATTGTATGATGGTGGATTATATAAACCTTACGGGTCTCGAACTGTAAGTCCAACCAGGGGAAGGTGGTGAGGAGGGCGGTGTGTGGGTGGGTACAGTTTACTTACAAAGAAAAAGTCATTTAATCTGACCTGCAGTTGCTCTATAAGCTCTGACCCGTAAGCTAGCCAACTGTGACTCTCAGCCAAGTTGTGAGGAACTGCCTGCCGGAAATCATGGCTCAGAGTATGAAGGGAATATAAGTGGAGAAACCTCCTTTCCTGCTCATTAGTCCCTGAGGAAGAGGATGGGAGCAGTGCTCCTCAGGGCATCCTCTTCCCCTCCTCACCCTCCAGCTGAGGGCTGCTGGATCTGGGGGGTTGGGAGGGAGGTAGAGTTCCAGACCTGGGAGGACAGTCACCTTCACCCCGGGACCCAGCGGCCACTTAGGTGCAGGGTCACGAACGTATTCCCCCAGCAGGCAAAGGAGGTGGCCATTATTGTAAAACCTTTCTTCTTGGAAACTTTATAGCCATCTGAATACAGTTATTACTCATCAAGAACAAGTTCGGCCCGAAGCAGTCCTGTGGTGAGCTGTCTGGTCTCTTTGCATGCTTTATAGATACTTTCAGTTGTTTCCTTAATCTGTACTCACAGTTTGGAATATTGAGGATGTGTGTTTCACTCTTTTGTGCATGGATTATCATTTTCCTTCAGTACACAGACTCAGGTATATTAATTTGTCCTAATTGGTTTTTGTGTGAATGTGACTTAGCACACAATTTCTGAAATGAGTCTGGAACCAGTGCCATTAGAATTTTTAAAAATTCTGTATTGTTGTTTATGTGAACTTCTTATCTTTTCGTGGTGATGATTCACTGTATGGGTTGGTTATCTTATGTTTCTCTTTTCTGTCTCTGCTTCCTGCATTGAGCCATTTCACTTGCTTGCCAGCACTTCAATCAATGGAGTGAAAGGAGAAGTAATAAAAAAAGTCAGCTTTTTTTTTTATGTTGAAAATGTAATTTTAATAGATAATTCTTCATCTTACATAGGAGCCCAGTAAAATACACCACATTCTGAAGAAACTCCAGAAGTTATGAGAATCAAGAGTGGGGCAAATTCAGACGGGCTACAATATCCATTACCTTAAATAGTGAGAGACAAAGGTTCCAACCTGCGGGTTAACATTTACATACTCAGGACTGGCTACACTGATGACTTACAAAGAACAAGGATAGGGAATTCGATATGGAGAAGGGTGGGAAAGAACAGTTTTTTGAGGGGAGCAACTCTGTCAATGCAGAAAAAAATTACTGAATATCACAACAGGAGCTCCCATAGCAAATACTGAAGGATGAAAGAATCATTACTGAGGATCTGATACTTTCAAAGGAAGAAACCTTTCAGATGACACTTACGCAAGGTGGCTGCTTGAGATCTGCTCATCAGGTCTATAAGGAAGCCTCATAAATGCCTCAGCAACCCCAAATGATTATCAGATTGGTGTTTCCTAGTAGCACATACCAGTGGTTACACAGGAGGTTTCCAGACAAGAACTAAGAAAAAGGTCATATCCCAAATGCCAGACACAAACAAATGTGGCACAACATGTGAGTCCTGCACAGTCACAACTGCCGCTTTGCTGTGACTCTCCTGTACAGTAAGTTTCAAACATCATGGCAAGACACCTATGATCATCTAATCAGACAACACAAACACATTTATTCAAATTTCTAGGAGGTAAAAAAAAATCAAATACCAATGCTTTATGCATGCTCAGGGCCAGCTTATAAATACTCCGTTCAGTGACATCTTAACACAAGTTTGCATCAGGGAAAAGAAACTGGCAAAATCCACCTCCTGCCGGATCAACTTGTCAGATGGTGAAGACCAAAAGAGAATGTTCCATCAGTTTTAATTTTTAAATATGATTGTCACATTGGGAAAATGAAATAAACACAGTAAAATAAACTGTACAAAGGCAAAGTAGAATAACAAAAAATATTTTACTAAAACATAAGATTTACAGAAGTTTCCAGACAAGCCATACAAAATGGTCACAAGCTTTTTCTTGAAGGAAGGATTCTACACTTGACAGCAAGTCACAATGGTATTAGTGAGGGCTGTGATGTTTGTTTAATGTTCCCATTTTGGTTCAAACAATCAAGCTTGTCCATCTACAGCGTCTAAATAAAGTTAGACTTGGCTAGAGAGCATATTCTAAAGAACTGGTTAGCTGCTTTTAACCAATGCAATTAGATCACCATAAAAGGGGGGAAAGGAGCCCAAAAAATTAAAATAAAACTACCTCTTCCCCTCAAAAAAAGTAATAAAGAAAAACACCCACACCCCTGCAGCTAACCCTGACAACTACCTTCATTCACAGTGCTTTATACTCAAACCATGATGGGGAAATGAATAAAAGCAGAGAAGGGCCACTGCTTTTAAACGTTTCACAACAATCCGGATGGTACTTCTAGCCTCTGCTCATGCTTTACAACAGTGAATCAGGACAAGACATAGGTTTGCTAATGTGCATTTAATCACCAAAGGACTGAAGATGTCTGGGCTTTTATTCTGTAATGTTTCTAAGACTGTGTCCATTAAATGCAAACAAAAAAGGAAGAAGTCTTGGCAGAACAGGAGAACAGGAGAACTTGATGATCAGATCGATTTTAAATATTATTCATGGCATATAGCCTAGTCCATGCTCTAGCTGTTTCTATGGCTTGGGCTTCGTTGGTCTTCCACTGCTCCGCTACATCATTTGCTAATGGATCATCTGGATTGGGAGCACTTAACAAAGCCTGGATCGATAGCAGAACTGTGCGGATCTGCAGTGCTGGGGACCACTTATCTTTCAAAATATCTAAACATATTCTTCCCAACTTGTCTACATTAGGATGATAAATTTTGGTCATGAAACGTACTTTAGGGACTGCCATCGGGTATTCTTCTGGTAGGAATAGTTCAAGCTTAAAAGTCCCTCCCTCAAAGGGGGAATCCTGGAAGCCAGCAATGACCACATGAAAATAACGGGCGTTGCTCTCATCTGGTTCTGCTTTAATGCCAGGAACTGGTTCTGCCAGCAAACGCTGGGTTTCCTTGATAATCCTGCGGGGCAGCCCAGCCATCTTGTCAGATCCCGAGTTCGGCCTCTGGTCTCAACAAGTCAGCTTTTAAAAATTGTTTACATAAAAGACAAAACTGGGATAATTCTAATCTCCTAATCTTTCTGGAATATTAAAACTTTTTTTTTAAGTTATAAAAGTAGTATTAGCTTAAGGAAAGTCCAAAGTAAAAGTCCCCTGATCCTTTCCCTATGTTCCATTTTCTACTGAATGCATTTTGGAGATAGTTTTATGTCAGCACATTCTTTTTAATGGCAATATATTATCCCACTAGTGCATGGGTTGTTCATTTCTTTTTGAGGATTTCTTGGATAGATTTATTTTTTTCGTAGGTATTGTTTTTGTTTTTTTGCTTTTAAATTGGAAGTATAGTTGACACACAAGGTTACATTAGTTTCAGGTGTATAACATAGTGATTTGACAACTCTGTATATTATGCTGTGCTCGCCGCAAGTGTAGCTCCCATCTGTCACCATACAGTGTGATTACAGTACCATTGATTAGATTTTCTATGCTGTGGCTTTTATCCTTGTCAATCATTAAATAACTGGAAGCTTGTATTTCCCATTCCCTATTGATGGACATTTAGGTTGCTATATTTTTGCTACAGCAAACACTTGAGTAATGGACTTTCGTATTCAGGTGTATTTTTGTGTACTTATGAGTAGATCTCATGTAAGGTAAATTGCTAATCATTAAATGATGGGGGTCAAAGAATATATACGTTTAAATTATGATGCGTATTGCTGTATTGCCCACCAAAGAGACTAAACTAATTTACATTTCCAATGGCAAATGATGACTTTAGGAACTACTTTGTTATTCTTGACAGTGTCAAAATAGGAGAAATTACTAAAGCAGTTTCTTAATGGTCAATACAGATTGCTCTGTGGAGTGGAATAGGTGAGCTATATGGATTTTATTTTATATTCATGTTGGGCTCTGTTCTCCTGCCATTTCCAAGTGGCACTTCTCAAGAATTCCACTCCTATACTTAACAAAAATGTACACAGGAATGTTTAAGGAGGTAAATGCTTTTTGATCTAAGTAGGAAGTTTACTTTTACCTCACTCCGTAATAAAATTCCACTTGGCAATTCTTGGGCCCGGTAGCATTTTTAATGTACCAATATGATGGCCCCTTGCAAACAAAATTATGGCAGTACATTTTCAGTCAAGTGTAGAACCTTGTCCTTCCTTGTGTGCTGGCTACATCTTGTTTCATTTGCAAGTTGGGTTCAGAGTTATTATCTCGGTGATGCCAGAATGGTTCCTCAGTGATGTCAGAATGGAGGTAACTTATACACACGGAAGATGAGTCTTCTGCTGCTCGTGAAATAGGAAGAAAACTGTAGGGTGATGTTAGAAATATCTCCACCCATTGCATAGGAATGAATAAAGGAAAATAAGAATCATCATTTCAGTGTCCTTGCTGGTAGGAAATTCTGTCTTTGACTTATTTCACTTGAAGATATTCTTATATTTTCTCTCCCAAACTTAAGCATTAAGTATACTTGTTGACCCCCTGATGGGCTCCAAAGGGCCTAGTGGTTTAAAAAGCATGAAATCCCTAGCTGGTTTTGGTTGGTCTATTTATGCCCTAGCCCTCCACTCCTGTCCTCTTTTTTTCTACAACTTAAATAAAAGAGAAAGTAGTATTTTATTCTTTGTGCTTTTTAGAAATATCGTTTGGTTTTTAACGATAGTTTATTATACTTTGAAGCCACTTTTCTGTTTGATGGTGCACAACAGATGGTGCTAATTATATGCTCATGTAGAGTAATTGCATGCTTCCCCAAACCTTACCTAATGTGCTTACAGCCAGGTAAGACCTGTAGTGAAATCACATGTTTTTCATTATCTGCTTTTAATATCTGTAGTTTACCGATGATGACACTGCAAGCATTGCATCTTCTGGTCGTGCCAGTCGTGGGCGAAGGGACAGTGTGGTGAGCGTGGTTTGCATGCAAACTCATACAATAAGTTTTTAAATTGCCCCCCTATATGTGGTCCCATGAAATCTACTGGAAAGTGAAATTTGCATTTGACAAAAATGAGCATTTTCCTCAAATTTAGCTTATCTGAATAATTTGCCTTCAAAAATGTGTTCCTGTGAATATGTATTCTCTGTTGGGCGATGGAAGCTTTCATCAGTAACTTGCCTCTTTACACCTCTTATGTGCTGGTCTTTGTGTATTTGAAAGATTTTCACTTTTTATTCTTTGTTGCTGTTTTATGCACATGCATTTATGTGCACAGTTCACCAGTAACAAAAGTTACTGGAATGAAAAGTTATTCATTCCGGCAAAATGAATGTTCCACTAAAACTCGTAACTATGGATTACAAATCATGTTGCCATCAGTTGCTTTCTTCGCTGTGTATTTTAAGATGTATTGTTTATAGTTTATACATCTTTTAAGACCTGTGAACTTTTTAAGAGTCGTTGATGGCAAAATTTAGAAATTCTGGCCAAAAATTCAGCTAGCGTAGTAATTGTAGAGACAACAAATAGCTAGGTCAAAATACAGATTGGTGTAATTTCAGATTATTCTTTTGATGATGCTGGAAGTTTTTCAGAGAGCTGATGACATTTTTGCTATATTTAAGAATTGATTTGAAAATTACATTGGTAAGCATGATATGTCAGCTTAGAGCTAGAAAAGAGCCATGTTTTGTGAAAGATTGTAAACCTGAAGTTTTCACAGAAAAGGGGAACACCGAGTGTTTGTGAGATTTGTTGCCAAAAATGCAGTGACTTGTTTAAGGCAATTGTGGTCAATTGGTGAGCCAGTTAATGCTCATACAGCTGAAGGAGAAAAAACAAGCCAGGACACCTGAAAGCACCTTGGAAAGTGAAGGAGTAGAAAGGGCAGGCAGGGACTTTAAAGTAATGATGCCTGGGTTTGAGCCACTTCTACAACCTGTTAGTTGTGTTAATGGCAATTTATTTGTAATGGGGATGTTAATGACTGTCTTTGTAGGTAGGCTTAATATATGCAAATGAATACTATATGGAAAAAGATCTAGAAAATTCTTGAGACAGTAGGAACCAGTAAAATATTAGGTATATGTAAATCTAAGTTGTATTACTATTACTATGAATAAAAATATTGTTGCTTGACTGCATTAGCCCTTAGCAAAACTTCACACTTGTAAGCTGCCTTTGTCTCTGTGGATGGACTTCCAAATTCCCTTCCTGGAATGGAAGAGTTTTTAAGCAAGGTAATCAGACAGAGCTGAGGTAAGGAAAGCTGATAAGTGAGGTAAAAAATACTCCTTACTTATTAGTTCAACAGATGTTTATGGAGTACCTGTTATATGTGAGGCACTGTATTAAGTGCTGGGAATAATGTGGTAAGCTAGACCAGATTTCTGATTTCGTGGAGCTTATATCCTAGTGAAAGAAATAGAAAATAAGTAAACAAAGGAAGAAAAGAGAAGTAACCCCAGGCATTGTGAAGAGAACAGCAGGTGATGGGACAGGGAACATTGAGGGATGCATGTGCGAGTGTGCATCCCTTTGGATGGCGTGGTCAGAGAAGGCTTCCCCCAGAGAAGTGACCTTTGAGCTGCAACTTGGAATGGGAGGAGCCAGCTGCCTGAAGAGCGAGAGAAGAGCTTTCTAGGCCAATGAGAAAGTCTCAGGTGGGAAAAGACTGAGTTTGGGGAACCAGAAAGGGGCCAGTGTAGTTCTTCCATTATTTTGTCTCACAGTTCCTGGTCTTGAGGAATATGAAAAAGGGGGAAGTGTAGAAATTGGGCAAATAGTGCAATAAATACCCTGCAAAGAATGCTGCATTGAGCATATATATGTGCTTAACAGAGTTGATAGCTGTAATGAACTCTAAGTTTTTGAAATATGGTAGAGGCTTTGGGTAAATATTATCCTAGTGAGGATGATGCATGTGCTAAACACGGGAGCCTTTGCTGGCCCTTGGCAGTAAATGATCTCTGTGATATACAACTCGAGTTAAGGTGCATAAAAGCTTGTTTAAGGGAGCTGTGATTTCCTTTAGGAACCCCTTTACATTTCTTTTCTACTTTTTTTGAGTAGGTTAATTGCAGCGGTATCGTCATTGCATGATACTTTATCAAGCACCAAAACAATATTTTTTCCCCTCATTTGACAATGTTCTTATCCTTCTCCTCTCTCTTTTCTTGACCTTTAAAGCATTTCATTTTTTCTGATTGAAAGGTTTCTACCGCTGATTATTTTAGCCGCTCCAATCGTAGGGGGAGTGTAGTCTCTGAGGTGGATGACGTCAGTATCCCCGATTTGACCAGCGTGAGTGTATTGCATGGGGGTGGTTTTGGTGTCTCAGGCTTGTGACTAACGGCTAATACATTAGCTATTTGAAAGTTAGGAACTTAATTTACTGCTTTAATTTTTATTGGGATACAGTAACATAAAGTATAGTTATTTGTTTTGTTTTGGAATGTATATACTGATATGCTCTGATTTTTTAAAAAAACTTTTCTGTGAAAAATTTCCCCTGTAGAGCCCATCAGTAGCTCCAAAAATTACCAGTGTTTTGCCAGTTTTGCTTCATCTCTTTCCTTCCTTTTCCTTTTTTTTCCTGAATTATTTTAAAGCAAATCCCTGTCATTTCCCAGTAGTTTAGTATGCATCTCTAATTGAGAATTTCTTTTTCATATTTATTCTACCATTATCATACCTAATAAAATTAAAAATAATTCCTTAAAACCTCTAATACCTAGCCCATATTTAGATATCCCTGATGAGTCTTAAAATTTTTCTTCCCTTTTTATTTTGGTGAATATATAAAGTATTAGACAGACTTTGAAGGTTGAACAATCGAAGATATTACTTAGTAAAGTGTCACTAATTTGTGGTAACTGGGAAGAATCTAAATAGATTTTAAACATCTGCACTATGGCATTATTTTGAAGAAATGCCTGTCCATTGCTTTCACATGCATTGGGAACTGAATTTAGGAAAGATTGTCCTCGACGCCTTGAGGCATTTGTCTTAATGAAGGAACTCCAACCAGCATATATCTCCCTGCCTGATCTAATAGCCTCTTTTTCTCTTTGACACCTCCTGTCCCTTGCTGGGATTAGTTTTGTTTTGCCCATAGACCAATGCTGTCTGATTTTCAAGCACTTTGAAGCAGGTGAGAGGCAGTGTTTCCTAACCAAAACGTTAGTTTTTGAATGAAGAGATATTATTTATATTTAGCACATTGCTCGTTGTATTTAAATAGCTATTTTTGAATGACTTTAATCCTGGAAAATAATTTTAAGTATGGTCCGTAAGTATCCCAGATTGTTGGATCTCAAACCTGGCTGTTTAGTAACCCTGTCTTCTTGCCCTCTGTTAGATCAAGGAACCTCTGCACGCTGAGTTGGAAGATTGGCTCCCAAGTCTTTCCCCTGAAATATTGCTCATTTTATTGGTTTGCTTAGCAACTTATTCTTTTTTTTTGTAGATATAAACAATTTAATTTATTGTATACACCTTTTTTTCTTAAAAACTTTGAATTCTATTAGCCTTTAATTTGTGTTGGTGGTTATGTCCTCCTTATATATATTTCTTGGCAATTTATTTTAGTAACTACACAGAAGTGATAAGCTTGATAGTTTAAAAAAAACTCTCCCTGCTTCTACTAATTTAATATAACTCTTTTCTTTACCCAGGTAGTTATTTTGGTTTATTTACATATTTTTAAATAAAAATTATACATATTTAAGGTGTATAATGTGATGATTTGATATGTATATGTTATATCAAATCATCATGCTGTACACCTTATAACATAAACAAAAGATTCTCTAGAGCAGTGATTAGCAAATATGGCCAGCAACCTCTTATTTTATAGCCTGTGAGCTAATGGTTTTTATATATTTTTTCATTATTATCTAAGTACCTATATGATATCCTTAATTTTGCCTTTTGGCAAAGCCTAAAAATTTGCTGTTCCCCTCTCTAGAGCAAGAATTTTCTCTAATATTATTTCTTTTAAAGGGTAACTATACAGCTCATTGTAGACAAATGAAAAGTGGACTTGACATTGGTAAGATCCCCCAACACACACCACTTTTTGATATGATAAGCTAGGAAATCTGCATTTTTATGTGAAATAGCCTGATTTTAAAATGCTGACAATGAATTCAAAATTTTAAAAGTCACTTTCAGGCTTCCCCATTGTGGATCAGATACATGTATACATTCTGCTCCATTTATAACTTCTGAGTTAGGAGTGCTGAAAAAGGGTGCTAGGCCCTGATTTGGCAAGACTCATTATACGATATTTATGATTGCTCAAGCCTCTGGTCTTTTCTTCTGCGTTGTTCCTTTGTCCCATCAGTCAGGCTGGGGAAAAGGATGTAAATGTGCTTTCATTTTACTGATTGTTAATAATCAGACTATTTCTGAATGAAATCCTCAGCCATTTTGGCTTTAGGAGATTATTAAAATTAATTGCTCCCTTCCCTTCTGTGGTTAGGGAATCAGTCGTCAGTTTTCTGGGTTTTTTTTTCCTCCATTAAACAGAATTTTTGATGGATATTATTACATCCATATATAAAATTAGAAGTTAAAGGATTAGACTCCAATAACTACATTAAACAACAGTATAAATACTTTGTTTGACTATAATTTTATAACTTAAAAAAGTTTATTCAAATGCCTTAATATGGATACCTTTATCTTCTGATCATATATATTACATTAGATTTACTGATACAGTTGACAGGAATGGGTGCAGCGTGATATACATCAGATATGCATAGCTCAATTACATCAAATCTCTGATACTTTTTTAAATATATTTTTTAAGATTTTATTTATTTGAGAGAGAGAGAGAACATGAGAGTGAGAGTGAGAGAGAAAGAGACCACAAGCAGGGAGGAGTGGTAGAGGGAGAGGGAGAAGCAGATTCCCCACTGAGCAAGAAGCCTGATGCCGTACTCGATTCTAGGACCCTGGGATCATGACCTGAGCTGAAGGCAGATGCTTAACCTACTGAGCCACCCAGGTGCCCTCAAATCTCTGATATCCTTTTAAGAAAAAAATATAATTAGAACAAGATGTAAGTCTTTATTTCTGAACACCTCTTTTTAAAAATCTTTTTTATTTTTTCTTTTGAGAGAGAGAGCGCACACAAGGGGAGGTGGAAGGAGTAAAGGGAGAGGGAGAGAGAATTTTAAGCAGGCTCAACACTCAGCATAGAGCCTGACCTGGGGCTTGATCTCACAATCCTGAGATCATGACCTGAGCTGAAATCAAGAGTCAGATGTTTAATCAGCTGAACCACCGAGGTGCCCCTCTGAACAACTCTTTTAAATGACAGTATTGAAATGTATTTACAACTAGAATTCTTTCTGTTCAAAAGGTTCAGTTGTATTTTACCATTTTAGTAAGGTAAAATTATCTGTCAAACTAAGTAGCCATATGCTGAAATGAAGTTCAAAGGGCTTTTTAACCAGAGAATAAACAAACATCTTTCTTTTAAGAAGAAATAGAGTTTCAAGGATTTGACAAGATATGTATTCTAAGAAATATTTCTCACATGTACTAATTTCAACAAATATTCAAGGAGTTTAGATTTAAAGAGAAACAATCCATAATTTTAATGTCAAGAGCAAAGCATTTTCAGATGTCCCAGACATAAATAAGGCAAAGGCATTTATCACTGAAATGTGGGAAAGATTATATTTATTTAAGATTTTGTTTACTAGTTGATAATGTGAAATTCTTTAAGGAAATACTGCTTTTGAACTTTAAAGCATTCAAATTGGAATACAAAGTCTGCTACCATGTGTTCTTTTTTGAAGAGTTGTTTGTTAGAGAGTATGGACGCACGGGCATGTATGCTAGCAGGGGGGACAGAGTAGCAGGGGAGGCAGGCAAAGGGGAGAGGGCATCTCCAGCAGACTCCCCACTAATCAGGGAGCTGGATATGGGGCTCTGTCTCAGGACCCTGAGATCGTGACCTGAGCTGGAATTAAGAGTCCAACTCTTAACCAAGTGAGCCACCCAGATGCCCTTGCTCTTCTTTTCACATTAATATGAATATGAAATATTACAAGCTTGTTAGCTGACTTCTAAGTTCCATCTATCAAAGAAACCTTTTCTTGATTGGAGAATTACCTACTTAATTATTTAAGGATACAATGACATGATATTTACTTGAAACTTTTTGAGAATAGTAAGCTATAGTTAACATTAATGGCTAAGTCCTGAGGGCCATATTTGGGAGAAGGGGGGAAGATTTGCTTAGTGTTTTTTTGTTTTGGGTTTTTTTTTTTAAATCTACTTTTTTATTAGCAACTTTCTTTTTTAGCAACTCGATTTACTTTTAGTATTTTTTCTATCTCGGTTTAATTTGCATGTTTTACAGAATTGTGACCATATAGTATATATAGCCTTTGTTTTCTGATTTCTCACTTACTAATCTTATAAGATCCTCTTAATTCATCTTATAGCTGAAAGCTTGTATCCTTTTACCAACCTTTCCCTATTTTATACCTTAATATATTAAAAACGATTAAATTTTATTCCATTTAAAAGCCTTTTCAGGATCCGGCAGACTCTGGGTCATCATTACGAACATTAGTGTGTCATTGCAGAGCAGTTGTGTAGAGCTCCTGGCTGCTAGAGAGAGCCCTGGGGCTTTTAGAACACCAGGTTTCAAGTAGTGTTTTGTCTAAGTGGAAGACAGCACATAATATAGCACAATCTGAGAAGTGAGAACTGGAGTCTCTGGCCAAGTCACTGCAGCCCAAATGACTGGACTGCGGCATGGCTGCTCTTGGCATTTTTTGCTGCCTTAACAATCCCTGAGGTTTGGCGCATGATCAGTTTGGGTTGCGACAGTTGGGATCTGTCAGAAGACAGTGAAAGCAATAGAATCAACATTGCGATGGACTAGTTCAATGATGCAGCCTCTGAAATGTAAGATTATTCCAAGTTGACTGTTAAAAAAAATGAGTGGACTTGGGGGTCATTTTTGTGAGAGGGGAATATGAGCCAGGATTTCAAATAGACCTAGAAGAGTGTTTCTGAGTGTTGCTTGTTTTTGTCTTTAACTCATTAGTAGAAGAGAGTTGGGAGATACTCTGAGGAAAATATGGCAGTTTTATTCAGATACAGTATTTCTTTGATTCTGAAGAATAACATTTTAAGTATCAGGCAATGTGTTTTACTAGTATAAATGTGATGGAAGGTTATTCCTTTTTGCGACAATAATTGTTAAAAAATACTGTAATTGTTTTTGAACATTTTATATGCGATTTAAAAAAATCAAAGTTAACTAAAATCAATTCCTTTTTAAGAGTATTATAATAGGGTCTCTTTGTCAAATAAATAAATAAAATCTTAAAAAAAGTATTATAATAAAAAGTAGCAAAAAGAGATCAAAGCCTGAGATAGTATTTATATTACTGATATAGTACTTCTAATAAAGTAAACACCTTTTATTATAAACAGTGTTTGTTATATAAACACTGAGGAAAAAATGAACATGATAAATGTGGGCAATGAAAAAGAACAGAAAAACTTTCAATTATGAGGAAGTTAGAGTGAAGTGATCTGAATAGAGCCAGAAATAATGGTATTTTGTGTTTCAGTAATTAACGAGGAAAGTTTTCAAATCTTTTTTCTAGATTGGGCTGGGAGGGTTGGTCTAGGTGTTGGAATCTGGGTATATTTTCATTTAGTTAAATCTCTCTGTGACTTTTTCCCCCTAATGGTAATTGGGACAGTATATACAGGTAAATTATATGAACACAGGGTTAAAGATTCACAAAACTGAGATCTGGACTCAGCCCTGACATTTAGCAGTAGTTCAGCTTTCAGGAACATCTTTTGCCTCTGAATTTCTCTTTCCTCAGCTGTAAGGTCAGCATTTAGGATTAGACCTATGAGGTACCTCTCTTTATGAAAGAAACACTAATCCTATCCACAGAAGGTAGGATAACTCAGTTATGCGTGCCCAGATGATAGGACACTATGTTGTTGTTAAAGTAAATGAAGTAAGTCTGTAAGTACAGATGGGGTATGATTCATTTACTCATTTGCCCAACAAATATTGAGTCCTTCTATATGCCAGGTGCTATTTTTGATGTTAGGAATACAGAAATGAACATATAGACATAGAACATACATTAAAGAGATCAAACAATAAATAAACAAATAAATATCATGGGATTAGGGAGTGATCAATGCCATGAAGAAAAATGAGGTAGTTTCTTTAATCTTTGAAACTTGGTAAGGAGAAAAAGAAGGTATAGAATGTATTTGGGACATTACTTTAGAATTTGTTAAATACACGGGGGCTGGTTGCCCTTGGATGGAGAATTGGAAGGTTTGGGTGTGGTATAGTAGGGAGAGAGACTTACTTCACATACCCTTTTGTGCTGGTTGATTTTTTTTTTTTTATTTTTGACATATGTGCATGTATTGCTTAAAAAAGCAAAAAACAACAAAGCCAAAGAACTGAATCCTTAAGAGCTGTGGGGGAAATCTTTTTTGATGATATATTTAACTTGCTTTAATCGAATTTGAACTTTTTTTGGCTAAGTATACTGGTCTTATCTATGTGTCCCGTGTGCTAATAATGTTTAGATAATAAAGTTTTTTGGCTTTCGGTTTTATCAGTCTTTTTCTTTTGATGTGTACAAGTTTTTGTGTGTGTGTGTATGTGTGTTAACATTTGCATTGCCAAAGCTCAAGTTTACATATATTTTTCTTTAACATGTTTCAAATACCATGAAAAGGAAAATCTACAGGTTCTAAACATGCATAATGACAACTTGCTTACTGCATGTCATCCTTAGGATAAGAATTGAAGTTGACATTTTGTCTTAATGTGTCTCAACTTTTATTTCAGTTTCAATATGTTTACTTTTAGGTTCCAAACATCAGTTGAACTTGGAGAACTCAAATGAGGTCACTTCTTTTTTTCCTCTAAAAAAACCCCCAGCATGCTAAGCATCTCTCCTGATTTTTATCTCTGTTTTTTTCTAGTTGGATGAAAAATCTGACAAACAGTATGCTGAAAATTACACAAGGGTGAGTACATAAATTCCTAAGGGAATTAGATTCTCAAGGTCAATTAAACTTAATTTCTACTGCTATGTCATTATTTTACTGCATTTGAACTGGTGGGGCTACTCCCCCTTTCTTCATCTATTTCCTGTCCTTGACCCCCCAAATTCCTCTGAGGTTGAATCATGTGAAGCACTGGGAAGAGAAAAGACACTGCATTTTATTTCCTTGAATGTCACTTCTTTAAGCTTTTGGCTGCTCTTTTGATTTTCGTTCCCTTAGAATTTGATCCTGAGAAGCCATTAAACGCTGAAAATGAGGTGTCTTTAGGAATGGTGGTGACAAACTCTGAGGGTTTTTCTTTCCGCCCTTAATAGTTAATTTTTTTTTTTTTGAGGTAAAATAACTCCTTTCTAGGAGTTGTTTTGTGTTAAAGTTTCTAACTTCTAGAGTATTTTTAGAAAGTCATCTTTGGGAAATTATCAGGATTAATTTCATGCTATATCCCAAAAAGATATACCAGTTCTGTGTGATAGAGATACAGTGTAAGCCACAAGTGTACCCACGTATATGTAAGTTTAAATTTTCTAGTAGCCTCATTAAAACAGTAAAAAGAAACAGGGGCACCTGGGTGGCTCAGTCGTTAAACGTCTGCCTTCGGCTCAGGTCATGATCCCAGGGTCCTGGGATCAAGCCCCGCATGGGCTCTCTGCTCCGCAGGAAGCCTGCTTCTCCCTCTCTCCCACTCCCCCTGCTTGTGTTCCCTCTCTCACTGTGTCTCTCTCTGTCAAATAAATAAATAAAATCTTTAAAAAAAAAACAGGTAAAATTTATTTAAATAATATATTTTATTTAACCCAAATATGTCAATGTAATCAATGTGAAAAATTATTAATGAGATATTTTACATTCTTTTTTTCCATACAAAGCCTTTGAAATCTGGTTGTGTATTTTACAATTAAAAATAAAATCTCAATTTGGACTAGCCATGTGTCAAATGCTCAGTAGCCCCATGTGGCTAATGGCTACTGTTTTAGACAGTATAGATCTGTGCCATTTATTAATCCAGTAGCATAATCTCACATTTAAACTAACTGTGGGAATAGCAGTCTAAATTCAGAGTGATATACAATTTGCTTCAGCTGCAAAGTTTGTGTCCAACTTTATCAAAATACTAGAAAAAGAAAAGATTCTGAAGGAGCATCTTCAGGAACTCGGTAGGAGGGCTGCTAATCAGCATACCAGTTATAAGTCCTGAACTGTTTTAAATTAATCTGATGTGCTCATCCCAGTGTTGTTTATGATGTAGAAAAGATAAACTTAGAAAACAACTTGCACACGAACTGTTTTTTTTTTTTTGTGATTTATAGGAGAGATTTATTTGAAGAAATATTACAACATATAAAAACTACATAAAGTCTTAATTTCCACTCATACAGTGGTAGATTTGATATAACGCATAATAAAAAACTTTTAAAATCCAGAATGCACAAAGTACTGCACAGTTTGATCACTAAGTCATTAGTTGATAAGCAAACCTCACAGAACAGCTTCATGTCAGCCAAGGCCACAAACACCGTGAACGACACATTTGAACTGACAGACCGACATGTTAAAAATACAACATCAGTGCATGTTGGGGATCCCTGGTGCCAGAAACAAGGGCGACGGGAGGGCAAAACTAGTCCTTCGTAGTTTCCTCCTCCTTGGTTTTAACTGAGGCACTCTCTCGAGCTTTGGCCAACATACAGCGCTTGATCTCCAAGCCAATGGCTTTGGCCAGGGGCGGCGGCACAGCATTCCCCACCTGTCGGTGCTTATCTAGGATGTTGCCAAACAGCCGGTAGGTGTCCGGGAAGCCCTGGGAGCGAGCGCACTCCCGCACACTCACGACGCGGTGCTGCTCGGGGTGCAGGACACGGCCCTGCTTGCCCATGGGCTCAGGGTTGGTGACGGTGGTGCTGAAGAAGCCATTCCCACTAGAATTTATTATGAATTCTAGATTCCCATAAAGTGTTGGAGTGAACTAAGTTTTGCGTAGCATGCCTGGGCCCTTCTCTGGATACCCTCTTCCCATAGCAGTCTGCACTCTCCCCGTCTTCTCACCCATACCCCACCCTGGGCCCAGTTTTAGTTTCCACAGCAAACGCATTTGGAAAGAAGCAAGACTCAGATGTGTCCTCTTCCTCTTTTTCTAGCCGTCATCTCGGAATTCTGCCTCAGCAACGACCCCGCTGAGTGGAAACTCATCCAGACGAGGGAGCGGAGACACCAGCAGCTTAGTAGATCCAGACACCTCATTAAGTGAATTGCGGGTAAACCGCAGTCTTTGGTTTGCTTTTTAAAAACTGTTTTTTGGCTTCTTTGTAGTATAGTATACTGGAACTATTTAACATTTAATGTGACTTAGTAGAAAGAAAAGGAATATGAGTTCTTTAAAAAAAATTATTAAAGATCAGGAATGTGACTCAGATTTGAAAGGAAGGAGATTAGTTAATTCTTTTTTCTGTTCTCTTTCCTGAATATTTGATGGTATTGGAAGGGGTTCTGCTAATTTACAGATGCCAGAAAAACTTGTTAATGTATGTAAAGTAATTCTCTCAGAAATAATTGGCCATATTTTAAATGGAAAATATGTGGATATACAAGGAACCAGACTCTAGGAATTGTCGGTCTTTTGAGCCATTATGTATTATTTGGCTGCTTGAATATAGTTATCTATCAATTTTTCATGAAAAGTGTAATATTGGGGATAACAGAAATACCTGAGTTGAGTCCCCTCGGTTGAGTCCCTGTTCTTATTAACCTTTTTATTTAAAAAATGAGGACTTTCAAAATGTATTTGAATGTTTATTTGCTGAACCTGCTATTTGTGAGCAATGGGGGAAGGGTAGTAATAAAAATTGCATTTGTTCATTCATTCATGCATTCAACATTTATTGAGCCTTTGGCCCCAGAGATTTAGGCCGTGAAACACACTGTGAACTTCAGGAGTTCACTGTTTCATAGGGAAGACAAACTGATAGAAACCAGTAAAACCAGCTCGTGTTATAATAGGTAGTAGCCAGAATAGGGCTATTAAGGGAATTCAGAGAAGTGTCAGCTACATTGGACTAAGGTATGAAAGAAGAATACACATGAACCAGGCAAAGTTGAAGGACAAAGCTTTTCTCAGAACTTCAGAGAACCAGAAGATACTCTGTATAGTACAGTTGCCTGAGGGTAGGATAAGAAGTGAGGAGGAGAGGTGGGTGAGGGGGAAGACCGGGGAAGTAGTTCTGGGCCAGACCACAAAGCATCATGTATAGGAGCCTAGAAGGCATTTGGTATTCCCCTGGCAACTGTGGGATATTAAATAGGGGAGTGAGAGTATCTGATTTGCATTCTTAAAGAGTGACCCCAGATTGGAGGAAGCACTGGAGGCAAGGGGAACAATACCCTGTGGTTGAATAGTGAAGTCAAAACTGTGATGCAAGAAGATGGAAGAAATTTGCTCTGAAGAGAATACTGGAGGATACTGGAGTTGATTGGTCAACAGCAGAGAGAGATAGGAAACTTAAGAGAAGGTTTTTGTTTTCTTTCAAAGGCGGACTTGATTATTATTTTCATTGCTTGACTTGAGAGAGGACAGGAAGGCAAAGGAAGGAGAGGGTGACTGAAGAGCAGAGTGCCTGAGTGGGCGAGAGGAATGCCTAGGGCGCAGATGGAGGAGGGCCAAATGTGGAGGTTCAGTGCTGCTGACACAGGAGGAGGTGGGGACTGGGGTACTGAGTCAGATTGTAGGCGGGTAGGAGCAGGAGTCTGGCTTATGAAGTGGGCAGCCTGTAAAAGTGGGCCAGTGGTTAGAGGGTGGAGAGGTTTGCAGCAGTGATGGTGGCAGTCGAGAAGGAGAGCTGCCCCAGGCCGACATGGCATGACTTTGCGTGTATCAGTATTTACCAAGCTCTTACTAAGTACCAGGCATAGGTGCCGGGGGTGCAGAGTTGAGTAAGATAAACTCTTGCCTTCAATGGGACAGAACAAAGGAGGGAAAGGCCCTCCAGCCTCACAGCTTAGCTCGTGCTTGCCGTTTCCTCGTATTGCTTCTTTAAGGGAGTGACTTCCTGAAGGAAATGAGAGCTTTGTATCCTTATACTCGGCTCCTCGTAGCCCTTCTATATATGTCTGTTGAATGAATCAATGGACAGAAGACAGACAAACCTACAAAGGAGGGAATGAAGAGGGCAGGGGAAGAATAATACAGAAAGTGTGTGTGACTGGCCTTGGAGAATTGATCCTGTCTATATTGCAGAATGGTACTCAGGGAAAATAACCATGGCAGTTATTTTCTCCCTAAATCAAGCATCTGAATAGATTGTATGTAGCAGGGTCAGGTATAAGGGAAACTGTGTTTTCCATTTAAAATTTGACCTGCTTTACTTTTTAAGGATTATGGTTACATTTGGAGCAGATGCTCTTTTCTCATCATTTAAATGCCATCCTCAGCATAGACTTTCATTTGACATAATGTTTAAAATGTTGGTGTTTAACTTCCTTCCCTTTACTTTCTTTCTCCCAAATTAATTGTGGTTGGTAAGCAAGTCATTGAAAGACAACGTTGTTCATATCCACTTATTACAGTTTTTAAAACTTTTGCATGAGTCAGTAAAATTTGCTGCTTATAATTAATTTACTACATGTTTTACTAGTTCTAGGTGAAGCATTATGTTAATTATTTGAATGATTTATAAAATTTTTAATATTATATGTTAAGCATGTTATAATTTATACAGCTTTTTTCCATATACACCCCCCTTTGCTAATGCTGTTTCAACAAATGTTAATGCCAAGAAAATAGTGAACACTTTAGATTGATTACTCCAGACCTTCTCCAGCCCCACTATCCCCTGACCTGTTTGCCCTATTCCATGGTTTGGAGTGGCAGTTAGGCTTGTGTACTTTGATTTCTTTGCTTTTAGTCTGGAATATACAAAAGTAGTTCGTGTTTTTATCTGAATCTCTGAGACTTAAGATATGTTTGTGCATGGTTTTATGCAATGGTTCATTCCTATGTCCTGCAGGATATCTATGACCTTAAGGACCAGATACAGGATGTAGAAGGGAGATACATGCAAGGGCTTAAAGAACTAAAGGTATCAGCGCCCATTCTGCAGCCCAAGCATGCTGTCTGTACGCAGAAGGGTTGGGTAATGGTGGTTTCACAAGTTCTGTTAACCCCGGTGCACAGAGCTTTACTAACAGTGTTTGTCTTTCAGGCATGTGCTTAACCTGCAGTGCATAGGAAAGGCGAACTTTTAGTCTCTGCTTTGTCTAAATGTTTAGTATGGTTTTTGGAATATTCAGTAAAAGATATTACACCTTAGAGTTTTTAACTTTGTAAAATACTTGCATGTCCCTTGTGTCTTAGCCATACAAAATTGAATTGGGCAAACTCTTAGAAAGTGTTCTGAGAATGAATATATATATATATATATATATATTTAATTAAAAATTAGACCTTAAAATTCTTCCATGCTAAATGACAGAATATTGCCTATTTCTGTCACCAAATTCAGTCAATATTAAAGGCAGGAGGAAGAAACATCTAAGAGTGCATTATTATAAATACTCCTTTTGGAGGAAGGACCCTGAGATAGGAGGCCTGTGTTTTTGTTTTGTTTCTTCTTCTTCTTTTTTAAACTATAGGTCAAAAAGGATTGTACAGATTCAGTGCTTTAAAAAATTTGTAGGTAAATTTAAATGGGCCTAAATCTTTTCTGAGCAAGGATGGCTACCAGTTTTCAATATAAGTGTCTGAGTGAGGCAGACAGTTTGGTTGTCAGTGGCACTTGGTTTATCATGCTCTTCCCCATGTTTTATTTTGAAGTTCAGATCTAATATGAGGAAACTAAAAGTTTTCCTGAACACATGCATGTCCCTGTTTGAAATAAAAAATACACGTCAGGCCTCTAAAATCACATAAGTAAGGCATTCAAAAAGGTGATTCGGAATATGCTCAAAGGACAAAGCATAGGCCTAATACGCAAGGCTTTCATCAGCTTTCCTGGCGTGATGTGAAGTAGCCCAGTTACCAGTCAAAACCTTCATGTGGATGATTATTGTCCATAAGGAACTTATGGTTAAGACTCAGGACCAAAAAGGGTAGGGAGTCCTATGGAGAGTGTCCGGGAGGGAAGTGTGGAGGCCGCTGATACGGCAGTGTGAGGCTATCAGTAAACATCAGGAGAATTATAGAAGTCATATGTGGATGTGCTCAGTTAGTTTTCATGGCTCTAATCTTCAGGATTTAATCCCCTCTTAAGGTTTTAGAGATAAGACTTTTGGAAATATCTTGGATCAAGGGAACAAATCCTATATATTAAGTAAATACATTCATGTTGAAGTCTTATAAGTATCAGGAAAGCAAGCGATTCAGAGGCATTCTTACTTGCTTTTTATTTTATTTAAAACATTTTTTTCTTATGTTTTAGATCTACCATTTATTACATTCTTTGAAGGATACAAAAGAACAGATTAAATTTATTTGAGACCAGATACAAGATCCCTTTTTTTAAGAGAAAAAAGCAAAACTTAATGTTTCTCACATAAATGATACCATGCTAAGAAAAACTGTAAAAAAATACGTTAAATATATCCATGTTCAGTGCAACAGTTTTAAGCATATCCAGAGTAAAGGAAAAATTACTTTGTGATATACAGTGGTGTACCCTACTTAATTTTTTTCATTTAGAAGAGATCTATTTTATTTATTTTTATGTTTATTTTATTGGAGTATAACATGGTGCTATATCAGTTTTAGGTGCACAACATAATGATACAAGAATTCTCTACATTACTCAGTGCTCATCATGATACGTGTACTCTTAATTTCTTTATCTATTTCATCCATCCCCCCTCACCTCCCTTCCCCCCCACCTTTTTTCATAATTCATGGTCAGCATAGAATTGAGCTTGAGTTCAGGTTATATTTATACTTGAAATGACTTTTTTAAGTGGAAGAAAAATCATTTTTTAAAAAAGATTTTATTTATTTATTCATGAGAGACAGAGAGAGAGAGAGGCAGAGGGGGAAGCAGGCTCCCAAGGAGCAGGGAGCCCAAGGAGGAAAAATCATTTTTTTTTTTAAAGATTTTATTTATTTATTTGAGAGAGAGAGGGAGAGAAACAGCATGAGAGGAGAGAGGGTCAGAGGGAGAAGCAGCCGGGAGCCCGATGTGGGACTCGATCCCAGGACTCTGGGATCATGACCTGAGCCGAAGGCAGTCGCTTAACCAACTGAGCCACCCAGGTGCCCGGAGGAAAAATCATTTAAAAAAATGGTCTGATTGGTGATCAAGCATGGTGGTGTGAATGTATCCTGTTAAAAAAGGATACTGGGTCATTGCTTATGACATTATTCTTGATTAAGTGAGGCAGCCTTTGGGGTTCTTTTCCTCATTCTAGCCTCCATGCAGAACCACCTGGGTTTTGTTAAATCACAGACTGCTGGACCCTACTCCCAGGTTTTTTCATTCAGTGGGTCTGGGATGGGGTTGAAAATTCGTTAAGTTTACCCAGTTAATGCTGTTGCTGCTAGTCTAGAATCTACACTTGCAAAATCACTGCCTTAGACACATTTAAGTAAAATTAATTCCTAATAGATACCACTATGTAAGCTAGATTGAAATAATTAAAACTACCTTGACACAAATTTAAAACCGTCTTCCATGGTCTGTTTAAAGGAAGAGTACATGCCATAAATGTTACGTCAAATTTATTGTTGCTGTATTTTTGCATCTCTTGCTAAACTATCTTAGATTCTGATGTTCATGAAGTTATGCTCCATTTTCTATGGGACTGAGCTGTGAGGAAGACTTTTTTTTAATGTTCTTGGCCCCTGAGATGGATCAGAATCATTCTATTCTGTATTATATTAGGATCCCACTATATTTAAACCATTATACAATTGACTTTGCTTATATTTTTTATTTGTTTTATATTTGTTCCCAGTCCTGGTATAAATGTTGCCTGTTAATACAGCCCTGGTTTATGAAGCATTCTTCTTGTGTGTATATATCCTTATTGAGATATACTTCACACACTGTAAAATTTACCCATTGAACGTGTACACAATTCAGGTGGGTTTTAGCATAGTCACAGAGTTGCACAACCATCACCACAACCCTATTTTAGAATGCTTTCATTACCCCAGAAAGAAACCCTGTACTAATTAGCAGTCATTCCTCACCCTTCCTCTTCCTCTTACACACCCAGCCCTGGGTAACCACTAATCTACTTTCTGTCTCTGTGGATTTGTCTATTCTGGACATTTCATATAAATGGAATCATATAATACGTAGTCTTTTGTGATTGACCTCAGTTAGTATAATGTTTTCAAGATTCATCCATGTTGTAACTTACTTTCTTTGATTCTTTCGTCCGTCCGTCCTTCCTTCCTTCCTTCCTTCCTTCCTTCCTTCCTTCCTTCCTCCCATCCATCCATCCATCCATCCATCCATCACGACTGGTTTATATTGCAGTGTATAGATTTACCACATTTTGTTTATGTGTCAGTTGAGGGACATTTGGGTTGTTTCCAGTTTTTGGCTGTTATGAATAATGTTGCTATGAACATTTGTGTACAAGTTTTTGTATGGACATACCTTTTCATTTCTCCTAGATAGATACCTAGGGATAGAATCACTGGGTCATATGGTAACAGTATATTTAACACTTTGAGGAATTGTCAAACTGTTTTCCAAAGCAGCTGCACTATTTTACATTCTCCCCAGCAATGTATGAGGCTTCTAGTTTTTCCACATCCTCATCCCCAACACTTGTTAATCTTGTTTCTGTTTTTTTTTTTTAATTATAGCCATCATAGGTCTGAAGTGGTATCTCATTGTGGTTTTGATGTGCATTTCCCTAATTACTAATGATGTTGAGCCTGTCTTCATGTGTTTATTGGCCATTTGCGTATCCTATTTGGAGAAATATCTAATCAGATCCTCACCCATTTTTAAACTGAATTCTGTGTCTTTTTATTATGGTGGTGTGAGAGTTCTTTATATATTTTGGATACAAGTCCCTAATCAGATATATGATTTACAAATATTCTCTCCCATAGTATGGATTTTTTTTAATACTTTCTTGATGATATTGTTTGTACCACAAAAGTTTTTAATTTTGATGAAGTCTTTCATTGATAGTGCTTTTGGTATTGTATCTGGGAAACCTACTCTGTCTACTCTAAGATCATGAAGATTTAGTGCTATATTTTCTTTGAAGAATTTTGTAATTTTAGCTCCTACATGTAGGTCTCTGATCCATTTTGAGTTAATTTTTGTGTGCGCTGTGATGTAGGAAGCCAGCTTTATTCTTTTGCATGTGGATATCCTGTTTTCCCAACACCATTTGTTGAAAAACTATTCCTTTCCCATTGAGTTGTCAAAAGTCAATTGATCAGATTTCTGTATCATTTAGGGAGGACGTTAGGTTTGAGGTTGGTGTTGAGGAGAGTAACTACCGTGACTTCCAGTGCTCTGACGAAACCTCAGATGCCAGGCCTTCTGGCCAAGTGTCTGCGATTTCATATTGTTGGAGCGTTCACTGTATCCCCGGGGGTTGCAGCATTCTGTAAGTCTGCTGTGGCCGAACCAAGAAAAAAGGTATACGCAGATTTCTACAGAAATTATGATTCCATGAAAGAGTTTGAGGAGATGAAGAAGGCTGGTAGTTTTCAGAGTGCAAAATGATTTTGGAATGTAAAGAATTTCTTTGGGTTGAGTTCCATTGAAGTCTGTCACTGACCTGTGTTCCTGAACTATGAAACACGAATATTGGGTTATGGAATAGTTTGTCTTGATAAATAAACAACTAACAACAAAAAAAAAAGTCAATCAATCACAAATGTAAGGGTTCTGGACTATCAGTTCTGTATCTTTGATCTTGGTTTGTTGAACATTTACATTAGTATTTTTAAAATTTATTTCTAGAAGTAATGACTTTTTTATGTGAAATGCTTCTTTTAAGATTTTATTTATTTGAGTTAGAGCAAGAGTGAGCGAGAGAGAGAGAGCTCATGAGCCGGAGGTAGGGGCAGAGGGAGAGGGAGAAGCAGGCTCCCCACTGAGCAGGGAGCCTGATGTGGGGCTTGATCCCAGGACCCTGGGATCACGACCTGAGCTGAAGGCAGACATTTCACCGACTTAGCCACCCAGGCACTCCAAAATGTTTTTTCTTTTTAGCCTTAAAAACTATTACTAGGTAGTAATAATCTACCAAATTAGATAGTTATTAAAAAATAGACTTGTAAGCTGTTTTAAGCAGAAAACTTTGAATTATATAAAATTTCAGGCATTTTGTTTTTGCTCTTTTTTTGTTGTTACTTTTTTAAAATCATTTTTGTGTTGCTTACTTATTAAAGAATGACCAGAATGTGAATAATTGCTAGAAAAAAATGTTTATGCCTTTACATTAGCATTATTATACAGAACAAGAAAGTACTGAAAACAGATGTCTGGAAAGTAGCAAAAATCAAATGAGTAGTAAGTTTACTTGTGTGAAGAGAGGCTGTATTTTGTTCTGTCATTGCATTCTGAATACCAAAGAGCTTGTTGTTTAAAAACAAGAGTAACATTTCTGAAAACATCGATGCTTCTTCATTTTATGACTCTTCACAAATATATGTGGTCTGCATACCTTTATATCTTTCAGAGGCTACATTGCTGCTTGATTTTGTTTTCTTGGACAGCAGAGAGCATATAAAGTTCTTATCCTGGCATAACTGGCTTATTACCATCCTTCCGTTTCATGTGCATGTTACTAAACCAGGAATTCCCTCAACCGCTTGCATTTTGCAAAAATGCATCTTCATGTGTTTGTGCCAGTGCTGTATTTCCTGTTATATTGATTATAAGCAATGAACATATTTTAGATATCAGGCTGATGGCTGTGACTTTCATCTAGGAGTCTTTATCCGAAGTGGAAGAAAAATACAAGAAAGCCATGGTTTCCAACGCACAGTTAGACAATGAGAAGAACAATTTGATCTACCAGGTAGACACCCTCAAGGATGTTATTGAAGAACAGGAGGAACAAATGGCAGAATTTTATAGAGAAAATGAAGAAAAATCAAAGGTAATTGTGCATCTTGTATCATCCCTTTCTCTGGGTCAGAAAATTAGAACCTGCCATTTCGGAGGTGCTGGGCTTGATGGAAGAGCGCAGCATACCCGGGCCTGAAGCTGCAGTCAAAACTGGTCCAGGGAAATTGACAAACATGAGATACCAGGTCTTAAGATATTTTCCTTTTTAAATTTTTATAAAATCTATTTAATTTTCTTAAGGAAAATCTTATGACCTTCATTTTCTGAAGATAGAATACAACTCAAATTTTATCTTTATTTTCTATCTCTTAATTTCTTCTTGTTTTAACTGGCTAGAATGCCACAAAGCTCTGAGGACTTTCAGTGAGATGGTTCATTTTTTCTTTTCTATAATTTTTTAAGATAATCTGTTTTCTAAATGATTGGAGAGAAGTTTTTAACCAGTTACTTAGAAACAGCAGGATGGAGACATGGGTCAGACGTCAACAGATGTTTTCTTTAGAGGTTTGTAAGTTATATTGTTAAAATGTGCAGATGGAAAATAAAAGCCACTGTCCAAGGTTCAGATTTGCCCTTTGACAACTGCGGAAAACAAATTGGCTTCTCTTACTGGATTTGGACTTTTTAAAGTGTTGATGTCAGTCCAAGCAGAGGACAAAAGGTTATTAGTGCCAAAAAAATGAGTTGTGACTACATTGCAAAAATAAAAATAAAAAGCCCAGAAAACAATTTAGGAAATGTACACACAGTGAATTGTTAAAAACATCAGTAATCTGAAGGGAGAGAAGCTGTTTAATATAACCTCAAAGGGACTGGTATTAATACTATACACTCTAATGGGGATTTATTTCCTTGAGGACTGAAAATGTTCATTGCAGTCTGTTTTGGTCATGTTTAAAATGTGTTTGGAAGTGTTTGTCAGGGGCTTGGGGGAAGGAAGGATGAATAGACAGAATATAGAGGATTTTTAGGGCAGTGATACTATTCTGTATGATACTATACTAGTGGATACATTATTTTTGTCAAAGCCCATAGAATATATAACACCAAGAGTGAGCCTTAATGTAAACTATGGACTTTGGGTGATAATGATGTGTCAGTGTGTGCTCAGCACTTGTAACAAATGTACCACTCTGGTGCAGGATGTTGATAGTAGGTAGGAGAGGCTCTCTGTGTGTGGGGACAGGGCTATATGAGAACTCTGTATTTTCCACTCAACTGCACCAACCTAAAAGTGCTCTAAAAAATAAAGTCTATTAAAAAAAAAGTTAGGATAAGAAGACTTGTGTCTATATAAGTGAAAAAGAGACCTCCGGATATTTTCATACTGGATGACAGGGCTCATTGAAGACTATGATTTGGTGGCATAGGTGGTTTCCTCTTTGATTCTTCCTGTTTCTCAAGGGCCAATTTCTGAGATTCTGAACTGTCATATTTTATGTAGAGCCCTTGGACTCCTTTTTTGCCTTTCCACGCATTTGTCATGTCTGTTTCTGGCTCTTTGTTTCTAGTAGATTAGAAGAAAATCTCATGGTAAGTATTTAATGTTCAGCACTAAAATGAGTTATTCCATCTTCTCAAATGCCCTTGAGCATTAAAAAAAACCAACAACCCACAAACCTCTATGATTAACTTACCTAGGCAACTTAATATTTTTTTCCTTTTGTCTTTTTCTAGTATCTAGAGATGTGTTAGTCTACATAGAGCTGTGGTTTCTAATTTTTATGTAAAAAAAAAAAACCTGTGCTTTTCAAATTAAAAAAATCCCAAGCAGGAGGAGGAACAGAGAGGGAAGGAGAGGGACAAGCAAGGGGCTCTATCTCAGGACCCTGGGATGATGATCTGAGCTAAGTCAAGAGTTGGCTGCTCAACTGACTGAGCCACCCAAGTGCCCCTATAGATATTGCCTCATGCAGTAGAATGTTCACGTTCAGAGACCTACAGAGAGGTCAGGCACTCAGGTATGTTTCATTATAGCTCAGAAGGAAAGGATAGAGAAGGACCATTCAATTATAACAACAATGATATTAATACAATTTTTCAAAATGTCTTCAGTGCTTCCTGCTGGGATTATGACTGTATCTTAAATATTGTCTCTATACCTACTCTGGGGAAGAATGCCTGATTAGGAATGTCTGAAGTATATTATTTCCTTAATAGCTATTTATTTTAGTAGTGGATTCTTTTTTCTTTTTTTTTAAAAACGTTTTTAAACATTTTATGTTTAAAGTTGTTTTAACATTTTTAAAAAATGTTTTATTAGAGTTTTTATTTTATTTTTTTTAAAGATTTTATTTATTTATTTGACAGAGAGAGAAAGAGAGCACACAAGCAGGGGGAGCAGCAGCAGAGGGAGAGGGAGAAGCAGACTCCCCATTGAGCAGAGAGCCTGACACGGGGCTTGATCCCAGGGATCATGACCTGAGCGGAAGGCAGATGCTTAGCCAACTGAGCATCCAGGTGCCAGAGGTTTTAAAAATACAGAAAATAGCGGACTATTCTGAACCCTCCTAAAGCCCATCATCTACCTCCAGCAACCACCAACCCATGGCCAATTTTGTCCTATTTCCCCCACTCCTGTTCTTTGAGACAAGACCTCGGTAGGTCATATATTTTTTTAAGATTTTATTTATTTATTTGAGTGGGTGAGCGAGATAGAGCGAGCATGAGCCAGGAAGGAGCAGAGGAAGAGGGAGAAGCAGACTCCCTGCTGAGCAGGGAGCCCAGTGTGGGGCTTGATCCTGGGACCCTGGGATCATGACCTGAGCCGAAGGCAGATGCTTAACCGACTGAACCACCCAGGCGCCCCTCAGTATCTCATATTTTAATATGAGTTTAGGTATGACTCTAAACGAGAGGGACTCCCTCTTTTTTTTATAACCACAAGACCATTCACATCTAAAAAATTAAGAATAATTCCTTCATACTACCTATCCAACCATTGTTAAAAATTTAATTGTCTCAAATGTCCTAAGTGGTTTTCTTTTTTACACTTAAAAAAAAAAAACAAAAAAAACCCCTGAGGATCCAGGTAAGTTCCATAAGTTGGAATTAGTTGTCATGTCTTTAAGTCTCTTTTTATTTATAGCTTTCCTTTCATCTCTCTCTTTTTTTTTTCCTCCCTTGCAATTTGTGTGTTGAAGAGACTGATTGCTTGTCTTAACAGTTTCTGACAGCCTTAGGGATTTTGCTGTTTCATTTCTGTGGTGTCTTTAATGTGTTCCCTTTTCCTCTGTCTTTTCTGTAAACAGGTAGTCAGGTTTAGAGGCTTAACCAAATACAGGTGCAGCATTTTTGGCAAGTCTGCTTCACGGGTTTATCTTCTGGCAGGAGGCCCTGATGTATGGCCCTTTCTTTTTATAATGCTGTTGCTAGATGCTTCGATCTGTTAGTGGATCAGGGGTTACAAAATGGGATATATTAATTTTATCATTACTGTTTCATATTTCTTGTATTGTTTTAAAATGGATTGGAGATAAAATTCACATACCATCTAATTCGTCCTTTTAAAAGGGTACAATTCAGGGGCTTTTGTATATTCATATTATGTGCAGCCGTCCCAGTTAGTTTTAGAGGACTGTGGTCATGTCAGAAAGAAGCCTTGTACCCTTTAGCTGTCATTGCTCTGTCTCCTGCCCCTCAGCCCTGAGTAACTCGTCCACTTTCTGTCTCTATAGATTTCCCCATTCTAAACTTGCAGTCAATAGAGTCATAGCCTATGAAGGTGGCTTTTGAGACTGGCTTCTTTTATTTAGCTGAACTATTTTTGACATTCATCTGTGTTGTAGTGTGGGTGACTACTTCATTACTTTTTATGGCCTCATACTACCCCATTGCGTGGGCATACCACATTTCTTTGTTCATTTGTGTGTTGATGCACATGCTATGATGAATAATGCTGCTGTAAACATTTGTGTACAAGTCTGTGTGTGGACGTATGTTGTCCTTTCTGTTAAGTGTGTACCTGGGAAGGGAGTTAGTTGCTGGATCATATGGCAGCTCTATGTTGAACCATTTGAGGAATGCCAGACCATTTTCCACAGTGGCCGCACCATTTCATGTTCTCACCAGTGGTGTATGTGAGTTCTGATTTCACCACAGCCTCATCAACACTTAGTATTGTCTGACTTTTTTTTTTTTTACAGCCTTCCTAGCAGCTGTGGTTTTGATTTGCATTTTCCTGATGACTAATAATTATGAGTATATTTTCATATGCTTCCTTGGAGAAATAGCTATTCAGATCTTTTGCCTATTTTTATTTTATTATTTTTTAAAGATTTTATTTTTTGAGAGAAAGAGAAGAAAGAGAATGAGAGAGAGAGACCACAAGCAGGGGGAGGAACAGAGGGAAAGGAAGAAGTAGACTCCCTGCTGAGCAAGGAGCCTGATACGGGGCTCCATCTCAGGACCCTGGGATCTGAGCTGAAGGCAGATACTTAACTGACTGAGCCATCCAGGTGCCCCTCTTTTGCCTATTTTTAAATTGGATTTTTTTTTTATTATTGAGTTGCAAGAGTTTATATATTCTAGATACAAATCCTTTATCAGATACAACTTAAAAAATATTTTAAAATATCATTATGAAGTCAAGAATACAAGCGTTTGATGATCTGAATTCATTGTAGCTTTTATTCTTTTGATTTTCAAATTGTTCAACCTTTAACTAATCTGAACATGTTCAGGTTGATTACCAAATAATTTTGACATGAGTCTAAGTTGGTTTTTTTTTTAAATAAATTCTGTCTAGCACAAGAAAGTGTTCCAGGCTCATCTGGTACATTTCCTGCTCCAGACCTGGAGCTGTTTGTCCAAGGAGCCTTGGTTCTTTTAGTGGGGTGGTGTGGGCGCTGGAGAGCTCTTGCCACCAAGAAGATAACTGTTTATAAAGGCCTTTTTAGTGGAATATCAGGGAAATATTTATGTGGGATACTTTTTTGTTTTTAAAGTCAAAGTCAAAATATATTATGAATTTATGCTGGTAGTTCTAGTTCATGTTCAGGACTCTGGCATTTTTCCTTACCCTCTCTGTTTTACATATGTGTATCTCTTTTTTCCCACTGCCATGCCAGTTCTCAAAGTCACTCGGGGATGATAGTAATTATGTTATATTCTGTTCTCTTTGCTCTATCCCACAGTGCTCAGAATAGCAATACCAATGTTGCCACAAGTGATATAATTACTGAAAATAGTTAAAAGTTTTTTGTTTTGTTCTGGTTGGCTGTTATTTTGCTGCTATACTATGTATAGTCCAACCATTGTTTTTTAAGTACTCGAAATAGTTTCTCTGTGCTTATGCTGCTAACTGGATGTATAATTTAGGCTCACTGCATTTTATTTTCAATACTTAGGAATTGCTTTAAAAATTTTTATCTTTAGACTATTTTTGCTTTTAATTGTGATAAAAATATAACAAAATTTACCATCTTAACCATTTTAAGGTGTTACAGTTCAGACAGTTCAGTAATATCAAGTATATTCACATTGTTGTGCAATGGGAACTTTTTTATCTTGCAGAACTGAAACTCTGTACTCTTTAAACAACAGTCCCCCCGCCGCCCCCAGCTCCTGGCAACCACCATTCTACTCTCTCTCTCTCTCTCTCTCTCTGACTTTGGCTACTCTAGGTATCTCATAAAAGTGAAATCATGCAGCATTTGACTTTTCGTGACTGGGCTTCATATAATGCTTTCAAGGCTTATCCATGTTGTATTGTAGCATGTGTCAGAATTTCCTTCCTGAATAATAATATTCCGGTGTATGTATGTACCACATTTTGTGTATCCATTCATCTGTCTGTGGACACTTGGGTTGCTTCCATTAGGAATTGCTTTTTGAATTTAATTTTGTTTTATAGTTACATAAGATATCTACATGTATCTGAAGTGAAATCAACCAAGAAGTCAATCTTCTATCTCTGTTCATCCCAATTTCTTGAGGGGATTTTTTTAAATTAAATGCTTTATCCTTCCATTTTTTAACTTAAGAAGATCGATATATTTTGGTATTTGAAAAAGTATATACAAATAAATGTTTTTTATCCCCCCTTTCTTAGAAAATGGTAGCATACTATAAATACTGCTCGACACCTTGCTCTTTATCACCTTATGACTGTGGGTCTTCTTCATTCCTTGGTATTACTCCATAGTGATTCCATGGTGCACATGTACTATAGTTTATTCCACCAGCTCCCTGTTGATGGACATCTGAATTGTTTACAGTCTTTTGCTGTTAAAAATAGTGCTGCAAAAATGATGTACTACATAAATCTTTTTGCATTTTTGCCAGGATAGCCAGGGGAGTCATCAAAGTGGGGTTTATTGGGTCAAAAGGCATGCTCATTCTGCTGGATACTGCCAGTTTTCCCTTTGTATTATACCGTTTTGGATTCCTGCCAGAATGTATGAGAGGGCCTGTTTCCATCCCCATAGTATTTTCCTGAATACGTTGTCAAGTTTTTGGACTTCTACTAGTGTTTAAGTGAGACATACAGTTTTAATTTATTGTTCTTTTAGTACGATCATCTTTTTATATTCAGAGTGATTTTCTTTTTCTGTGAACTGTCCATTTCTTAACTATTTTACTGTTTTTTTCTTTTTAGAGGCTCTATATAGAAAGACAATAACCTTCTGTTTCTGATATAAGTTGCAGGGGGGTTTTTTTGTAGTTTATCATTTGTGTTTTTACTTTGCTTAGAGTGCCTTTTGCCATTCAAAAGTTTTTATGTAGTCTAACATTACCCATTTACCTTTCTTGCTGGTGGATTTTTAGGTCATTTTTCAGTAACATTTTTTTCCTACTCTTTGGAATTCACTCATTTTTTTCTCAAGTAACTGTATCCTTCTTTCCTTTTCTCTTTTTTTTTTCTCTCTTTTTTCCATACACTTCCAATCCATTTGAAATTTGTCCTGGTGTATAGTGTGAGGTGTGGTTCCAATTTCCTTTTTCCATTTGGATATCCAGTTATTCCAGCCTCACTTACATAAAACTATCTTTTCTCATTGATTTGAGATTATCTTTTTGTTTTGTTTTTGCTGAGTACATTTGCACATGTAACTGGGTGTATTTCTGGATTTTTCTCTTCTCCTTTCATCTGTATTCAAAAGCCCTTACAAACATTGTTTTAATTATATTGACCTTACGTCTAGTGAAGCTGGCTTTCTTCTTTATCATTATTTTTTTCCTGGCTGTTTTTTCTTATGTTTTTCTTCCAAATAAACTTTATAATCAATTTGTCAAGCTCTGGTGAGAAAAAAGCGTAATGGTATTTTTATTTGGACTGCATTAAATGTATAGATTAATTTGGGGGAGAACTGACATTTTATGATACTACGTCCTTTTATCCAGGATAGTGTGCCTTTCTGTTTGGTCCTACTTCTCTGTCCCTCAGGAATATTTTATATGATTTTCCTCATACTGAGTTTGGGTATTTCTTGTAAGTTTACATGTGTGTTTTTAAAAATTTTATTTTTTGATATTGTGTTTATTATATTTTCTCTCTAGATTTTATTTATATTTGTGAGGATTATTGGATTTTATATGTTAATTTTGTAACCTCTTTATTAAGTCTTCTCATCGTTCTCAGTAACTTTGCCATTGATTAGTCTGGGTTTTCTAGCTATATACTCCTAGGAGATGAAAAATGTTAATTTTCTGAACCTTTCCATTGAATACAGAATTTTTCTAAGTTATTATGCATGGGAAGTCCAAGTATGTGTCTGGAGGTCAGTCTTAGTCTCTGTATTATTATATTGTAGATGTGCCAGTTTGTTGTGTGCCATTATCTGTATAAGCTGTATCATTTGTTTATTAACAGGAGTTAGAAAGGCAGAAACATATGTGTAGTGTGCTACAGCATAAGATGGATGAACTTAAAGAAGGCCTTCGACAGAGAGATGAGCTCATTGAGGTATGTGCATGAACTGTGGAAATACTTAATTTTGAACAAAATGCATTGAATGGGACAAGGGGGTTGGTGTGTGTTGGGAGGGAAGGGAGTTAAAATGCCACAGAGTTTCCTTGTCTCTTCATCTTGGGTGTACCCTAAAATTTCACACTCATGAAACATAAAGTCAGGCTTAAAAAGTTAATGCTACCAACCTTTTTTTTTTTTTTTTAATGCTACCAACCTTATAAACATTCCCCCTTGTAATAGCAAAAGCTTTGTAATTATCTTTTATTCCTAAGCACATTGTTTCCTAAAGATATCTTAGGAGATGGGCAAAAGGAAAAATTATGAGTACCATTATTCTTTGGAATGTAGTGAATGCTGTGCTGGGACAGCATTCTTGGGGAATTAGATGTTTGCTCTTCACTGAGGTAGATCTGTACTGCGGCAGCTAAAGGAAAAGAGCTAGGCAAGAAAGACAACTTCTGTACGCAAACCTGGAGGTTGGCAGGTTGTGCTGGTGGAGGAACCCCTGAGTGCCCCAGTGTTGGCAGCATCCTTAGGAATGTGAAGCTGTGGGGTCCACCAAGAAATCTTTGAAAGCATTTATTGTCCTTTTGTTCCTGCTACCTTGTGAGCATCTCTGTTTTTCTTTAAATGTGGTTTTTCCTCTTGAGGAGGGTTTTCCTCGTGTATTATAAGTATGCCGGGAAGGGCTCTTGCACACTGGCATGCTGTGGTTATCAAAGGTGTCTTATGTTAACTTAATGTTGATGACAAGGGGAGTTATTTCAGGAAGGCCAGTTCTTCCTGATCCCTGGGAGATGCCTCCCGCACCACACGCACCACACTCATACTCATCCACGTTCCTGTCGCTCAGGACCCACCCCGCCCCCACTTTATTCCCCTCCCTTCTCCTCTCTTCCCTGCCCCACTTAATCTCTCACCCTGTAAATGACTTTAAAAAAAAAAATTTACTAGAGGAAAACAAATGACTACTTTTCTATTTGTGGATTTGTGTTAACTTTTCTTCATTCTTGAGAATGATTGAATTGAATGTAGCCTGCAGATTCAGTTTGTGAATGCTAAATGCAGACACACATAACCCTTTGAAAATACCAGATTACACGTGAAGTTAGTTGTCTTAGTTTTTCCATTTTTGGCATGAAAGCATATTATCTAAATTTTGTATCCTCCTGGTATTTAAAAATAATGAGAATTCCTCTCCTTTTTTGTCCTTTTGTGTTTTTTGTGTCTATATGCCAGCCACTTGCTATTTCTTTTTCTAATTAAGATACATACTTTTCCCCACTTTTGATTTCAAAAGAATAATAAAACTGCTTTGGCAGCTGCTTCTCAGATTTAGTAGTTTAAGTTAGAATTGGTTAAGTGTTTTAGTTTTTAATTTGATGATTGTGCTTAAGAGGAATTGTAATGCTTGATTCCCATAACTTGGCACTGTGGTTTCTTTAAAAGCGGAGGGTGCTTTAGTGCGAACTTTAAAGACCTTAGTTTTAGGAGTTTTCCCGTTTAGAATTAACATCTCTTAGATGTTCATACCCATGCGTATGTGTAACTCAAAAACCTCGAATATGACAAAATAATGCTTTTTGGTCTTTCACGGTAAAGTAGGTAAGAAATGTGTAAGTAGGAAAAGTAGGAAATGGTAATTTACCAATAATTCTTAAAAGAAAACCTGTTACATATTCAAGGGTATAAATTGAGCCTTGTTGTTTAAGAATTGCTACATGCTGAATTCTAGTTTTTCTAAAAAAATAAAAATATGACTGTTCCTTCAAATTCATGATATTCTTGCTGTCGTAGGTTCTGCTAACAAATTCAAAATGATTAAGCTGAGATATGTCTTGTATTTTTTAGTTCTGCTTAAGAAAATAAAGTTTAAAACTACGGCTTGTTCTCTGTGTTAAGGATCATGTGTTCATGAGCAAATCTGAATTTCCCTCTCTAGAAATGTAAGTTGCTCCATGTTTGGAAAAAAGGCAGTTCTCAGAGGAAGAGCACACACACGGAGCTGCGTGTACACACAAACCCTAACTGGCTTGCTGCCACAGAGCTGTTCTTCCCGCTTCCCTTGTGGCAAGCCAGCGGGAGTCCTGTCGCCAAGACACTGGATGTCATCTTTCCCTTTAGCGAGTAACTCTTTGCCTGTTGAGCACAGACTTTCTTTCTCCCTTTGTTAAGTTTCTTTATCAGCTTTATTTTTTTGTTCTCTTTTCCTACCTCTGACCCCCTCCGTTTTTTCTTTCTGCTCTTTTATTACTTCTCTCCCCACTTCCTCTGCAGGAGAATCAGCGAATGCAGCAGAAAATAGACACCGTGACAAAAGAGGTGTTTGACCTTCAGGAGACACTTCTTTGGAAAGATAAAAACATTAGGGTATGAAATGAAATTGGGCTTTGGTCTGAAGCTCATCGATGAGGAATAGACCAATATAATTTAACTTAGAGATTCCTAAAAATCTGTCCTTTTGGTTATTTTTGAGCATTTATACACTGAAATGGGAATAAGGAGAAGACAGAAAAAAACTTCCAGGGGGAAAACTTGATACTGTGCCTGGAAAGAACTCTTCTTGCTAGCAGGACTCTGGGCTTTGTGAAACCTACAAAGTAGGAACTTTCTAGGGAAGTTTATTTCCCCAGGATTCTCATCCAGAAGCAGCCACAGGCATTTAATTCAAACTCTGTGGGTAAACTTGATATTCTTACATTGCAAGAATTTTGGATGAGAAGCAAGAGAACAGTGAGTAGGGGGTGGAGGACAAGTAATTAGCCTCCCATAAATCCTTGGTGAATAAAATAGGAAGAGATTAACATCAATTTAGTTACGGAAGTGGATAGGAATGTAAGATTTGCCAGAGTTGCCAAACCATGACATCATCTCTAATTATAACCCCATGACTCCCCAAAGCGGGGGCCCAGATAAGGAAAGTCTTCAGTGTTTTTTTTGCACAGGAGGCTCGAAAAATTCCCACCAGTTCATCCTGTGTCACCCTTTGACATGCGCCCCATCTCACGCTGTGAGCTCTCTGTTCCCTGTCCTGCACTGGGGGTGCCACACAGCCATAGCTGCCAGAGGCTTACCTTGTCTGGGAAGGGCTATGGCCGAGGAAGCAGAGAGAAGGAAGGAATCCCTTGTCCTCAGAACACAGAAAGTTTTGTTCTCTTGAGGTTAGGTGGTGTAGGGAAAAGTTGGCAAAGATCCCCAAGAACACCTGTGATAGACATGCCTGGATGAGCAGTCTTCTGGGTCATAGCCTTCATTGTTGGGGGGAAGGGTTCTCGCATCTAGTTCTTTTCATACATCCAAGGACATATCCTCTTTTTTTTTTTTTTTTTTAAGATTTTATTTATTTATTTGAGACCACCAGCTTGGGGGTGGTGCAAAGGGAGAGGGAGAAGCAGACTCCCCGCTGAGCAGGCGCCTTACTTGCTGGATCCTAGGACCCCAAGATCATGACCTGAGCAGAAGACAGACACTTAACCGACTGAGCCACCCAGGTGCCGCCTCCCATCCTCTTATTAATAAACACATGGGAAACAAAATTACTTCTTAAGAGCTTTTAATATTTAAATACTGAGTTTCTAAAATTCTACCCAAAATTAGAAGAGCCTTCTGGAATATAACAACTGTTGAGTTTTGAAATTTTGATTGTGAACTACTGATCTTATTTACATTTTTACTTGGGGAATTTAAAATGAGATGTGAAAAAAATGTATGGCACAAAGTAGGTCATTTGTAAAGGTTAGTTAAAGTCTGGTCACTAGAATGGTCTTCTTTTAGGACCTTAACATAATTTTCTTTATGTTATTGTCCATGATTTCTATTTTGTATAATTATCTTAGTATTTACACCGATTATTTTGGATCTGTAGGTCCATGATTTCCATTTTGTATAATTATCTTAGTATTTACACCGATTATTTTGGATCAGCCATAGGAAAACCCCAAACCACTCAGTCCAATAAAATAGCTATTCAAAATAAAACAAAAATTTATTTTCTACCAAAAAGATGGTGCTCATAGTTAAGACAAGTTATTTGACTTTTAAATATTCATGGCATTGTTGAATGAGTAAGTGGCTATCTTCTTTCTGTATGGTATATAATAATGTGTTCCTTTGGCTTTTTAAAAAAATTAAACTTAAAAAATCTTTTTGAGGTAATTGTAGATTCACATGCAGTTGTAAGAAGTAATACAGACAGGTCCTGTATGCCCTTTATCTAGTCTTCCTCAAATGGAACATCTTGCAAAAACTATGGTACAGTATCACAGCCAGGAAACTGACCTTGCTATAGGCAAAATACAGAACATTTTCACTACCACAAAGGATGTCTCCTGTTGCCCTTTTATGGCCTCATCTACTACCTTTCCTACTCCTCCCCAAGCCCTGGCAACCACTAATCTGTTCTCATTTCTGTAATTTTGCCATTATAAGACCATTATATAAATGGAATAAAAAAGTATTTAACCCTCTGGGGTTATGTTTTTCCCTCAGCATGATTACCTTGAGATTTATCCAAGTTGCGTGTATCAGTAGTTGGTCCCTCTGACTTTTTAGGAAACTCTCTCAATTGTGGTAAAATACAAATAACGTCAAGTTTACCACTTTAACCATTTTTCAGTGTAGAGTCTGGTGGTATTAAGGACATTCACACTGTTGTGCTGCCGTCACCACCATCCATCTCCAGAGCTCTTTGATCTTGCAGAACCCAAACTGTGCCCATTAAACAGCTCCCCCCGTCGTCCTCCCTATAGTCCCTGGCAGCCACCATTCTACTTTCTGTCTCTCTGGATTTACTCTTCTAGGTACCTCATATAAGTAGAGTCCTAGAGTCTTTGTCTTTTTGTGACTGGCTTATTTCACTTAGCATCATGTCCTCAAGGTTTAACTGTGGTCGGGCATGTGTCAGAATGTCCTTCCTTTTTAAGGCCGAAGGATAGTTCATTGTACGTGTGTACCACGTTTTGTTTATCCATTCATCGGTTGGTGAACAGATAGTTGGTTTGCTTCCACCTTTTGGCTATTGTGGATAATGCTGCTGTGCACATGAGTTTGCAAATACCCCTTTGTGGCCTTGCTTTCATTTCTTTGGGTTGATACCCAGGGATGGAATTGCTGCATAATATGGTAGTGGTATGTTGAAGTTTTTTGAGGAATATCCAGACTGTCTTCCACAGCAGCGGTACCATTTTCCATTCTCATCAGCATTGCACAAGGGTTCCATGACGAGCACTTGTTTCTGGTTTTTCTGATAGCCATCCTAGTGTGGTCCTCCCATGACTCGCACAAGACACATTTTCAGTTTAGTCAGTGACTACCTCACGTATCCCTTGTCTCCAGTTTCATTTTCAAGATTTAAAGTTAGTAACTTAATAAAGGAACATGACCTTTATTCTCATGTTAAGAGTTTGGTTTTCTTTGGCTCTCCTTCATCGATCCTTGTGGTCATGCTCGTAGCCCTAAAGCAGTTCCAAGTGCCAGGGGGCTACATGTGGAATAAGCACATACAAAGGACTGGACTGGTGTATCTGGATAGCCCCGTGTGAGACTCCATCCCATTCTGACTAAAGATATTTCTGGCCCCATGGAATTACATGGAGAAATAACCTTTTGCCCCCAGAGTTCAGCCTGTTACACATATCTTTCAGGCTTCTTGACACTAGAATTTGAGGTTAGGTCGGGGTAAAGAATTATTTAGGTCTCCACAAGCATGTAGTTTTTATTCTAAGCGGGGAAAAAAAACTATAAGAGCTATTATTGAATGCAAACACAGGGTAGCGGTTTTATGGTCAGGTGCTACAGAGGATTTCAGATCCGGTGTGACTACATTTGCTCCAATTATAAGGTATTTCAGTAGCCCCCAAACTTTGTGGTGAGATGGGAGAACTTATAGGATGTATTTTATTTTCCTGTCCATAATTATGGGAAGATGAAGTTAAAAAGTCCAAAAGCAAAGATAAAACCCATTGCTATAAGATGTAGGAAGAAGAGCAAATGGCATTTTGTAGCATTTGCTAGAATTTCTAGTTTCAAATTGGTCTGTTCCTAAAAGATCTTGTGTATTTAGTGGTGTTGTTTATGTACAGCATGTTGTGGCAGTGATCACTGACCCGGTTATACATGGTGATGCATGGCATAACTATGCACGCAGATACCGATAACCCACAAATATCTAACCCCACAGAGGTTAAAGTGTCTGTCAACAGATGGGAAAATATTGCTTGTGCTTTTTTTGTCCTGATGTTAACATTTGTTATTAATGTAATGGAGTAATAGTAGCTTGAAGTGTTAGGGTAAATGCCTCGTGACGCTAGAAACTGAAATGATTAACACAAAGGCAGACTCAAGACATGCCATATGGTGTGAATGTAAATTGCTGGAAGGAAATTAGATATTGGTGTTGTAGTTTGGGTAAGTACGGGGTAGGGCTACTTATAGGCTACTTTTCCAGCAGCATCTGGGATGACAGTAAGGAAACATAATTGTGGCCTTCTTGGGGCTGTGATATAGAAAAAGTGTGCAAAGGCTTTGAAACCAAAAAGAACTGGATTCACTTTCTGACTTTGTCACTTACTGCGACTTTGGGCAAAAAAAATATATAAAACCTCTGAGCTTCAATTTTCTGATCTGTGAAATGGGGATAAGACAAGTGCAGGATATATACGGGAGAAATTATATATATATAAATATATTAGGGCAAGATTATATGTCTTTGTAGCAGTGCCTGTTGTATAATTTGAGCCACATGGTTGGTGGTCGCTAGCGTCCCTTATCGCCAGTTCGGGTGCACGGTAAGATTAGAATGATTTAGAACATTGTCCAACTACTCAGCAGTCAGTAATGAAGCAGTTGGCTCATTTCTAACCCCATAAGGCTAGAGGAAAGTTACCTGTTGTAGTTTAACTTTGTGGCCTATTGGGGCTGTTGGGAGAAAATATGAAATATAGGAACACTTGTGTAGAGAAAGGCTTTTTCAGAATGGTCCAGCCGTCAGGTGTCTGCATAGATTGCCTGCCTGGGGTATGTTTTGAATTCTGGGTTATTTCATTACATAGAACAGATCCGATTTGTCACTGATGACCCAGGCGTGTGTCTGCTTCTGCCCCATTGGCCACAGCTCTGACAGTTGTGATTCAGGCGGGGGGCGTGGGGGGGCGGGGTGCTGGCGATCCAAGTGGAAAGAAAGTGGTAGGCTTTTCCTGAGCCTTCCGGGATTTGCACAGCAGCAGTGCTTACGCTGTGTACGTGGGGTGGTGCTGCTGTCGTCCCTTCTGTCGCTCAGATGAGAGATCTGAGGCTTACGTAAGTGAGTACGTGCCGGGACTCGAAAGCCTGACCCCCAAACCCATATTCTGCGGCACTCCATAGGTGGGCTGTATTTATTTTGTCAGGGTTTTATTTTCTTTTTCCCATTTAGAAAGGTGTATCAGAAACCAGATTCTTAATTGTATTTAACTAAATTACAAAACACAGGTCCTTGGGAATCCCTTTGGAGATTAGCTATTTTGAATTAAGTGGTATTTGAGGAATATTTTGTGGCACTGCTTGGAGAACACTCACTATAGCCAATATTTAATTAAAATACCTTGTACGTACTGGTGATTTTTTCTTCCAGGGCCATTAAAATTTTTTTAACTATAAAATTAGTCTTCCTAGTTAAGAAATTTCACTGTGTTCTTGAATGAACAATTTTAGTTAAACGTGAAATGTATTTGTTTGCTTGTTTGGGTCACCATATGAAAATGTAGTAAGGTCAGTAAGGAAAACTTTAATATGACTGCTGTCTTCATCTTCCTTTTCCTGTTTTTTTTTCATCAACTGGAAAAGAAAGATCACTTCTCCTGCCTGATGTGACAAGCATGTTTTGACGAATTGATGCACGATTAATCAGTTTCTGTTAAAACTCTCCTTTGGAGATGTGTGTCCATATGACTTTGTACTTCTTCCCATATCTAACTGCCGGTCTCCAAGCTTTTACCGCCCCCTTGTCTTTTATGCCCTCGTCTTTATTTATTTGAAGTAGGTGCTAGGTGCTCTCTGCTACCTCTTTCACTTGCTCTTTTTCTGTGCCATTCTTTCCCTTGCTGCCCTGTCTAAAACCAGGCCCTAGAGAAACAGAAAGGATACATTGCCTGCCTTAGGAATGAGCGAGATACGCTCAGAGAGGAGCTGGCTGACCTGAAGGAGACAGTGAAGACAGGAGAGGTACGTTAGCTTTAGCCTGGAGTTCCAAGTCCCTCACTGCTTTAGTCTTCCTTCCTTTCATCCTGTTATTTTTCTCAGCCCGAAGACAAACCAGTGTTCATTCTTCAGTGCAGATTTGGTAGGTTTCAGTCATTTCTTCTACGGACCTGTATTCCATGTAACTAGTTCTAACCTGGTGTTATCTGTGGCAAACATATTGTCACAGTCACCTCACAGAGCATACTGCCATGTGGGCCATGTTTTGTGACCTTGGGTTTTCTCCTTCTCCACAGAAACATGGCTTAGTTATAATCCCCGATGGCACTCCCAATGGTGATGTCCGTCATGAACCAGTGGTTGGAGCCATCACCGTGGTGTCTCAGGAGGCTGCTCAGGTCTTGGAGTCTGCAGGAGAAGGTCCACTAGGTAGGACATGGTTGCTGCTCTGTTGGCTTGGGTTTACTGTTTGGCTAGACTTCCGGCTTACTCATAGCCCATCTTGGAAAACAAAAACAATACAAGGGCTGTCTGAGGTTTAACTGAATTCTTCACAGGAAGAAATCTGGGCACAGTGTCTTTAGGCACCCTTGAACTTGGGAAACCAGCATCTGGGTCACTGTAAGGCCTCTGGATGGAAGCACGTTGGTGGATACACATTGCTTTTTTACTTAAATACAAAGCTTCCTGGAAGAGAGAATCCAGTGTATGTGTCCCAAGGAACCGGTGGGCTGGTAGGGGACTTCCCCAGGTGTGTTTTAAGTTTCTGCTTCCTGGAGAATCTGGTTTTATGCTCTGCTACTTATCCCAGGGTCCTGTAGCTCTTTGCTACTGCATTTCTTAAGGCAAGAAACAGGTGACCAAGAAGTCAGATCTTAGAGGAGTGTTCTTTCTAGAGCAGGGCTTCTGAGCCTCTTAACATCTAAGCCTCTTAAATTTAAACTTTGGAGACTTTAATAACACCTCTCCCAGGAAACCACACAGATGCCCATCCACTGGCTCCACGAAGAATTCTGCTCTAGAGGAAGGAAAATAGCACAGATACTCTAACGCCAGCTCACTTTTTTTTTTCTTTTGTTTTCATATATGTGTAGGTTTCCTAGAGGAGTGGGACTTTGTCAGAGTTAGTAAACACATTCTCCGATGCACAGAATTGCAGAAACAGAGCACTTTGATATAGCAGAGGATGCGGGCTAGGCAGTGGGAGCTGCTCTAGAGAATGCACTGAGTGTGTGGCTGGGGGCAGCCCAGGGCTTCCCCTGCTTGCTTGGAAGGTACTGGGGAAGCCAGCACTTAACATTTGGCCGTGACCCTAATTGGTTGTGGGAGGCACTGTCTCGGTGGGTGTCGCCAGCTGCTTGTACTCATCTGTGGTCCTCCTCACCCTGAGGGGCTTGTGTTAATGGCATGCTTGGGAAGCAGCGGCCCTCCCCCCAGGCCAGGAGCAAGCCCTGGCAATCCTGCCGCCAGGCCTCAGATTAGCCCTTGACTGCCTGCACCTCTGAGTTGGGCCCCTGCTCGCCTGTGTAGGCCTTTGCTTCTTCCCTGTCGTGTTCTCATTTTCCCTGTTCCACTCTCCCCACCCAGGCCCCTTTGTACCCTGTCTGTCTTCGCTCCCAGATTTTGTTTGCTCCTATGAGAGCACCCCAGCATTCTAGTTGTCTGTCTGCTGGTGAAAGCTTGCACGTCTTTTTTTTTTTTTTGTCTTTAAGATTTTATTTATTTTTCGACAGAGAGACAGTGAGAGAGGGAACACAAGCAGGGGGAGTGGGAGAGGGAGCAGCAGGCTTCCCGCGGAGCAGGGAGCCCGATGCGGGGCTCGATCCCAGGAGCCTGGGATCATGACCTGAGCCGAAGGCAGGCACTTAACGACTGAGCCACCTGGGCGCCTGCTTGCACATTTTTGAAATAAGGAAGTGATCTTTGTACTTTGGTTTGTCTTTCAGGGGAAAATCACTGCCCTTGGGAGCAAATGTTGTATTTAGTGCCTTGATAGCTATCCGTTGTGTGGAAATATGTGTTGAATAATTAAGTACTTTTCCTTAGCACCTTTAACTTAAGCCTTCATTTCTTTTGATATTGAAAGCTGTAAGTTATCAGATAATGTATGCTGCTTTTGAATTTCAAGAATAATTTTTAATTGTTTTGGTATTATATCCTCACAAATTTAGTTTACAACCTTTTCCATTTGTTTTAGATGTCAGGCTACGAAAACTTGCTGGAGAAAAGGAGGAGCTACTATCACAGGTAAAGGCATTCTTCTCACGGGAAGGTAATGTTAATTTAACAGACTAAATAAATCACATGGCAAAACATTAGTGAATTAAAATATACACAAGAAAGAAACATGCTTATTTCAAACACCAGTACTCAAGATTTGAAGGACAAAAAGATAAATTCATATTTTGCCTTTGTTGTTTCCTGTTCTTAAAAAAAAAAAAAAATGTATCAGACGTGGAGTTTAAGGAGTTAAATAGTGGTACCACGCTTGTTGTCAAGACAGGAGTTCCGTGCTCTGCCTCCTCACGTTTACCCCTGGCCACTCTGATTGGTTTAGCACGTTCTCTCCGTGTGTCCTGCTCTTGTGTATTTCCATCCCACACGCTCACGTTGCTTCCTGATGGTTCTCTCTGAGGTGCTGTTGACATCCTTCTGTGGAAGAAGACCATCTAGCCTTCTGTCCCCAGCACGCACACCCTTCCCATCCCCTGTCGTCCTGGTGAAGGCCCAGCGCACCTCCTGTCTGCGTGTGTTCTCAGGGCTCATGAGTGCCACTTGCCGTGGAGCCCCGCAACATTGCAGGGCCACCTTTCCTCCTCTTCACAGCTCTAGCTCCCCCGGAGTTAATCCTTTGGCTTTTCTTTTCCTCTGCTTGGTTTCCTGTGTATTTAATACCAGTGTAGCTGCCGCATCGGCAACGGTAGTTAAATCTGCTCTTAGCGTTTTCAGATGCACCAAGTACTCTCTCAGTTCCACTTGCTGAGTTCTTGGAGCATCTGACCTGGCCCAGTGGGAACATCATGGCCCGCTCTGTCTGCACCCAGCCAGCATGCCCTTCGTTGCTACCTAGGCTTTCCCCTGCCTGTGGTTCAAGTTGGATTCCCTTTTTGCAGTGCCTTAGGCCTTCCTCCTTTTTTATTTGTTCTCTTTTTGGTACACCCCCCAGTAACTTCCTGAGAAAAGGGTATATAGGCTGTAAATTTTTCTTAACTTTGGAGGCCTGAAAATGGCTTCATTTTACTCTATTACTTGATTAACAGTTTGGATATAGAATTCTTCATTGCAATCATTTTCTTTTTTTTTTTTTAAGAAATTGCTTCATTGTCTCTGGCTTCCAGTATGGAAGCTAGCACGTTGAGGATTTCAAGGGCATTCTGATTTTTCATCTTTTGTATGTGACTCTTTACCCTCTCTGGTGGCTTATGTCGTACTTTCTCCTTCCTACTTGGAAGTTTCACAGTGATGTGGTTTGGGCCCCTGTCAATTCTAGGAATTCCTATCGTTCAATCCTGGGAAAATTTCTTGACTGGTTTTCCCCCTTCCCATATTCTGTTATCTCTTTTTGAAACTCCTATTCAGTCATGCAAATGTTGAATGAGATTCCACTCTTTAACAGGCTCTATTCCAGGCATTTGGCATATTTCTGTGAACAAATCAGTTAAATAATCCCTGCACTAGTAGACCTTACATTCTAGTGGGAGGAGACCAGACAATAAACAAGAGACGGAATGAATACGTAAGTTATATGGTATGTTCGAGGTCTGTGTGACCGCACTTACTGTACATTGAGTGGCCATAGGTGCAGGCGTGGGTGGGTGGAGTTGGATTTTACCCGGGAGTGTAATTGGGCAGAGGAGGTGAGGGCATGTGGAGGACAGTATTGATAATGATGACCGCAGAGATGAAGTGGGTAATGAGGCTAATGGGTAATCCAGGAAGATGTCAAGGCCCAGTGGAAAGAAGATGAGCAATATCAGTGGGATTGAAAGACTGGGATTTGGGTTCCTGAGAGAGGGAGCTGGAAAGACCAGGAGTAGAGGTTAGAGAGCAGATAATGGGACTGACTCATGGAGGGCCTGCACTTAATCGAGTGGGAGATCGAGTACGTGACTTTGGGAGAGTAGTGAGGGCAAGAAGAGAGAGACGTCAAGGTCCTTGGGAGAGGAGGTGTTCTGGAAACTGCCATCGGTTGTAGGAGAAATCCGCTACCTAGATGAATCTTGAAATTGCTCAGGCTATACTTGAGGGAGCACAAGTCAGGAGCTAAATGGTGAAGAAGGAGTGGGGCGAAGGTGAGGGGTGGTTGCTGTGTGGAATTGGGAGGGGAGGAGGTCAGGAAGCCGGAATTTCAGGGAGCACTGAGGGAGAATAGTTGGGCAACAGCACAAAAAGCAGGTCATGTGTTGTGTTCTCAGGCTCAGTGGTAGTAGGGCTCTGGGAGAAACCACCAGAAGGTCAGAGGGCTGCAAAGGGAACAGGCTTCTCAGGGGAGAGTGGGTTTCTGCTAATGCACTAGGTAAAGGGACCACTTAGAGAAGAAAATGAGGATGAGGGGAAATAGTAATCCAGAGTTTCAGGCGTTGGGAAGGGTTAGGAGGTGCAGATGGGGGCGATGGCTGTACAGAGCCCTTTGGGGAAGAGTGTAGGAGGATGACTGTTTTTGAGATGGACATGATGATGGGGATAAAGAAAACTCAAGGCAGATGTTGAAAGGGTAGAGGTGTCTGGGAAGCATGGGTTTCCTCCCAGTGCAGAGCTCGCCCTTTCCCCAGTGGGGATGTGGCCCACTTGGTCCTAGTGCCCAGGCTTTCCCTTGACCACTGTTGATGGGGTCCCAGCTAGGGAAGCCCCCTTAACTCTGAGCATCACACTCACCCTTGACCCTCGATGATGAAGGGCGAAGGAGGCCTGGGGAGGTTTGGTCTTGGTCCCAGAGGCAGCTCCCCGCTGTAGTTCTGAGCTGTAGTGCTCCCCAGATCTCTGCTGATAAAAGAGTTGTAGGCATTCGGGGAAACATGGCTCCAATTCCTGAAGGAAGGGGCAGTAGACCTCTGGGATCAGCTCTTTAACTTTTTTGTTTCTCTCCTGTTTGTCCATCCCTTTTGATCTCTTTTGCTCTACTTTTAAAAGATTTTCTCAACTCTGTCTTTGAATACTTCCATTGGGTTTGTGTTTCTGTAGTCATTTCCAGGATATAGATATTTTCACTTACCTCAGAGCCTATTTAGTTTGTCACTGTTCTCTGCTGTTTCCTTCCACATGCATAGTTTATTTCCTAACTGATGCTCTTCTGTGTGTATTTGTTTGGCCCTACGTTTCAGGGCGGGGTGGGGAGTACTAAAACGCTGATGGGCAGCTCTGAGCATAGGTAAGGCTGATGGGTCTGGGTGTTTTGTTGGGAAATTTTGACGTGGATATGTTGGTCTTTACTCTAGACTAGGCAGACAGTTCTACAGGGAGACATCCGCCAGTCCTCTTATGCGGAGAGCAGTCTTGCTGGCAGCATTCTGGGGACTGAGGCCAGACTGGGGGCCTCAGCATCAGTACGCGTCTATTCACCTGATCTTGTTCTCCGTGTATGCGGGACTCCTGTCTCCATTGGGCCTTGTCTTTTCCCAACCCTGAGTCCCTTTGCATTTGATTCATTTTTAGTTTCTTCAGTTTGCAAATGAAAAAAACCCCACAGCTTTATTAAGGTGTAACTGGTGTAGAATAAGCTGCTTGTACATAAAGTGTACAAATAAATGTACCTACCATATTAGTTTCTGAGGACTGCCCTAACAAAGTACCACAAACTGGGTGACTTAGAGGAACAGAAGTTTCCTGTCTGCACAGTTTTGGAGATTAGCAAATGCCCAAGGTGGGGCGGCAGCAGTGTTGGTGCCCTCTGAGGCCTGTGAAGGGCAATCTGTCCCACCCTTCTCTTCTGGCTCCTGGTGGTTTGCTGGCAGTCTGTGGCATTCCTTGGCTTGTGAGGAGCATCTGTGCGTCTTCACATCTGTCTTCCTCTGTGCATGTCTTTCTCTTTTCATCTGGCATTCTTTTCAGAAGGACATCAGTCAGATTGGATTAGGGGCCCACCCTATTCCAGCATGATCTCATCTCAACTTAACTAAATGCATCTTCAGTGACTCCATTTCCAAATAAGTTCACATCCTGAGGTACTGGGAGTTAGAGCTTCAACATATGAATTTTACAAGGACATAACTCAACCCATAACAATACTCATGGAACCATGACCACAGTCAAAATGGTGAAAATACTCATAACCCCTCCGAAGTTTCGGTGTCCTTTGGTGTCCCTTCCTTCCTGAGCCTCCCTCTCCCCCCCACTCCAGGCAGCCACTGATGTGCTTTCTGTCGCTGTGGATTAGTTTCCATTTTGTGGCATTTTATATAATTGGAATTATAGAGTATGTCCTCTTTTGTCTGGCATCTTCTACACAGCGTGCTTATTTTGAGACTCAGCCGTGTTGCACGTATCGGTAGTGCTTTCCCCTTTCTTGCTGGGTAGTAATTCCACTGTGTAGATGTGCCATAGTTTGTTTATCCTCCTGTTGATAGACATTTGGATTATTTCCAGTTTGGAGCTATTATGAATAAGCTACTATAAACATCCTTTATTTTGGGTAAAATAAGGTAGATCAACTGTAGCCGAACTCAAAAATACATTTCCAATTATTTCTGCATACAAAAGGTTTTCTAAATATTTAACCTAATATTTAAGTGTTAATATTTAATACTTAACTTACTATTTTAATTAAATTTACTTAATATTTAATTGACTTCAAGTTTTAAAATATTTAAGTTTCCTAAATATTTAACCTACAGTATTTACCCTAATTCTAAGACAAACCCTGACAAGATCTGCCATTCCACCAGCCTACACAGATCATAAAATAGGGCTGCTTTGATTGGGACACCTGGTCCTGGAACTTCACTCCTTCTGATGTTCCCAGTTTGTCGCTAGCATGTGGGCAGTGTGGCCCCGTGGTAGGCACTCAGGTTCTGGGCGGATCACTTGTGGGGCTGAGGACCCACCATGCCCTGTGGATCTCATGACGGCCTTCTCTTTCTGCTTCAGATCCGGAGGCTGAAGCTGCAGCTGGAGGAGGAGCGGCAGAAGTGCTCCCGGAGCGAGGGCTCGGCAGCTGACGTGGCGGGCCTGCACAACGGCTCCGACCTGCAGTTCATCGAAATGCAGAGTAGGTACCGTGGCCAGGCCAGGGCCACTCTGTGGGGAGGCTGTGTTCCAGGAGTGCGACTGCAGGCACGCTGTCGGTCTTGATGTGCATTTCTCTCGGGGAGCCAGGTTACAGAGATTGCTTAGTCCTCAGCGAGCCCAGATAGTAGTCCCGATCAGTGGTGCAGCCGGGTAGAGGCTTCTAGTAGCCTCTGCACTTCAGGGAATGGATTACAAGAGGACCGGGTTAACGCAGTGATTTCTAGAGACATTTTGGAAACGGTGTCCTCCTGGCACTGTCCTCTCCCACACCTGGGTAGTTCAACTGTCAGCTCCCATATAGCACCCTTCTTGATGAGATTTTTCTTGTGGAATCTATCTTGGATAGTGAAGGATATTATTGGAACTAACTCACACTAATGCTGAATAGTTCCAGAACTTTGCCAGAAGTTTTATTAACCAAATTAATCTTTATAGCTGGAATTTAAAACAAGGCCACAAAGTAAGCCTATTCATGCAGTTTTTCTCCCTTTCTGTTTTTGACCCCATGTTGTTTTAAAATGCCTGCTGTGTTCACAGTAATCTCCATGGTCGGGGGAGGTCAGCAGCCATTCATATATAGCTAGACAATGTATCGTTTGTGGAGAGGGGAGACTTACTTTTTATTCAGTTTGAGTTGTGGCTTTTCTGATAATTTATTTTAAAATATAAGTTATTTCATGGCTTTTTCATCTAAATATTTTTGCATTAGGCTAAATAGAAAAGGCTTCTTGGATTAAGGCTTATTGATACTATTAATACTGGCTTTTGAGGTTAGTATCATGTCCTTTATTAGAGATCAGTTGGGACCCTCGTGACACTTCCTGTTGAATATTTTATTCTAGAAATACTTTGGTGTGGAGGATAGATGAAGATGGGTATTAGAGGCAGACTGACTAGCTGGGAGGCTGTGATGATCAGCTGGACCAGTACAGTGGCTGCCAACAGTCTTAGAGAGAGGGCAGGGGGTAGATTGGCCTAAAGCAGCAAAATCAAAAGGAGTCCCACTGAGGGAGAACAGGCATGCCTTACATGTGAATGCTCCTAGGGCAGGTGGGCGTTATGGAGCTGGTATCTGGGAAGGACCCAGAGTGACTGTAGAACGAGGTGGGCTCAGCGGGACCCAGTAGACAGGCCTGGCCAGCAAAGGAAGCCCGGGGACATGAGCATGGTGTGATTGAATGGAATTTCATAGCAAGCACGAAATGGCAAAGATGCAGGACTTACACTCTTGAAAACAGGAAGGAAAGGGAGGTTTGCCATGAGAAGGAAGCAGCACATTGTGATAATTAGTAAGTGCTGGGATGAAGAATTAGCTAGATCCTGAAGCTTGTGTTTTAGAGTCCAGCAGTAGGAACTCTTGTCTCTCACTGCCAGAGGGGCCTTTGGGGTGAGAGTTTTATAGCCCCATTACTTTTCAGGTGACAGTAACTACCCGTGAGAAGAACCTCTCGCTCAAGATTATATAAGTAGTTGTAACCTCAGTGATGTGGAAAAGCAGAAAAGTTCTTAAGTTAGATAGCTTAGATTTGGTTTATCTCCTTTAGGCCTTATGATTCCTACCCTATAATCATTTCAGAATGATTTTTGTTAAATTTGGTTTGCTGGAAGGAGTTTTTTTAACTTCTCATTTTAAATGACTTCTTAGGTCAGAAGTACAACTGATGATTTAGAAGTCTACCTATCATATTATCACAACATGTTACTGAAAAGCATTTCTTTGAGCAAATGTTTATTAAGCACATGCACAAAGCCCTTGGCAAGATACAGAGGTAGACTGAGGAAGGCAGAGCCAGGGCCCCTCTCCTCACGTACAGTGTTCAGAAAGCACGATTAGTGTTAGCAAAAACAGTGCCAATAAAACGCCACGGGGAAGGTGAAGTTACAGGGGACTAAGCAAGAGTCATGCTGGAGGGTGCTGAGGACTTCATTCAGAGGCGGGGAGAGCAGGACCCTCAAGGTGTGGCAGCCAAAGGGAGCGCGGAAGGTAGGAAGGTGAGGAAAACTGGAGGCTCCTGGGGGAAGGGCAGCACCTAAGTTTGGCGGGGGCCACTGATGCACTTGACAGGGCTCCTTGCTCATCGGCCTCCCCCCACCATGGGGTAAAGAGTAAATTTTCTTCCACCTCCCTGGTCCAAGGGATGCTTGGATCAGGGGCTAGAGCTTCTCGCAGGAGAGCCGTTGTAGAGCCCAGGCTGCGGGAGGTGCTGTGGCCGCCACTTGGGCGTTTGCGCTCGGTCCCCTTCTGGGCTGCAGAGGCTGTCACTGCCTGAGGTCACACCTGCTCTCTGACAGGTGATTCACTATTCTCTTCTCTTCTAGGAGATGCCAATAGACAAATTAGTGAATACAAATTTAAGCTTTCAAAGGCAGAACAGGATATAACCACGTTGGAGCAGAATGTAAGTACTTCAGTGTGCTACCAAGTGATTTACACTCCCTTGGAAACTACCTGCATCCGAGTGGCTAACTCCAGGAGTACCTGGCTTTTCTTTGGGCTGCCTCTGCAGTGGGGTCTCTATAAAAGCTCTCTATTAAAGTAGAAACGCCAGCAGAGAGAACCTGGCAGGTCACTTCAGCCTTCTGTTAGCTGTAAAAGTGCAGAAGACTGAAGCTATAATTCTGTTTTTTCCAGATTATTTCAAGAGACTTCAGGAAGACTGTAGTTTGAAAATCCCTTATTGTACATTTCAAAAAGTCTAAAAGCTTTTCCATTTAGTGAGTTTTGCCCTGCACTGTTACTTTGGCACTTAAACAGTATGTTCATCATAAACTTAACATGGGAAATCGGCTTGATAAGGACTCTCCAGCCTTATCCCTCTCCGGGGACATTTCTTGATCTATAAATAGGCGTCAGGTGCTGAGAGGCCCTCTGACTCACCGTGAGGGGATGACTTGGGATTTGTAATGATGCTGTGTTTCCATGTGGCTGCGAGAAAGGGGCCCCCGGTGGCCATTAGCAGAGGCTCGTGTTCTTTGTTGACAGATCAGCCGGCTGGAGGGCCAGGTGCTGAGGTATAAGACGGCCGCGGAGAACGCCGAGAAAGTGGAAGACGAACTGAAGGCCGAGAAGAGGAAGCTGCAGCGAGAGGTACCCGCTTTCGCATGCTCGCATTCCCACAAAGAACAGATCCTTCGCTGCCTGAGGAACTGAATCCTGGCTCAATCTTAAGGGAACCGCCGTGGAGTCTCTCACTCTTCGGTGTTGGTTTTCGACCTGTGGGGTGACTGCCATTTACTTTTAGGTTTCGGCCAGTTAGAGACTGAGAGGAAGGATAGGTCTCCCTTTTGTTGTGGAGCCGGTCTGTTCCCCCACCCGCCGGCTGTCCTTTCTGGGGTTGAGGCTCAGTGTCCCTGCTCGGTGCTGCCAGCTGGCGAAAGAGAGGCGAGGCCGCAGGGCACTGTGCGGGGGCGGGGGGGGGAGTGCTTCCGTGTCGCAGGCAGGGGGCGGGGGCACGCTCAAGTGGCCCTGGGTTTCGTGTGTGACGGTGTGAAGTGACTGCGCCCTCCCTGTCTGCAGTTACGAACGGCCCTGGACAAGATTGAGGAGATGGAGATGACCAACAGCCACCTGGCCAAGCGGCTGGAGAAGATGAAGGCCAACAGAACAGCACTTCTGGCCCAGCAGTAGGCGGCCACCCTGCGGCCCGGGCGCCGCTTCTGGGCCCCCGCCAGGGGGACTGACTTTTTGTCCATTGACACAGACCCCCTTCAGTACTGTTTGAGTTTTGTCATTAAAATAGCCACCTTTGTATTTTATAATTTATGAGAGAATGAAACAGGTTTGAATCTTCATGAATGAACACTTTGGATTTCGTTTGTAGTTTGATTCTAGACTAAGAACTGGTCCATGCTGGGTTTTGTTTTGTTTTTTTAATTTCCATAATTTTAGAATCAAGTTTACTCACCATTTTCCCCCAGCTGCCTCAGTGACTGGGCACTCGGAGGCCTTGGCACAGGTTCCGGAGGACAGCGACTCTGTGAGTGCCCAATGAGGTAACTCGGCTGGAGACCTCGGAAAACACAAGTGCCTTCTCCATGGTGCAATTCAGACTTCAGTCATCCCCAACGGTCAAAAGACACTTACCCTTAATATCAGATGGCATTTATATTTTAGTGAAGAAACAAGTTCACAGGCGGGGAATATATGTTTCACTCAAATTTCTATGTTTGGAGGAAAAAGCCTTTTTTTGTAAAATATTTAAATTTATATAAGAAAATGTTAGAAAAAGATATGGGGAGTGTATATAAAACTTGCTTTATTGCATGTGGCCGGGAATGTCCAAAGCCTAACACTCTTAAAGTAAGAGTAGGGCCCTTCGTCTTCAACGTCAGCTGTGCTGTATCTCATGTAAAGTATCTCATCTGCTGCTCATCTGTGGAGTGACCCCTCAGACGAGCCCAGTGGGGGTGGGGACAGGCAGGGGGAGGTCGGCCTGAAGACTCTATTAAACGCACCCTCTTGCTGACCATGGCTGGCTGCTGACACAGTCATTTTTGTTGGGGGAGACTTTAAAACACCTCAAGGCAGCCACACACACACCCCTGTTACCTTGCCCCTCTTCTCTCCTCCGCAAGAAGAATGATCTGGAATGTACAGCTTTTTAAGAACTTCAGTCAGTTTCATCTTTAAAGGCACCTAGTTCAAGGGGCTTTTATCATCGAGTGTGGCTACTCTGCAGGATTTGTGATTCTCTTTTGCCCTCAGAACCAAGGTGGTTTTATGGAGATGGTGGCTGTTATCTACAGAACAAATGCAAGGGGAAGTCTCATGAATTAAAGGCACATGAGATAAAGTTTAGACTTGAAGCTAGATGCTAAAGCTAACTTGAGTGTGAAAATCTCTACGAATTACCCCCTTCTTCAGAGCAATGAGCTTTGTAGTTGTATTTTATTTTTAAAATATGGAAACCGCTGTCCTGAATGGAGGGGATTTCCTATAAATTCTCTCTAGTCATAGTGGGTGCAATCACCTGTGCAGGAGCTGCGAGAGAGGGAGAGGGGGGCAAAGTTCTGTTCAGCCTGTACCCCGCTGGGCTCAGCAAGCCCCACTGCTGAGCCGCCCTGTTGTTGACTTTTTGGAAGTTCTACATGGTTGAACCTGACTTTGCCCCTTTTGCGGTACAACAAATTTGTCTCTTCTGTTGTCCCAGTCTCTTCCAAAGGGAATGGCTGTCTTCACTCGGTAGAGTTCCCTGTTCTTTCCCATGGAACGTTCTTCACTGAGTCTTGTGATCTGATTTTACCTCTGTACTGAAGGCGTTCGTCCTCCCCATGCTCACTGCACTTTTCTGTTAACGCAGGCTAGTGTTAAGGCAGCTTCTTATAATGGTACCTACAGCTTAAGTGTGTATTTTTATGTCATTCTTCAGACAAGAATAACTAGAACGTAAGCTGGTAGGATTCAGATCCATTAACAAAGGGGGCTTACTTAAAGGGCACACTAGTTACAAACTCCATCAGGACTGCTGTCCTCTTGCAAGTTTTTCTTTCATTACAGATTAATTAGCTTTGGTTACATAAGGTAGTAACAGCTTATCATTTCAGCCTTCTCCATACTCAGTGTCACCAGAGCCTCTTACACGTTCGGGACCTCTTTCCAAGGCAGGTGAACCAATGTAATTCATATCAACTGATATTAGAAATTTACTGGAGTACACAAAGAACCAAACCAGAGCAAGATCTATAAAATCTTCAAGGCCTTTTTAGAATTCTTATCAGATGCCCAGAGGGCTTTCAAACTGCTTTTGGATTCTTCAACACAATCAAGTATACTGTAGGTGAAAATGGATCTAGAAAACCTTTCAAGTGTAGTGAAATTAAATAAGAAATCATGTTAGGACACATCTGACAATTTATTTCTGGTCAATCCACCAAGCATGAAAGAGTGCTACTAGTTAGAGGGCAAACGGGAGTCTTCAACCCTAAGACCTATCCTCGTCAGGATGCAGTGCAAGAACCACACAGCCCAGAGTCCGCAAGTGATCGTGGTCAGCACCTCTCGAAGACTTTGTACAGATCAGGCAGGTTAGCAAGCTGTAGGATATTTCCATCTTCTGTGAAATGTTTAGGAGGCAGAAGGTGGGAGCGGAAGGCTTTATAAACAATGTGTTCCACAGTCCACTTCCAGGGGTTTGCAGAGGAGCCTGACACTTCGCTCTGGAAAAGACACGTTCAAGGTCACAAGCCTGCCTGTTCGCCCCGCTCACATCCCAGCATTTGTGGTTTCCTGGCTGACCTGTACTGGGCCTGGAAGTCTTGCTGGTTACAATGGGCTGTTTTACCTGCTGCTGGTGAAACATCCTCTCTGGTCAGCCTCTCAGGGATCCTACAGCCCTGAAGGAGACAAGGGGAAAGGCAGGCAGAGACCTCCCATGGAAACTTTGTTTCCATTCAGGAGAACTGTTGATTGTAGCAGCATCTAACATAAGGTCTGATCCTGACTATGAGGTTCAGCCCACAATAGTAGGAAGTGTATTCACCCAGGCCCTTTCTGTGTACAGCTGATCTGTAAGAAGAGCTAGGGATCTGACCTTAGTACTGCCCTGTTTGCCTGGAAGAGCAGTGGTCAGATGTATAATGAGCCAAAGCTAAATGAGCGTGGGGAGACTGGGGCAGAACCTGAAGACTGGGGCTGCACACCTGAGGGCTAACGGTGGGAGACGACAATTCGCTAGCCCTGGATCATCCACCAGCTCAGCCTCCCAGCTCTCACGGTGACGGCTTGTGTTTTCACATTTGACAGGTACTGAGATCATTCTAGAGGGACCTTCCAAACCAGCAGAAGGAAGTGAAATTCATGAATAAAAGCTGACCATTATGTTGAAACCTTATGTGCAGTGAAATCCTACAAATTCAGAGGTGGCAGGTTTCATTTGCTAAAGGTTGTGTGAGGCCCATCCCCATCCTGGGTGCTAATGTGCATCACCACAGTACCTGCTGGCCCGAGAGGGTTGACTCCTCAGATATATACTGCTTCCGAATGGAGTAAAACATAGCACATTCTTTACTAAGGCTTTCAAAACATTCCTTCTCTTCATCCCAGTTCACCTGGTCCAAAGAGAGAAATTAATACCTCAACATAGGTACTTGCTTTAACAAACATTTCATTTCGAAGTGGAGGTTACAGACTACTTAAAGCTTTTTTCATGTAACGTTTTCAGCATTAAATCTGTAAACCGGAACTGCCGAATACGGCTGGGGTAGGTGGGGTAAAGGGGGGCCTTCAACTGTTGTATCCTTTTCATCTCCATCATTCCATGTGAAGGTGTGGCCCCGTGCCCTCTCCCGCCAGCCCACACGCAGGTACCCACATACTTAGGAATGGCTTGACCACTTGCCTCCGTGGCGAGTCGAAGAATGAAGATAGGCAGACCCTCCAAAGGGGGCACATAGCTGTCGATGAGCAGGGGTAATCCAGTCAAGTTCCCTTCCTGCTTGTGCAGAAAAGGCCACGACAAGGGACAAGAAGTAAATTGTTAGAGTTTAATCTAGTTCCATTTCCCCAGTGCTCCCTCCAGGTCTTGTCCGCATGTCTGCACTCTGGGTGACCAGGTGGCCTGACTGGGCTGGGCACCGAGGGCAGGAGAGCAAAGTGCTTAAAAAGAGCTTTTTGTACAGAAAAACTTCTTGTTTCAATATGCTCACCAGCTAAAGAACACATCGAGATGGAAAGCCCCAAAGTTTAAGGGATAAGAGGAAGAAACAAGGAAAGCAAGTGGCCTGGCATCCTCTCATTCGCAGGGACTGTGGGATTCAGCTCTCCCTTGTTGGGGTACTTCACCCCGGGAACAGGAAGGGGCATGAATGGATGAGAAAGCAAACAGGGAGTGAGGATGTGAACGGATGTCACATGCTGCATCTCACAGGGGCGGGCAGCCTTCTCCCTTCTCGTCCTGATCTCGGACCAACTACAGAACTTGACTCTTACCTGAGGAATGCAACAGAGGCATAAAAATGGCTGTCACACACCTCATCGATTTCCAAAGAGAAATAGTCTGCGAGCATCTCAGCCTTCTTCCTCAGAAACTCAACAATGTACTCGGCAAGTCCTTCTTTGGGACCATCTTCCTCTGTCCAGCCACTCTCAGGACTATCCAAGGCAAGCATGGCCAGGTCAAACAGCGGCGCTGGCTCCTAGAACAGAGGAGATGTCAACCGTGCATCCAAGTGAAGCCTGAATTCCTTCCCACAAAACCACCACAGGCACACCTCGGCGGTACTTGGGGTTTGGTTCCAGACTGCCACAGTAAAGGAGTAGCACAACACAGGGAGTCAAACGAATTTTTTGGTTTCCTAGTGCACATAAAAAAAAGTTACGTTTACACACATATGTCTAAAAAAACAATGTACACCTTAACTAAAAAAAAACTAGTCAGCTGTAATCATCAAGACAGTATGATACTGGCACAAAAACTGACACACAGATCAATGGAACAGAATAGAGAGCCCAGAAATGAACCCTCAAGTCTACAGTCAACTAATCTTTGACAAAGCAGGAAAGAATGTCCAGTGGAAAAAAGTCTCTTCAACAAATGGTGCTGGGAAAATTGGACAGCCACGTGCAGAAGAATGAAACTGGACCATTTCCTTACACCAAAATAGACTCAAAATGGAAGAAAGACCTAAATGTGCAACAGGAATCCATCAAAATCCTAGAGGAGAACACAGGCAGCAACCTCTGTGACCTCAGCCGCAGCAACTTCTTGCTAAACCCGTCTCCAGAACCAAGGGAAGCAAGGGCAAAAATGAACTATTGGGACTTCATCAAGATAAAAAGCTTTTGCACAGCAAAAGAAACAGTCAACAAAACCAAAAGACAACCGACAGAATGGGAGAAGATACTTGCAAATGACGTATCAGATAAAAGGACTAGTATCCAAAATCTATAAAGAACTTCTTAAACTCAACACCCAAAGAACAAATGATCCAGTCAAGAAATGGGCAGAAGACATGAACAGACACTCCAAAGAAGACATCCAAATGGCCAACAGACACATGAAAAAATGTTCAACATCACTCGGCATCAGGGGAATACATATCAAAACCACAATGAGATGCCGCCTCACACCAGTCAGAATGGCTAAAATTAACAAGTCAGGAAACAACAGATGTTGGCAAGAATGCAGAGAAAGGGGAACCCTCCCACATTGTTGGTGGGGATGCAAACTAGTGCAGCCACTCTGGAAAACAGTACGGAGGATCCTCAAAAGGTTGAAAATAGAGCTACCCTACGACCCAGCAATTGCACTACTCGGTATTTACCCCAAAGATACAAATGTAACGATCTGAAGGGGCACCTGCACCCCCAATGTTGATAGCAGCAACGTCCACAATTAGCCAAACTATGGAAAAAGAGCCCAGACGTCCATCGACAGATGAATGGATAGAGAAGATGTGGTATATATATACAATGGAATATTATGCAGCCATCAAAAGGAATGAAATCTTGCCATTTGCAATGACGTGGATGGAACTGGAGGGTATTATGCTAAGTGAAATAAGTCAATCAGAAAGACAATTATCATATGATCTCACTAATATGCGGAATTTAAGAAGCAAGGCAGAGGATCATAGGGGAAGAGAGGAAAAAATGAAACAAGATGAAACCAGAGAGGGAGACAAACTATAAGAGACTCTTAATCATAGGAAGCAAACAGGGTTGCTGGGGGGAGGGGGGTGCTGGGATAGGGGGAGGGGGGTGGTGGGATGGGGTAACTGGGTGATGGACATTAAGGAGGGTATGTGTTGTAATGAGCACTGGGTGTTATGTAAGACTGATGAATCACAGACCTGTACCCCTGAAACAAATATACATTATATGTTAATTAATTGAATTTAAATTTAAAAAAAGTGAAAAAAGAAAATGTGTGCTTCTGGAAAAAAAATTATTGCTAAAAAATGCTAACCATCTGAGCTTACAGTGAATTATAATCACTGATCACAGTTTGTATTATACACAAATACAATAATAAAAAAGTTTGAAATATTGCCACAACTACCAAAATGTGACACAGAGACAGGAAGTGAGCAAACGCTGTTGGAAAGCTGGCGCCAACAGACTTGCTCACTGTGGGGTTGCCGCAGACCTTGAATTTGTAGAAATGCAAGGTCTGTGACGCACAGGGAAGCACAGACTAAAACGAGGTGTGCTTGTGTGAAAGCCACAAAGCCATGATCCTGACAGCAGCTGAGAAACCCCAAAGCTAACACTCACTCGAGCCCATCTCCCACAAAGAAAACACCTGAAAATCCATAAGAAAACCTCTTCCCCCTCCTCCCCGGTGGCCATTTCAGCAGCGAGGATGTGCCAGCCTGCTGAGCAGGTGGGAGGGGGAGGCTGGGTGGAGGCACTGCCCTCCCGTGGAGCTGCAAGTCTTCCACTGCCTCACTGAGAAGGAAGCCAGGGGAGGGGAGAAGTTCAGTGACCTCTCAGCTAAGTCATCTGATTAGGAAGAAGACTGAAATACATGGTTAAAAGTAAGATGCCTCAATTTTCTTCCATTTCTCCCCTTCTGATGTTACTATGGTCATTCATTTTACATGTTATAAACCCACAGAACACTGTTCCTATTTTTTTATAATAGAGGAGTCAATGAAAGGACCCGACAATCTAAATGTTAATGCACTTGGTACCAGAACTTTAAAATCTATGAAGGATCAAACTAATGGAACTGGTAAAGAGAAAAAGACAAATCTGCAATTACAGTCAGAGGTTTCAATATCACCCTTTTTAAAAAATAAACTGGAACAAATAGAAAGTCAGGATATAGAAGATCTGAGCATCACTGTCAACTTGCTATTCCTGCCACTCAGAACACTGCACTCAAGCAGACCAGAATACACATTTGTTTCAAGTGTGCGTGGGTCATTTAGCAGCACCAACCATACTCTTAGTGATTTCTAATTCAGGAACAGGTATCAGGAAAATCTCCAAGTAACTGGAAACAACACACTTCCCAATAACCTGTGAGTCAAAGAAGAAATCAAAAAGGAAATAAACTATTTTGTCCTGGATGAAAATGAAAACTTATCAAAATTTGTGGGAAGCTGCTAGAGCAGCACTGAGGGGAAATTTATTAGCACTTAACACCTATATTAGAAAAGGATGATGTCCAATCAGTGACCTCAGCTTCTACCTTAATAAATTTGAAACAGAAGAGCAAATTTAACCCAAAATAAGTAGAAAGGAAGTAATAAAGATCAGAGTAAATTATCAGTGGAATAGAAAACAGAAAAACAACAGAAAAATCAATGAAACCAAAAGTCAGTTCTTTGAGATCAATGAAAATTGGTAAACTTCTAATCAGACTGATTAGGTTAAGAGAGGATACACATCGCCAATATTAGGAATGAGAGAGGATCTACTTATTAAAAGAATTATGAAAAATACTATGAACAACTTCATGCCAATAAATTCGAAAACTTCAATGGACAAATTCCTTGAAAGGAACCAAAACCAAAGCTCTGTCAAGAAGAAAAAAATCTGAATAGTTATCTAGGAAAGAAACTGAATTTGTAGCTAAAAACCTTCCTTTGAGGAAATCTGCAGGCCCAGATGGCTTCACTCACTGTTGAATTCTACCAGACATTTAAGGAATAAACCCCAATTCTATACAGACTCAGATGATGAAAAAGGAGGGGATAGCTTCCAACTCATTTTATGAAACCAGCGTTAATGCTGATACCAAAACCAAAGACTACAAGAAAAATAAAAACCAGTATCAATTCACGAACATATATGTAGCAATTGTAAACAAAATTCTGGCAAATCAATTTCAATAATATATAAAAAGAGTAACATATCACGTACAAGCACGGTTCATCCCAGGAATGCAAGACTGGTTTTTAACATGAAAATCAATGTAATTCATTATATTAAGAAATTAAAAAAGAATACCATGCAATTATCTTAACAGACGCAGAAAAGGCATTTGAAAAAATTCAATATCCATTCCTGAATAAAAACAAATGTAAGCAAACAAGGAACAGAAGGGAACTTCCTCATCCTAATAAAGGACATCTCATCTCTACCTATGGCAAAAAGCATACTTACTTTCAAAAGACTGAATGTGTTTCCCTGTATCAGCAACAAGAGAAGGATTTCCATTCTCACCACTTCTATTCAACATTGTACTAAGGGTCTAGTCAGTGCAATCAGACAAGAAAAAGAAAGAAAAGCCATCCAGATTGGATAGGAAAAATAAAACTGCCTTTATTGCCATGATCATTCATGCAGAAACTGATGGAAATCTGTAAGAAAACTAGTAGCACTACTAAGTGAGTTTGGCAAGGTTGCAAGGTACAAGATCAGTGTACATAATAAACACTTGTGTTTCCACTGGACAACTTTTAAAATGCGATTAGCGTCAAAAAATGTGGGATATTAAGGGATAAATCTAACAAAAGATTTCCTCCTCAAATTGCTCTGTAGATTCAAGACAATCCCAATAAAGATCCCAGTAGGCTTTTCTGTAGCGTTATGTCAGCTGTACAAAGATAATATGAAACTACATAGATAAGTAGTCTGATTTTAATTCTAAATTAAAATTAAGCATTGAAAAGGTCCTGGAAGAAATGACCTAATACTGTCAGCTGGGGTTGGTTGTGTTTGGGTCATAGGCTTTAGAGAATGTTTATTTCTATTTTTATCTCTTTACAAGTTTTCTTAGATATGTATTAACCAATATCATACTAAAACTTTGTTTAAGCTGACTACCAAATGACTGTTCTGCTTTGTATAAAACTGTGTTATAACTAAAGATACTTCCATACACAAATCATACAATACAGAAGCTGTCCTAGGCATATTTGGAAAAACCTAATATACTGCAAATCAGACATTAGGGTAGAGCTATTATTTTCAGAAATGACCAACTGTTGGAAGTTTCAGAAGTGAGAAGCAGGAAGCAAACTTACCGACAGCCTCAGAACACCGAAATTGGCAAAATCATAAATGAGTATCTGGTAGAACAGTTCTTCACTGAAAATAAAAATGAAGTGACTTTAAGGAAATGCTGAATCCATGCCTGAGAGTCAAGCAGTCAGGACAAACGGGAGAAAGAACTCCTGCAACATGGATGAGACATGCTGTGGAGCCTTCCTGACAGTCTATGAGACTCCTTCTCCTCTAAGGAGCTGGGACCCGCTGCATGCTCCAGCTAGGACTCTGGCTGGCGGGCCTCTGCACGTGGCTTAGAGCACTAAGACTAAGTCTCTAAGTCACTCAGGCTCTGTCCCCACCCCCTGGTGCTGTAAAAGGCTGTTGAACGCCCTGTAGGTGAAATGTAAGAAATTTTTGCTTGCTTACTTTTTCCCCACTTACAAAGAATCCTCCTACAAGTCACCTTTTCTTTTCTTTTTTTTTACAACTCACCATTAAAAATAGTATGGAGTGTATAGGGAGGGCAGGAAACGATAAATAATCACAAGTAGATACAAGGCAGAATCAGACCACCCGGGTGTTTGGTGTAGGATGATGCACTGTCTGGCAACACTCCAAAAGCAGCTGTCAGGTGTACAATACACTGACCTCCTTACATAACACGGTGCTGAAATAAATGGTACTTTATAGTTCTTAAGCAATCTGAACCATATAGGTCTGTTTAAAGACTTCTCATTATCAAAGTAGACAAGGCATCTGCTACACCTGTATTACAAGGGGGAAACTGAGGCACCCAGCGAATACCTGACTTGTCCCGAGTCAAAGTTAATAAGGTGGAAAGGAAGGAGCTGAATCCAGATTCTGCACTCTGAACCTGGTTCTCAATCTGTTTCTTTTACCTTCTCACTGGGAAACCATTCACATTTATTAATAGCTGAAATTCTTGGACTGGCCTGGCTTTCTGTTTGTAAAATGAAAGAACCTGAACACAATGTGATCTGGAGCCTTGGAAATGTACTTACAGGAGCTGGAAAAAAAAGAACAAGGGCAGCAGAATTCCCAACACATTCTTAAGAGACAGCCCACTGCACAAGCCAAAGGATTCTCAAAGCAAAGACAAGGGATCTTGAACAGAGCTGCACGAAAAGGGCCCAAAAGGGGTGAGTTCTGAATACCCAAAGAGGTATGTGTGCCAGCAGTCAGCTCTGGGCCGGGCAGTTTCTGGGTGAGGGAGGAAAGCAGTTCTTATCTTGTGCACCACCCCCAAGCAACGTATGGTGGCTGCCTTGCTCCACGGGCTCGAGAAGCACTGCAAGGCGACAGCAGGGCTTGGTGGGAAAGGGCCCCCACAGTGGCCAGGTGATGCCTAGTAGATGCAGGGTGGCAGCACCCTCCCATCTGTGCCACCTAATTGAGAACAAATTTGATACAGGTTCTAGACTCACTAGGAGCTCATCCACGAAAGCCTCTGAGAACAATCAATAGAAAGGTCACTGGCTACGTACTGGGCAAATGGCACAGCTTGTCAACCCCGCTGGCTCATGTGATGGTGAGAGTAAGCCTTGGTGACATTCCCTAAGGAGGAAAGGGGGCATCGGGTCTTTTTGTCTCTTGCATCCCACAGTACCCCGCTGCACACAGCAGATGCTAGAATTCTCTACTGGCACTAAGCCCTTGACACTTGGTTCAACTACATTGGTCAACATTTACTGAGGACCAAGAACCTGCCAAACATCAGGCTTCTCATGTCATTTCTTATGCTCACAAAACTTAAGTAGTAATTTCCAAATTTGCAGATGAGACATCTGAGACGCAGTTTAGGAAAGTATCTTGTCCACCGTGACATAAACGGTAAATTGTTGGGTCTGGACTGGAAACCATCTCTGTCTGTCTCCAAAAGCCAGGAACCTTTCCAAACAGCTCATGCCGCTGTCCCTGGCTTTTTGCACTTGCATCTCCAGGACCATTCTTGTAGCGGTCCTGCTTGTGTCATGCACTCACTCGTTTACCTCAGTTTGGTGGTGTTGAGAAGGTACAACTTGGTCTGATGCTGCACCAAGGCCCACTGTGGATTCACGCAGCCTACAAAGGAGTGGTTATGCAGCATCTCCCGGAGTGCTGGAAAAGAAAGCGCAGGTCAGGAACGGCATCCCAAAGCGCCAAGCACCAGAGCTAGAGACCACAGATGAGCAACGATGCCTGCAATGTACCTCTTGCAGCAAACACACACAAATGAGGAATAGATTATAACTAATCTTTCAAAATGCAACAAAAACATTGCCCAAAGGTAAAGGAGAACTTGGCCCGCAGATCACACCCCGAGGCAATGCAGGAAGCCAGAGAAGTACTGCGAGCTCGGAAGCCAGCTTCACCCAAAGACACCAGAGGAACCTTGGGAATCATGAGTGCAAGTTTTCGCCGGCTCTCAGGTACGGGGAAAGAAAAACAAAAAGGTAGGAATGATTTGAAACGGGGAGTCTAACAGGAGGCCACTTCCCCAGCACGTGAAGCTGAGACACCAAGGGCCACACCCTCAGGCAAAAGAAAAGAAATCCTGCCATGTCCCGGGCCCCAGGGCAGGGAGCCCAAATGCCCACCCATCTCAAGCCTGGGTGTTGGGGCTGAGAAAAAAATCATAACCCCGAGAATCTGGAACCACCGCTGGTCCTCACATGTTTTTGCAGCAAGACTCACGCTAAGCACTGCCTTGTATGGAGATTTTAATTTAACGTTGATTCCAGGGCTGACTGATCCTCCAGGTCCCTGATAGAATCAAATGCAAATTCTCTGTGGAGAAATTCAGTTTCAGTCCAGGCTTCAAATTATACCCCACAGATACAACACCAGTAGCTAGCAGTCAAAAAATTACAAAACACACAAAGAATGCACCAAGAATTAGAATCCAGAAGAAACCACACGACCTCTGCAAAGGTTCAGAGACTGGAAATACCAGCAGAGAAGAGAAAATAAGTATGTTCAGCATGCTTCAGAGGGATTAAACAATGAATGAGCAGCAGGAGACTATCAGAAATGATCAAGATCTCCAAAAAATCCAAATTTCTAAAAATGAAAAATATAGTAATTGAAATTAAAACTCAAGACCGACTTCACAACAGATGAGACAAAGTTGCCAAGATAATAACTGGTAGGTAGATCTGAAGAAATTATCCAGAATGCAGCGCGGAGAGACAAAGAGAGGAAAACTATGGAAGCAGCTTATGCAACATGGAGGATAATAAATATATATAACTCAAGTTCCAGAAGGGAGAGAGGGCAGGGGGGAGATGATATTTACAGACTTTGAAGCCAAAAATATCTGAGACTATCCCAGAAATGATGGAAGACACCAAACCTCAGTTCTAGGAAGCCCAACAAAACCCACACTTGGCACACAGAGATACTGGACATTAAAGAAAAGAGATCTTAAAGGCACTCAGAGACAAAAGAGAGATTCCTCACAACGTAATAAAATATAAGACTGATAGCTGGATTTTCAGCAGTAATAGTGGAAGCCAAAAAATGACAGAACAACACCTTTGATGCATTAAGAAAAACTGTCAATCCAGAATTTTAAACCCAGCAAAAAACACTTTTCAAAATGATGAATTAGACAAAACAAAACTCAGTCGGCCACCCAAGACCGCACTAAATGATATGCTTCAGGCAGACCATGAACGATCCAAGGGAAAGAATTATGAGCAAATAATATTCGCTAAATCCAAACAAGCAGACAATAACAATGTATTATGGACCAATCTGATATCTACATGAAAACCCTGACTCTAACACCATACACCAAAGACGAACTCCAGGAGGACTAGGGCTTTATGTATAAGCATTTTAGGAGACAATATAAGAATATGTCTTTAATTATCCCAGAGTTGGGAAGCATTTCCTAAATAAGATTTTAAGAAGCCAGTCTAAAGAACAACTCACAAAATCTGCCTATGTTAAATCTAAGAATTTCTGTTCATGAAACAAGTATTTGTTTAAAAAAAGAAGAAGAAGAAGAAAATGGGTAAGTCCTAAATTGGGGGAAGATGTTTTCACGTAACTGATTATTATCTGGAATATATGAAGAACCCCTTGAATCAGTTCAAAAAGACCAAAAACCCACAGAAAAATGGGCAAAAAACTATAGAAAAGGCACTTACCGGAAGGGGAGACATCCTTAAGTTCAGAGTAATCAGGGAGATGCGAATAAAACCACCATTAGCTACCATTTCACGAACACCAAACTGGCAAAAAGTCTGACAAGGTCAAATGTTGGAGAGGAAGCAGAACAAATGCAGCTTCCGTACACTGTTGGTGGGACCAACCATGGGTATATTTATCTGACCCCTTTGAAAAACAGTTTATCATTTTATGACCCAGCAGCAGCTCTGCTGAGTGTATACCCACAGCCGAGCTTCCCAACTAGTGTGCCAAGCTCTTGAATCTCTCATGGCCAGGAGCGGGACGGGTACGAGGAGGCAGAGATGAGGCCATATGAATCCAAATGTCCTTCAACAGCAGAATGAACAACCAAGTCACCAAGTGGAATCTATTACACAGAAAAAGCAAACCAGAGCTATATGTAGTAAGATGGATGAATTCTAGGAACAGAATGTGCGTGTATGTGTGTTTCATATATATATTACACACACACACACACACACACACACCAAAAAAAACCCCTTATAATACGATTCCATTTATGTAAAATTTAAAACTTGCAAACTGAACAAATTTTTTAGGGCTACAAATATGGGTGGTAAAACTATATTGAAAAGAAATAACAATCATAAAATTTAAGATAGTGGTTACCTCTAAGGGAGAAGGGAAGGGGACAGTTTAGGGAAGAAGCACCTGAGAGCTTCAAAGGGGATGAAACCCACAATGCTCTATCTCTTAAGCAGGTGTTCACGTGTTTTCTTGTGTAGATCCTATGTATGTATTTTATAAATTTGATTTTTGATTTACGAATACATCTGTGTGTGTGTGTATGCGTGTGTAAGTAAAAATACCACCACCATAAAGGGGGGTAGGGGAAGAGGGTCTGCGGACCACAGGGAAGGGTCTGTATACCACGTTTTCACTATACTTTTCTTTTTTAGCTTGGGCACCACAAATGAATTCTCATACTGTTACATAAGTTCTGTAACACTCTCTGTCCCCTCAACCCCCAATAAAAAGAGACTTATTTTCTTCATTTTTAGAATGAAGTGTTCCCCTCTGTTCCCACTGGAAACTCAATGTCTCTACAGGATGTACTGCGTAGGCGGAAAATGATTATTTTAAAAGCTGGAGAACATCGAATAATCTTGAATAATGAGGCACTGGAGGAAAGAGAAAGCAGTGTAATCCACTAAAAAAAGGGTCAGAGATTTTTCCATACGAATTTTTCATGGAACCCTCTGACGCATCCTAGCTACCGAGGTGCGGCCTTGCCAGCCTGGGCAGGGAAGGGAGTAAGCGGCTGCCGGCTTGGCCTGGGGCTTCCAGAGTCGCTCCTTCAGCCAGGCAGGCCTTTTCTTCCCTGGGCTTCCTGAGGCTACTTGGACCTCCTTCACGACTTCTTATCAGGACCCAAGGGCCTCTGTTTCATCTGTCTTCTAACTATCTCCACAGCATCAGAAGTCTGTGGGCATTTCCCTGCCATTCTGCCAGCAGCAAAATGGACAAGATCCTTCTGGCTTCAATGCCAAACCACACAGCTGAGTTCTCAATGGAGGCCCTGGTCTCACTCAGGAGCGAGGAAAGCCAAACCCGAAGGAAGTGCGACGGGTCCTCTAGTTCTTCATGGCCATGTGCAGAGCAGGAGCTTGGCGCCATGCCAGATGGCCTTGCAGAAGCCCCTGGGTGCACAGCCTCTGGTGGCTGTCAGGAGATGATCTGAAGCCCTCCCCGGCAGGTCTCACCCTGGGCTCGGCTGATGTGGCCTTCTAACTCTGTTACTTTCATTTTACCTGATGTTGTAGCCACTTATTTACTCAACACTCCCCACACCACCACGGTATCCTGTACGGCAGGGGTCAAGGCTCATTCACCTCCCCCTATGCTTTGGGCCCCGGCACCAGGCATTCTGTGCAGAGAACATACTTGACAAATGTCTGCCAAGCTGATTTCATGTACCAAAGGAAACGATCACCTGGGAACAAGCCATATGAAAGTATGAACACTGACACCCAGGACCGTTCGCCAAAGACCAAGAAAATAAAGTAAAACAGTGGGTAAAATGTTAAACACATTCACATTCAAACGATAGCAAAAAAATTACAACATTCCTTGTCCTCATTAATTAATAGATCCAGGCGCCTGGGTGGCTCAGTCGTTAAGCGTCTGCCTTCGGCTCAGGTCATGATCCCGGGGTCCTGGGATCGAGTCCCACATCGGGCTCCCTGCTCAGCAGGAAGCCTGCTTCTCCCTCTCCCACTCCCCCTGCTTGTGTTCCTGCTCTCACTCTCTCTCTCTCTGTCAAATTAATAAATACAATCTAAAAAAAAAAAAAATTAATAGATCCAAAGTTTGGGACTCGCACGTAAATTCAGTCATTACTAATCTGAGATGAGCCGAATTCCGTGGAACTGAGTGGATACTGGGCCAAAAACTACTCTCATTTGCTGATCAGTGTGCCCACCAAGGCTGCGGAAATCCAGCAGACTCAAGAGAGCTGCCTGGTTGAGTGTCCGACTTTAACATCCTTTAGAAGAAAGATTCACCTCTCAGGCGACTCCTCTCAATCATGTACACGCTGTATCAGCAAATATCTATGAGTCCACCTGCCAGGCACTCTGTGGACAGCAAGGGTGACGCAGTGTGTGCGACAGACACGGTCCCCGCACAGACAATACACTGATCGAACAGTCACACAAATGAGCACAATGAGGAACTTCGGTCCAAGGAGAGCACCCCTTACTTCTCTCCTGGGCTAGGGGCATGGCTAGCCCCTGTGTGGGAACAGCCGGGCTGTTGGAGTGCTAAGGCAAGTGGCCTTCCTCACCAAATTGGAGCTTCAGGGCAATCCTGTACAGCCTTCACCTTGAGGACAAGCAGCTTGCCCCACCTGGGGCCTCAGGCCTAAAACACATGACAGGGGGCAGGACCCAAGGCCCCTCCCGTCAGACAGAGGCCCAAGCTTACGACGCATGCGTGCGGTATCCCGGCTGATCATCACCAGGGCCCTGTAAAGGCTGTAGCAGTGCTATCGTGCTGTGGAGCAGGAAGACGATGCCCCGAAAAGGTTCACAACTTCCCACTGGGCAAGCGAATGGTGTGGCTGGCAGGGGCTGCCGCAGAGCCTGTCTGGCTCACTCCACTCCCACACGACAGGCACTACATGCTTTCCCTGAGACTCTACACCGGCGCACCTGAAAAACCAGCCTCGGTGGCAGGGATCAAATCACCAGGGGCACATGCCCCCACACGCCACTGGTTTGGTTAGCCTCTGAGTCCTGGGCCAGCCACCTCGTGTGCAGGCCATGCCAGTCACCACCCGCCCGTGGTGACATGTGTCCCTGGGCCCGCTTCTGATCGCGGGGATGTTCCAACTCGTCTGTCCTCTCCTGTCCTCTCCATCTTCCATTCCATGTCCTCACCTTCAAAACAGGTAACAGCAGCTGCCCTGCCTCCCGCACAAGACGATTCTAGAATTAAATGAGATAACGTGTACAAATACATAGTTCAGGAACATTTAGATTCATCATCCGAGCCTCAGCAATAGACTCCAAACCTGACCAAACTTGACGCAGGTTAGCTTGACAATGCACTGAAAATAGTATGCAACTAGTCAGAAATTTCTCGACACTCTAAATAGCCTGCTTTACATAAGGGATACAAACTCTTCAGGAAGTTGAAGTAAACTCCAACTCTGAGGGAGGCTGTCAATTGAAACTACTGTGAACAAGCCCCCTAAATAAATCAAGGAGCAGCCCACCTCTCTTACATTGTTTCAAATGGTTTTAAAAGCTCCCAGCTTGAAAGCCAATAACCGGAAGTAAAGAACAACTGGAGCAAGTCTTCCTGGAAATAAAAATCAGAGGCCAACTGGCAGCTACTTCTACAGCTGGCAAGACCTCAGTCACAGGAAGCTTTTACCCCTCCCACGTGTAGTGACACCTACGGCTCTGCCCACATGTGGACAAAGGCCCAGAGTGCTGAAAAAGAGGGGAGGAACAAGGAAAGGCAAACAAACAGAGGCTTTCCTGAACTCGTTCAAACAAGAGGAGACTGGGACAGAGGAAAACATAGGGGCCAGAGTCAGAGCAGTGCTTTAGAAGGTGGAGGATCGGGGCACCTGGGTGGCTCAGTCGGTTAAGTGTCTGCCTTTGGCTCAGGTCATGGTCCCAGGGTCTTGGGATTGAGTCCGCATTGGGCTCCCTGCTCAGTGGAGAGTCTTTTTCTCCCTCTCCCACTGCCCCTCCTTGTGCTCTCTCTCATAAATAAAATCTTAAAAAAAAAAAAAGGTGGAGGATTAGTGTGAAAAGTGCTAACCTGCTCCCCGGCCACTCAGGGCTTTACAATCTAATCTAGATTGTCATATTTTAAGACACAGCGCTGAAGCACAACTATTTTAACCAGGAAACGTGTTAGAGATGAAACGTGGAAAGGCCATGACTAACCCGTGTGGACCCAACTGCAGAGCCGCTGTGTGGAGCCCGGAGCCGTGCTGTCTACACTTGGAGCACGAGTGTCTGACTCACCAGGTGCGGATGGCCCTTTGGGCCAAGCTGCTGTTCTACTCCTCAATCCTTGCTCAGTTCGTGCCCGGGACAGGACTAGCCCCCTTGAATTCCTAAAACCACGGTAGCTAGTTTTGAAGTAACAGGACCAAAACGGAGCTCTATACTCAAGTATTCTGAAACACTAGTTCTGAGGAAGGTGATACTGATTTATGGCTTTGTCTTCGGGATATAAAAATATCTATTGACTCCTTACTCTGTAACAAGTACTCCTTACTTACATTTCATCTCTAATCAGCACAATCAGCTTCAAGAGCAAAATTAATCCCATTTTACAGATGAGGAAAAACCGATACAGAGCAAGGTTAAGTCACAACTCCAAGGTCACACAGTGGAAGTGGTAGTGCCAGGATATCCCCTCGGGGCCCTCCAAAGCCTGTGCGCTTTAGCAAGAGCACACACCGTGTAGGCCACAGATTAGACTCTTGTGGGTCATCACACCGCTTTAAGCTAAGAAACGAATTGAAGATTATGTAAATGACTCCTTTACTCTGGCTGCTAGGCTTTAGTGAGAATACAGATCAACTATAATTAAAACCAGAGACTACTTTTTCCCTTCCCTCCCAGTTGAAGATGGTCTTTCAGGGCGCCTGGGTGGCTCAGTTGTTAAGCGTCTGCCTTCGGATCAGGTAATGATCCCAGGGTCCTGGGATCGAGCCCCGCATCGGGCTCCCAGCTCAGTGGAAAGCCTGCTTCTCCCTCTCCCACTCCCCCTGCTTGTGTTCCCTCTCTCACTGTGTCTCTGTTGAAAAATAAATAAAATCTGTAAAAAAAAAGAAAACGGCCTTTAGCTGCTGCCGCTGCGGCTGAGGAAAGGGAGGTGTGCTCGGCATGCGCAGTGGCTGCCCTACTGTCAATGCTGCATTTCCTACAATTTGACGTTGGCAGCTCTGGCCCTCGGAGGCCCCACAACCGCCGGCACTCACGTACTCTCATGTCCCCGCTCACTGATTTCCTCCTGGAGGCTCAGCACACTGGTGAGGTTGATGACCCTCCGCCGAGGGGTACATGCTGCTGTCATTTCCTTTCGGGAATCATCTTCCACCATTTCCACATCAGAGCTTTCCCGAGGCCTCTTTCTGCAACGAAGATAAGGAGCCGGCAGATCATGACTATCCTTAAAAACATTTTTTTTTTTTTTTTTAAGTCAGCCAAATTTTGCATACTGCATTTTGGAAAAGGGAGCAGCTTCTCGTGCTGGCTCTGCATGTCTGGGGCGGGGTCCTTGTGTGGGCGGCAGACTAGCAAGATCGGTCTGTTCTCCTGCACCCCACACCCTGCCATTCGGATTGACCCTGAGCCTGCCGCGGCCACGCACCAGACAGACAAGGTGCCGGCCCTCAGCATGCTTACTTTCTAGTTGGGGAGTCAGCCACAGAAAAAGGATCATTTGAAGTAGCAGAAAATGCTAAGAAAAATAAACAAGGTAACAGGATGATGGGGCAGTGAGAGGGCCTCTGGCAAGAGGTCACGCATGAGTGGAGGCCTGAGTGGCAAGAAGGTAGTTTTCCTAGGCCCAGAGCACAGGGAGAACAAAGGGGGTGGGGGAGCTCAGGCAGTTCAGGCCAGCCACACAGTGGAGTGGCCGAGCACCCCGCAGGAGAGGGAAAGCGGGGAGGCTGAAGGGGGAGCAGGGCAGGTGCACCCAAGTGCAGGGGGAAGTGTGGGTTTTCAGCTGAGGAGTGATACAGTCTCATTTCTGGTTTCACAGATTTCTTTCGACTGCTATGTGGTAAAGAGCTTGGTGGTGTTAAGTTCCCCCAGTGACAGAGAGACACGTAACCCTGCCCTGCATGACACGAGATAGTGTACGTAAAGTACCTGGCACAGAGTGGGCTCCCCACAGGTGGCAGCACCCTTGATGATTCCCTGGAGACATCCCTACACACTGTATTGCTAGATGGGCTTGGCAATGAGAAACTGGAGTCAAGTAACCCATCCAAACCCCGATAGCCACTCAGCGCTGGGCAGATGCACAGCCCTGGGCGGGCGCCTTCACCCTGAGCCCAGGCGCGTCCCCGAGCCTGCTGGGGAAGGAGCGTCCCGGGAAAGCAGGGAAATGACAGCCGCTCTTCCATCCGCCCTTCTCCCATGCTCACCACCAGCCCCCAGGCTTCGGGGGCTTCATAATTTGAACTGAGAAAATGCGTTTTTCTTGAGAGGAGTGGAAGCAGCTTTGAGGGCGATGAAGGAGAATCCTCTGGATATTTTAGGGTTCTCTCTGGCCACCTCTGCTATTGAGGCGTTATCAAAACCCAGTACTAAAAATAAAAGATACATCTTATTTTTTTTTCTGATGTGTGTTTAACTCATGCTTGGAACCACGGACATTTAAGATATCTCAAAGGCCACTGACTGGGGGACTCTCAAGCCATGGTCAAAGGTGGAGAGCGGACAAGGCAGAGCACTGTCCCATTGGAGGCAGAGGGCAGGTGAGGCAGAGAGAAGCGGCAGGTGCTTCATGCCGAGTCAAGACAGAGGCGGTTTCAGTTAAGAACAGCAGAGGCAGGCTGCACTCCTCCTAAAGTCCATACCTGGGGTTGCCCGGGCTGGAAGGGGGCCCTCTCTTCTCTGCTGTTTCTGAAGTCCCCTCTGTTGCATCTCCCTCCGTGCCCTGATTTCTGGCAGCCACTTGAGCAGGCTCTGGGAGTTCAAGCATTTCCTCATCTTGCTGCCCAGCCCTGCCACTGGAAGCATCGGTCCTGTCTTCTAGGACAACGTCCTGAGGCTGAATGGACACGGCCTTGCTCCCGGGCTGTAGAAAGGCATCGAGCTTCTGTTCCCGTGAATCTGTGCGGACCATCTGGTGGGCATAGACCTTGTCGCCACTTCCAGAAGTAGATGAGGGGGTCACACCCATTGTGGATTTAACCACCTCCCCAGAGGGGCCAGCAAGACCTGGTAGTAAAGTCTGTGTCAAAAAAGAAGGTAGTGGGTTAAAAAAAATTTTATTTATTTTTTATTTTTTTTATTTTTTTAAAGATTTTATTTATTTATTTGAGAGAGAGAAAATGAGAGATAGAGAGCACGAGAGGGAAGAGGGTCCGAGGGAGAAGCAGACTCACTGCTAGGCAGGAAGCCCGATGCAGGACTCGATCCCAGGACTCCAGGATCATGACCTGAGCCGAAGGCAGTCGCTTAACCAACTGAGCCACCCAGGCACCCAAAAAAAATTTTTTTTAAATAAATAAGATTCCTAGCCACTGTGGTTTTTCAAGCTCAATGGCATTTATGTAATATATGATTCACTTTATGTTTTTGCTGAACTCTTTCTATATTCTGTCCTATATGTTTCAATAGAGTAGAATCCACATGGAAAAAAAAAAGGCGGCAGTGGGACGATTCAGAATATGAAATAAATAAGTTCAGGTCCCAGGGGCGACTCTCGATCTTGGGGTTAAGTTTGAGCCCCAAACTGGGTGTAGAGATTAGTTTAAAAAGTAAAATCTTTAAATAAAAAAAAAGAAGTCCAGATCCCAAAGTGGAGCAGTACTGGAGAAAGAAGCTAGAACCAGGTATAATCATCATTACAGAAGTATTAATATAGAAGCAATTCTGAAAAAGATACACCAGTAAAAATACAAAAATTCAGAAAAATCCTTATAATTTTAAAATTGGTTTGAAATGGGGAATATTAGTGTAAAGTCCTTATATTTTTGTGTTTCCTTTTTTTTTTGCTTCCATAAGAGGATTTCATTTTTTAATTGTAGTAATATATACATAAAATTTATCATTTAACCATTTTTAAGTGTACAGCTCTGTGGCATTAAGTACATCACATCATTGTGCAGCCATCACCACTATCTATCTCTAGAACTTTTTCAATGTCCCAAACTGAAACTTTGTACCCATGAAACAAAAACTCACCATTCTCCCCTCCCCACTAGCTCCTGGCAGCCACTAGTTTGTCTATTTTTAGATATACAATTTCCTAGCTCTGTCCACTGGAAAGGCCTAAAGCAATGACCACCCAGCAGCAATAAGGACCCCCTGATCCCAGATTATAGTCTCTAAATACCATCCCCACTAAAATAAACCAGAGTTCCTTAGAGAAATGGCCAATTCCAGGGCTTGGGCTTGGAAAGTACAGAGTGAGCCTACAACATCTTCTCTTGAGAAACAAGAAACCATCAAAGACTAATGGAATTGGGTCAAAATGACAAGAGCACCAGTTTGAAGGGGTTTTTGTTGGTCTAAGATTGGATAATTTGGGGATCCAAAAGAAAAATGACTATAATTAACTAAATTATATTGCTTTGTTAACAGCTTTGATAAAATATTAAGAGAAAAAGAAAAAGATGGTAAGGGAGAGGGAAAGAGAGAGGACAAAGTCATTAAACACCACTGGAAATCGCTCGGACATGAACTCATTCCTTTGCACACAGATAATTAAAGGGACAGAACTCAGCATTTACCCTTACTTTCTACTGTGAACTGTATTTCAGGATAACCAAAAAGCTCTAAAGTTATTGTACACAGAAGAATTACAATCAATTGAGAGAAAACGATAAAATCAGAAAACCATAATCTTGCGATCCTAGTGAAATAACTGATTCAGGTAATGGTCATCAATGAGTGGTGAAACCATTAAGCTAAATATTCCTGGGGAACTTGACAATGAAGGAAACAGGCTGTCACCAGCTGAACCCACAGATGAGTCTTATCACCAAAATGACATAACAAGTCAGTATGCGCCTCCTGCTGGGGCGTGACAGAAAGTACATGGCATCATCTATCAAAAATTCTCACACAGAAATCTCATTCACAAATCTGAATGTAATCATGCCAGTTTATAGGAATTCCCAGGTTACAGGAAATGTGGAGGATTAGAACAAGTTAAATGACACTAAGAAGCAGCAATCAGCCAGAAATGTGCATTATTCTACAAGAAGCCTTTAGAATAAGCCAATAAGAACAACAAAAAAAGTGTACAGGGACTTTTCTGGTTTCAAAGAGACTTAAAAGAGATTTAAAAGACAACAATTATAGTGAGTAGAACTTAACTGAATATGTATTTCAATGAAGCTACTTTATAAAAGGATCTTTTCTGGACAGTTGGGACATTAGAATATGGACTAGATATTAAATGATATTACTATTAATTTTGTTATGTATAAAAAAGGACGTTGTGATTATATAAGGAAAAGATATTTTTAAAACGCATAATAAAATACTAGGGAAAAAAGTAAATGCCTGAAGTGCGCTTAAAATATTCTTTTCCCGGGCGCCTTGGTGGCTCAGTTGGTTAAAATATTCTTTTCCCTTGGGGCACCTGGGTGGCATAGTCGGTTAAGCGTCTGACTCTTGGTTTCAGCTCAGGTCATGATCTCAGGGTTGTGAGACTGATCCCCACATTGGGTTCCATGCTCAGTGCAGAGTCTGCTTGAGATTCTCTCTCCCTCTCCCTGCTCCTCCCATTTGTGCGCGCTCTCTCTCTAAAATAAATAATCTTTAAAAAAAAAATGCTCCACATCACTTGCCAACAGGGAAATACAAATCAAAACCACAATGAAATACCACTTCACACCAGTCAGAATGGCTAAAATTAACAAGTCAGGGAACGACAGATGTTGGCGAGGATGTGGAGAAAGGGGAACCCTCCTACACTGTTGGTGGGAATGCAAGCTGGTGCAACCACTCTGGAAAACAGTATGGAGGTTCCTCAAACAGTTGAAAATAGTACCCGATGACCCAGCAATTGCACTACTGGGTATTTACCCCAAAGATACAGATGTAGTGAAAAGAAGGGGCACATGCACTCCAATGTTCATAGCAGCAATGTCCACAATAGCCAAACTGTGGAAGGAGCAGAGATGCCCTTCAACAGATGAATGGATAAAGAAGATGTGGTTCATATACACAATGGAATATTACTCAGCCATCAGGAAGAATGAATACCCAACACTGGCTTCAACATGGATGGAGCTGGAGGAGATTATGCTAAGTTAAATAAATCAATAGGAGAAACACAATTATCACATGGTTTCATTCATATGTGTAATATAAGGAATAGTGCAGAGGACCATAGGGGAAGGGAGGGAAAACTGAATGGGAAGAAATCAGAGAGGGAGACAAACCATGAGAGCCTCTTGACACCAGGAAACAAACTGAGGGTTGCGGAAAGGGAGGTGGGTGGGGGAATGGGGTAACTGGGTAATGGGCATTAAGGAGGGCACGTATTGCAATGAGCACTGGGTGTTATACGCAACTAATGAATCATTGAACACTACATCAAAAACTAATGATGCATGATATGTTGGATAATTGAATTTAAATTAAAAAAAATTAAAAAACAAAAACAAAAACAAAAAACTGCCACTCTTTCCCCACCCTCAAGTTAGAAAGGGAAAGAGAAAACATATATGGCAAAATGCTGATGGCTGTTGAAGCTCGGTGACAGGTACATGGATTATTTGTATAATATCTACTTCCATGTGTACTTAGAAATATTCAATAATGAGCTAAATAACAAAAAGTTAAATAAAGTAGCAAATGTGCTCAAAAAGGAAAAACCTCCCTTCATGGATAATATAAAACCCTTGCAGAGTAAACACGCAAATGAAGTGACTATAACTGACCCTTGAACAAAGCAGATTTGAACACAATGGGTCCACACTTGTATACAGAATTTTAGTAATACAGTGCTGTAAATGTATTTTCTTTTCCTTATGATTTTCTTAGGAACAGTTTTTTTCTAGATTATTTTACTATAAAAATACAATATATAACACATATACAAAATATGTGTTAGTCGACTGTTTATGTTATCTGTAAGGCTTCTGATCAACAGTAGGCTAATAGGAGTTAAAAGTTTTGGAGAGTCAGATTTTTGACTGCCTACAGGGTCGGTGCCCCAACCCCTGCGCTGTGTAAAGGTCAAATGTATTTGCTTCATTTGCCTTGCAATAGCCACAGAAGCAGAAATTAACAGAACTACTTTGCAGATAGTAATTTTAAGGTCCAGAAGAGTGAAACACCTTGTCCAACAGGATAGAGTTGCCACAAACCCCAAGAGCCCCCAGGCTTCCTGATTTCCATACCAAAGTTTCCCTGCAAACCAGGGCTTGTGCCGTAGGCCCTGGGCAGTGTTGTGCAAGACAAAGCTGTGGAGTGGGAGAGAAGGTATTCTGATGCCCCCAGCAGAGTGGGGACAGCTCTGAGTTTGGACCCCACCACCCACAGCAATGCTCCAAGGCTTGTGCCACTGCACCAACAGAGGCAGGCTGTCTGATCCAGAAACCCACTTTCCTTCTGAAGGCACACAGGTCAGGACTATGCAGAATTCTCTGGGAAAATACAAAGTAAGCTAACTAAATGAACCTGACTCCTGCAAAATAAGACAAGGAGGAAGACGAGAAGTTCCTTCCCCAGTGCAGCCACAGACACACTCCAGGACCTCTGGCAAATCTTTCTTTCGATCTCAGCTAGGACAGAGCAAGACAACCACTCTGGCCCAGACAATGTGCTCCTTATTTTCACCTCATACTTTGAGGCTGTCTTCCCGCTCCCCGCCAGCCACACCTTTGCCAGGTCCTGGCAATTCCAGATCTTCAACCATCTGGGAGTGGAGCCACCTCCAGACCAGACCCCCCAGACCCCTCACTGCTTCTCCCAAATAGCTGCGGACCTCCATCATGCCCCTCTGCTGTCCTTTCCCCACTTGACCACAGGATTCTTCCTAAAAGTTTTATATCTCAACCACCGGCACTGCAAGGATTTGTGTGGCACCAGGGGTCCAGCAAAACTAACAGAAGACTGAGCGCTGGTTCCCAGGCAGAACTGCCTTCTGCCCACCTGCCACACACACCTCTCAGGTGGCATCAGCAGCGACCCTCGCGGACTCACCACCCAAGCCTCGGCCTGGGCTCCAGAGGTGGTAGGGCTGCCCCCACGGCATTTACCCTCACTGCTTTGTGCCCATGGCGCCTCCCAGAGAGGGGCTTTCCATGAAGTTTCCTATGGGAAGCATTCACTGGCTTGGGAACTTAAAACGTTTTCTGTGAAGTAGGCTCCCAGAAGCCCACTCTCTGCTTGCAGGACCCGGTGCTTCCATTTCTTTTTTTCTTTTTCTTTTTTTTTTAGGGGGGAGGAAGAGGAGAGGGAGAGGGGGAGAGAGAATCTCAAGCAGGCTCCATGCCCAGTGCAGAACCTGACTTGGGGCTCAATCCCACAACCCTGAGATCATGACCTGAGCTGAAATCCAGAATCAGATGCTTAACCAACTGAGCCACCCAGGTGCCCCGACACCCCCACTTTTTTTTTTTTTTTTTTAGAGAGGGAGGGAGGGGAGAGGAGGGGGGATATTTCTGTTTATTTCTGTTTCTCTAGTTCTGGGGTCTGTTGTGCTTCTGAACACACTCTCACCATGTGCTGCCTAGAATCCCATCCTGGCAGAACTGGGATGGGATACTGGAGATCGTATTATCCCCCATTTTACAGACAGGAAACCTGAGGCCCCGGAGAGCTGGGAGTAGCTTAGAACCATAAGCACTTAGAACCTGGGTAATTATAATAAGGTGGATGGTGCCAGGCCCTGCATCGGGACACTTCCACCTACTGCTTGTCACCACCCTCCGAGATGATGATGACCAATTCAGTCCTCAATGAGGGAGCCAGGGAGACCAGGGAAGGTTAGTCACATGGTGGTAACCCAGGCCCGTCTGACACTAAGGCCCTGCTCCTCCCACTGTCCCACTGCCTCCCAGGGGCCCCGCCCCTCCACTCTGCCCTGTGAATGTGGGCTTAGCCCCCTCCATCCCCAGGGAAGATGAATGCATGGAAGAGGTGCCCTTATTCTGCTTCAGACAGCTTGTATGAAAAACTGAGAAGTCAGTCGAAGGTCGTAGATGGAGGCAGAGTGAGACCGCAGGCCTCCTGACTCTAGGAACAGGGATAACATAATCCTTTCATGGTTAGGTTCAAAAAAGGAAAAGTTACCAAAGGAAAACTATCCGAGTGATCCTTGGAAAGACAGTCCTAAAGCAACAAGCAAAACTCTGGGCTCTCGTGTCTGATGGGCCACATTTTCAGGTGGTGGCAAAAGCACCAGAGGCAGGGCCGGACGGAGAGCACCCTCACCTGGGTGAAGTACATCCTGGAGGAGTTGGAGCCTAGGAGCTTGCTCTCAATGTGCTGCTGCACCCGCTCCAGGATGCTGTCCTCATGCAGGAAGTGAACTTCGTGCTTTGTGGGGTGCACATTGACATCCACGTTCTGGGGGCTGATCTCTAAGCTGGCAGGAAGAAAAGCAAACTATTACTTCGGGTGGCGGGGAATGGGGAAAACAATTCTCGCCAGCAGACTTGTGGGTTCAAATGACATAGCGGTCAAAACTTCCGGGTCAAGTCCTAGCGACCTGGATTCTGAAGCTGTGTAGCCTGGGCTCAGTGACATCATCTTTCTTTGCTTCAGTCTCCTCATCTGTACAGCGGATATAACACGTGGTGGGGCTTAAATTCATGCAAAGCACATTGCGTGTTTTTACCTGGCATATTTATTATACATCAGCTGTTACCATCGTTCCAGAACTAGTGGAATTTCTTATTGCATGACCTGGAGCAAGTCACTTAACCCCTGTGGATGGGTTTTCTCATCTGTAACCATGAACCTGTTCCCTACTTACTTTTCAGTATTATGAAGATCGAAATAAGAGTACACGTGAGAGAATGTTCTATCATCAAAATGTAATGTAAAAGTCAGTTTAGACGCTGTGCCAGCTATCACCTGACTGCCTCGGCTCCACATCCATCTTTCACTGTTTGCTCCGTGACCGCAAGGTGAATCTGTGTCAGGAGAGGGCACTGGAAGGACCGTGGAGAAGGAAGGGGTTTTTCTGCCAGTTAGGGGGCAGCTTCTGGCTGGTTCGGGGGCAAGATCCGTTATTCACCTTGGTTTCACCAACACGGGGGCTGGCACACGGGAGGCCCTCAGTGAGACTCTGTTGCGTGAGTAAATGAAGGCAAACTATGCCCTTCACCTGTGAGAAAGGACAGAACCTCCTTTTGCCAGTGGCGGATGGGATCCACTCTGCTAGAGCTATGAGCAAGCCCATCTCTTTCAAGAGGACAGCTGGACAGAATTTGTTCCTTGTGAGTCTCGGGTGAGGAGTCTGACGCTGCCTTACCTGAGGTACAGGAATGGGTGTGTGTTTTTGGGCAAATATGCAGCATACACTGTTTCAATGGCTTTTCTTAAGGAAGCTGACTCTACCAGACGATCTAGAAGATAAAAGGAACATAACCAGCTCAAAACTGTCCTGAAGGGAGAGGCAACAGGTGCACGTTTGTACCATGCCATGAAATCATTCACAAAAAACACTTCTGGAGAGACATCTTCAGCAGACCCCGGGAAAGAAAGGCCTCTTTTAATGTGTTGCTATCCACCAGCATCTGGCTCTGGGCTTCGGGCTCTCTCCTCTCAGCCAAGTCACAGGACCATGGGAGGCAGTAAGTTCTGCCTCCCCGCTTCCCTTCCCTCAGTCAGCCCGGGAGGACTACCTTTGCCCTTGCCCGGCACGGTGGGCAGTGTGTGCTGTCAGCTCTCAGACTTTTCAGGCTGCACATACACACTGGCTGCCTGTCACATATGCAATGGGCTTGGGGACAATACGCTGGCGACTACATGAACTCCAGTTCCAGGTGGTAAGCACCACAACAGATGTGTGTGCCAAGTGGTGGGAGGATGGAGTAACCAACTGTGCCCGGGGGACGGGGGGTTCCCAACAGTGGGGTATCCCAACTGAGCAACAAGGGTAAGAAAGAGTTTTCCAGGCACTTCAGGCAGTACAACTATCTGAATGTATGTTTAAGGTAATTCAGGAAATGAGCCAGGGTTGAAGAGGGTGGGAAAACACTAAAACCTGGGGGAGAGAAGACAAAAATCAGAGGAAAATCTGTTTTCAGAAAACACAGCCCTCCTTTCTCCCCAGACAGATGACCTGCTGGTGGTCTGTTCTCCTGGGTTGGTGTAGCCAAGGATATGTCCCATGGTTTTACTTCCAATGGGAAGAGAGCCTGTGATCTTACCAATGAGGAGACCATTATTTTCTGAGCGCTCACCACCTCCACGGGCCCTCAACAAGGGCACTGGCCTCGGTGACACGTGCCACGAGCATGCAGGTCTAGGTCCTGCAGGTGTGGACCCTGACAAGGGCATGACCAGAGCCCCTCTGCTGCGATTTCTGGACTGGAGACACGCCGAAAGAGTGTTCCTTTGCCCACCACCTAAGTGAGAGCGCATGGTGTGGAGATAACTGGACGATACACCTAAGAGTCTGACGTCTGGGCTAGTGGGAACTCGGTGCGGTGACAAACTCGCTAACGCTGACGCAGAGCCCGTGGGGTAAACAGCTCGCCAGCAGAACAGACGGGCTCCGCATGCGGCACTTACCCTGATTTCTGCTCATCTATTCTGAAGCCAACACATGTGTCACAAAGCAGTATTCTTCATGGTTAGAAAAACAAGTGAAAATCGTTTCTGAGCCTTGATTAGAGCCAGCTTTATTACAGATCAGGCTTAAGTCCTTCTTAATGAAGTAGGAAAAACCCTACTAATATAATATAAACCAGTTTAACAGAATGTGTCTATAAAATATTGACTCCCTCTTCTCTGTTTCTATATGGCCTGGAAAACTGTTGTAAAACATGTATAATCTGGGACACTTCTGGCTGGCTAGCATTATAAACGGAACAGGGAAATATACCATTTTCAATAGCAAGCCAACAAAACTATGAAATAATTACAAATTGCTTTGAACAATAAAGGTAATGGACCGATATGATAAAAATGTAAGGACTGAACAAATGGCAAGATGCATGATGCATTTCTGGCTGGAAAATTAAAAACTGAATTAGACCCATGTGTGGCTCCCTGTCACACTCTCTCAAAATCATACTATACGCAATCAAGTAAAAAGAAACAGAATGCAAAATAGTATTTACTCAACAAGCAGCAATCATGTAAACAATATGCCTGCAGTGAGATAAAGACCAGAGAGGAATCTGACAAAAATCCAAATTTAGTTAATTTCCTCCCTGATTTCTAGTACTGCTCATTATCATAAATAACTCATTCTTTAAAAAGAAAAATCCCAAGGGGTTTAACATTCCATTTCTTTACTAATGACACTGCCTACACCCAAGGGACCCCCTCCCTGTGTCCCGCTGTGCGATTCAAACAGCTGACTATTGATCTAGGGCAAGAACAAACAAAGGCCTGGGGCCTGCTTGTAAGGCTCTGAGGCCAGCAGGGAGGAAGCTGTTCAGGCTCATAGGCGTCGGTGATGCCCTCTCCCAGAGGCAACAACCACACTCTGCCAACAGTAGGCCAGCAATGAGCACATATCAGAGGGCTGAGTAGACTTGGGCTAGAAATTATAAATGCTTCCTAATCAAGCCACACTTCGGCCTCCTCAGGCTGGGTGTAATCCAGCTGGGTGTAATTAAGCCTGTCGATTCGGAATTTTTCCACGGTCCCATAAAATTCCCTGTGGACAGACTTCCCCACATGGTTCTTTTTTACTTACGGTTGATGAAGAGTAAGAAGATGCACTTCTTCACTGAGTAATTTGCATTGGATATGTAGCCATTCATTTTGAAGGCTAGGGTTTTATCCTCACACCCAACTTCTATCAGTTCTCTGGTTGAAAAAGAGAAATTTTGCGTGTCTTGAAAATAATGGAAAATTCAAACAGTATAAAGAATCAGAGTTGGAAAAATCAGGGCTCCTTCATAAACTAATTCGGCCAAATAAGGACTCCTGAAACTTGGTTTGTTGAGGTCCTCTGGGCCCATCCATCCATCCGTCTGTCTCTCCATCTACCCAGCTACTCACCCTATCACTGTTTTCAAGCACTTATGTTCTATGCTAAGCACTGCTCTGACTGCTGGGACATATGACAAATCCAAGCTCTGAGACCTTATTCTGCTGAAACTTTTATGTATCTTAGTAACTAAACCCCAAAGATGAAATTCCAAAACGACTCATTTCTACTGAATCCCTTACTATATGAACATCACAATGGGGCTCCAGTGTGGTGTCCTCAGGGTTGTGCTTATGGGGGGGGTGAGGTTAATGGGTGAAAGGTGGTCCCCACATAAGCCACACTCATCTCTGCCTGAGGATCCTCCCAAGTGCGGGTCCCTCTGCCTGGGAAGCTCCTACTGGTAGCTAGTTAATTCCTCCTTATTCCTCATATGTCTGGGCTTACTCCTTCAAAGAGCTTTCTCTGACTATCCCTCTCCCTGACCTTGAGAGATTCTCCTGTTGTGCCTTCTATTGTTCCTTTGAGACATCTAGCACAATCACTAATGAATGGCATAATTATTTCATGTGTCTTTCCAACGGGATAGGAGTCCTCTGAGGGCAAGAAGCATCTCTGCTTTATGCCCTACTGTATTTCTCAGCACAGCACCCAGCAAACAGTAGGCATTCACTGAGCATTTGCTGAACGTACGGCGGAAGCTATCAAGTAGTACTGTGTACTCTGAGTCTGAGCAGAGAATGCAGCTTGCCGTGTTTCTCCACACACAGTAAACCAGCAGACCCTTTCTTCCCCAAAATGACTCAAGAGGCTGGTGTTCTGGAAACACCCTTTGGGAACTGCTGCGCAGTGAGATTTCTAATCTCTTATAGTCCCTAGGAATTTCCTAACGACTAATTCTGAGTCTTTAAATAATAAAGAAGCCCTTACAAGTTTCATTGTACAATAGTGTTCTCTCTCTGCTCTGGGAAGAGAGTTTAAAAAACTTAATTGATTAACAATTAGTAAAGAAGAGGGCAATTAAAAGCAAATTGACTGTTCCCTAGTTAGGAGCTTGGTTTTGCTCAAAGAAATGAGTAATTTGTCCTCTGAAGTAGAAAACTGGGCTCTGGGACTACTGCTGCTTCTAAGATTTTTGGAAAAAGTGAAGCCAGGGGCTATCTTCTTCATCTGTGTATGCCCCTCATCTGGGCCATGCCTGGCACATAGAGGGCCCTTAGTATTTTTCCCCTCAGATTATGACATGGGCACTTTGGGCTTTGCAGAGTCCTGAGATTTAGCTAGGACTCTGTGATAGAAATGGTGGTTTTTGCCTCCCAGGGAGGGCCGTGAGGCATCTATACTGCAAGTTCACCTCGGAGGCTTTCCCTGACAATGAAGATCTTAGATCTTCACTTAGAAGTCTGCTCACCACCAGACAGGGAATATTTTATTTGTCTTTACATCCTTAACTCCGACACAAAGCCTAGAATATGGGAAACAGTAAATGTTGAACAATAGTAAGTGAAATCCCAAAGTGACGATAAGGGAAGTATCAGGAAAAGAGGGAGCGCTGGAAGATGAAAAAATTCTACTAGGGGGGCGCTGGGATGGCTCAGTCGTTGAGCGTCTGCCTTCGGCTCAGGTCATAGTCCCAGGGTCCTGGGATCGAGCCCCGCGGGAAGCCTGCTTCTCCCTCTCCCGCTCCCCCTGCTTGTGTTCTCTCTCTCACTGTGTCTCTCTCTCTCTCAAATAAATAAAATCTTTAAAAAAAAGAAAAAAAGAAAAAATTCTACTACACTGTGAATATTTTGAAGACAGAGACTAAAGAGAACACACTGATTTACAGCCAGAGCATCTGGGAGATAACACGCACCCAAGAAGTGTGGGTTCCCTGAAATCATGACTCCACGAACAAATGTGGAGCATGGAAATAATGCCTGCCTATTTCATTAAAGCAAACTCTTAAAGCAGGTGCTACTTTGATAGATTCCAAACTCATGTGATAAATGGTAAACCAAGACATGGAAAGTAGATTTTTCAAAATATGATGAATTATCAACATACCTGCTAACAGCATTTCCAAAGATGGAGCGAATATTATCCACTGTTGTGGCATTAGGCAGTGTCCTAACGTCAGCTACAGTCTCACCTTGCTGATAAACAGAGCAGAAAATACAACTTACTGTCTCACAGTTGTGAATGAAACATCCTAATCTTATCTCCTCAGGAGAACTATTAAAAAAAAAATCCCTTTTTCTAATACATAACCATCCCTTATAAACCAACCACTTACTTTTTTAACTGAGAAACTAATGCCTGAATTGTGTATTGAATACCTGGTAAAGAAAAGACAACAAAAGAGTAAGCAGAGTGGCCAAATGCACAATATAAGGCAGAACTCCCTATTGGTTAAATGAATTGGTGGGGTGACGTAATTTAAACAAAGATATACACAGTCAAGAATATCTCCATATATCAAATTTTACCCACAGGAAAAGAAGCCAGCAGACTTCAGGGAGCTATCAATGCTAAATGTGGCAGAAGCAAATAAAAAACAGGGTTTTTTACTTTTGTAGGGTTCTGACTAGACTCAGGGTATTTCAATACAATCTCCTCCTTGCCTACAGTTTTACTTTCGTAAACCCACTAGGTCCAGCTTGCATCTTGAGAATATAGCCTTTACAACTCCTGGACTCTTTTATTCTCTCCCAGAGCCCCTCAAGACACCCCCCTCCTCACCCACTTCTTTTTCGGCCCCTGGCCCTGTTTCAGCATCTCCCAGTCTTTTCTCAGTTGGCTATTATTTATTTATTATTCCTCCCTCATGGGCCCCACAAACTGAAGGACTATGTCTAGCAAAATGCATTCATTCAGCTGACAATTAAGAATTCACTTGACCACACCTAGAACCAAAAGAGCCAACTAGAACTCCTCTATTTCCAGGAGATAATTAATATTCTGATGCTGATTTATACAACTCCAGGGAAAAGCAAAGAAAATTGATGTGGAAGTATGTTCCACTTTCTGAGGAGCAAATGTTTTATTCATTTTGGACTTTTCAGAAATACTGAAAAATAGTTAACAGATCTCTGCTACGATTCAAGGATGTGCAGGCTTAGACAGCCCACGCTGGATCCACTGAACCAGCAGATGAAGTCAGTCTACAGTGGACATAATGTTATTTTCACCTGCCCTGAACCCTTTCTCCTTCTTCTTTTAACAGGCCCTAGTCTTCCTTTGGGAAACTACCTCTTCCCCATTCCACCTGATTACCCTCACAGTGCCAATCTAAGGAATCTCCCCACAGACAGACTGGGGTGGGGTGGGGGATGGGGAAGCCATACCAATCAGATGTACTCTCCCAGGAAACAGACTCTTAAGTAGAGTCAGGAAAGAATGAAAACAACTGTATCAGGGCCACTATCTAATCCCCAAAGCCAGCCTGGTTCTCATCCTCTCCAGGGAGCAGCTGCTGACATTTCTTGCCATTCTTAGCCTTCCAATAAATTTCTTTTGGGCTCAAGTTAGCTGGAGACTATCTGTTTTGCTTTCCACCAAAGAACCCTCACTGATGCAGAGACCAACTGCTCTCTCCCAGGGAGATGAGAAAAAGCCCAGAACTAGCAACTACACCTTGACCAGAAACAATCCAGAGGCTAGAACACGATGTGCCATTTTCCATCTAGCTCACCAACTGTTCTCAATTTACAAGCACCGGCACAAATTCCTTCGGTGAGAGATGGCAAAGAACCACTCCCAGATTGTGGACTGTACCTGCCAACAACTTCCAAAATTTTCCCATACTCTTCACTTGGATTTTTTAAAGCTTTCCTCCTCGTGGATATGTTGTAAAAAAGGTCCTCCACCTGAAATGAAGATTGATTTTTTTTCCTTGTAAATTCACAGAAATACATGGAAATAAAGACCCAAGCAGTCTACCTAAAGCTGGCCAGCAGAGAATCCAACTATACTTACCAACAGTACAGTTCTAAGCACTGATTGGGGGAGGGGGGCAAGAGATAAGTCAGCCTTAACAAAGGAAATAAAGGGTATTTTTCCTGCTTCCCATATTCATTCACTGATTTCTCAAATAGGTACAGGGGGCTATCTCTAGGTCAGGCTCTTTGCTTTGTACTGGGAATACGAAGACAAAGCACAGTCTTACCCAGGAAAGCACAAGATTCAGTGGGGGCAAACATGTAAATTTACCATAATTATACTATCACATGGCATCCAAGCATATTTTCCAAACTAAGAATTCTTATAAAATTTCTGAGATCATTTGGGCTTCTTGGAAATCACACTGTGGCCACCCTGTGTACCAGATCTGTCTCAACATGCGCTTAGAAGCACATTCATTTCTGCCTCCTGCCTGCTTTATCAAGGCTAGGGTTTAGAGACTTCAGGGAAATGTGTGCCAACTGGGGCTGAGGTAGAGGGGTGGGACGCATAACATGACAGTGGGAGGCTTTGTAGGATCACACAACGGGAAGAGACCAAATGTGGCACCATAGACATAAGGCAGCATACAAGATTTTCTCTGATTAATGATACAACTGTATTACTCAAACACCCTCTGAGTGGGCAGATATTCTTTGTTCCATTTGAGAGACGGGAAAAGTGAGGTTAAGAGACACTAAACAACTTGCCTCTGGACACACAACCACTGAGTGGCAAGGCTGAGACTCTAACTCACATCTTCTGGAGCCAAGTTTAAAGGGCCTTTCAATGCCAACTACTTTGCCACTGATTTCTGCCATCCCAATAAAAGAATCTGCCAGTCTCTGAAAAAAGATGGCGGGAGTACACACAGGCTGCCATGCCATAAAAGCCAATAATCAAAAAAAAAAAAAAAAAAAGCCAATAATCAGTCCTCTTGTTTAGAGAGAAATATCTTGCTATTTCTTTTAACCAGCAAAGATTCATTTTATTATTACTTTGAAAACTCAGAGACAATTTTATTTTTTTTTTGAGACAGTTTTATTCTTTATTTCAGCATTTCTACAAAGCTCTTTTTCAACAATTTATACTCCCTTGTACCATTCTTACCGTGATCTGGGTCCCCTGATTGCCTGCACAGGGTTTAGGAGGAGCTTTCAGCTTTCCATCTGAATAATTTGCTCTTAACAGAAAATATAAGAGATTAATATCCAATAGAAGCAGAATATCTATCCAAAGGGTAAAAAAGAAATTATATCAAGAATAAGGTATAACCATGTTATCTACTGTCTTAATTACCATTTTCCTCTTTTTCTACTATTCCATTATCATTCCAATTGGATACCAAAAAAAAAAAATCCCTATTCTTCTAGCAAATGTTGCTTTTTAGTTCCTGAATTTTGAGCTACAAAGCAATAGTTTTGCCATTGCCTACAGTGACAGTAAAATTTTTTCAGTAATTCTGTAATCATTTATGGAGGGGCTACCACATGACAGGCCTGCAGAGGCCCTGGTAACAAAGAAAGGCCCTGGAGAGCTCTCAATCTAGGGGACACACTTTTCCCTAAAGTGGAGAACATCGTGCTAAGTGATCTGGGAAGCAAATATTCAGCTGGGGACTGGGGAGGGGGTTGAAAGCATCACAGAAGAGATGACAATTCATCTGGGCTCTAGAGAGGAAGAGTTTCAGGGAGAAAGCACCAAAGACCATCCAGGAAGAGAAAAACATAAAAGCACAGAAGCTTTGGAACACCTGGCACCTGGGAATTTGTGCAGAGAAGAGGCTGAAAAGGTGGATGGAGAGCACAGTGCGGGGGGGGGGGGGGGTTGCTGTTTAGGGATGGCTCTGGATTTCATACCACCAAGGAAGGGGAGCCACTGGAGGTCCCAAGCAGGAGCATAATATAATCTCAGTGGTGAAGGACCAGAATTTGCACCCCAGGCTATTTAGGAAGACATTAATTCACAAGTATCTCCCTGTTTTGTGAGAAGGAATTCTGGTCATATCAGCACACCCAGATCCTAGGGCAAGTATAATTCACATAGTGTCAAAATCCCCCAGCAACAGTGAAGTATACTCTAGAATGCTCCCTGTTCCATCACATTACACATCTGTCTGCTGAAGATTGAGAAATATGCAGCACTTTCACTGTTGGAGCTATTTTCCATATTAATTTATGGACAATCTGTATGATTAAAAAAGAATTCTTTTCAAGGTACTCCTAAATTAGGTACTCCTGTCTTCCACTAGTAAATGGCCAGTGCTTATAAAAACAGAGGTCTAACTTTGATTCCTCAAATCCTGTTTTTGTGCTGTTCCAAGGCTGTCTGTCAGCTTCTGAAGACTGTGCCAGCACAAGAGAGGGCCAGCGGCTTCCGTGGGAGGGCAAGCCAGCACAGGCATGCACGTGCGGCAGGGAGCCGGGGGCTCACAAGCCAGCTAAGGAACCGTGAGCCTCCAGCACCCCAGCCACAGCCCTGTCATCAAAGTAATATCCTACTAAAGGGCACAGGGGCAGAATAACATCCGCATCTACCACCTACTTAGAATACATCTGTATAACAGAGCTTATAAGCACTTATATATGTCACATCTTATCTGATTCTTAACAGATGTTCAGCAAGATTTTTACCTAATAATCATCCCTGTGGATTATCAAGTAGTCCATAGGGAGGAAAGGAAACTACCCAAGATCTTGGTCAAAAAAGATGACATTGGTGTTTAGATAGGGTCACTTTGAGATCTAGGCATAAAGCATGTTTCAGGATGAATACATGAATAAAGCAGACTGCGCCATACCTGTATGCACACTTTGCATCAGCTGTTTTGGTTGTAATAGTAACATGAGCCACGTGGCTGATGCTGGCCAAAGCCTAAGGAAGAAAATGAATGAAAGAAAAACATTGCTGGGTCACCCACTGGCAGCTTATTAAGGAGAAAGGTGATCTAAATTACCCCTTCCATTTTGTATTAGCAAATGGTAACAATGGGTATTTTGCTCATTCACTTTCATGACATGTTAACAAAAGGATATCAAATTGAATTTGTAGCATATTATTAGACCAAGGGGAAAATACATATTAGAAAAAGTCCAAAAGGAAACAGCAGAGTATTTTTTTAAAATTTATTTTAAATCCAGTATAGTTGGGGTGTCTGAGTGGCTCAGTCGGTTAAGTGTCCAACTCTTCATTTTGGCTCATGATGATCTCAGGGTTGTGAGATCGAGCCCCACATTGGGCTCTGAGCTCAGCAGGAAGTCTACTTGAGATTCTCTCTCTCCTTGCTCCCATGTGCACACGTGCACTCACTTTCTCGCTCTCTCTCAGATAAACAAATAAATCTTAAAAAAAGAAAAAAAATCCAGTACAGTTAACATACATTGTTGCGTTAATTTCAGGTGTATAATACAGTGATTCAATAATTCTATACATGACTCAGTGCTCATCACAATAAGTGTACTCTTAATCCCCTTCACTTGTTTCACCCATTGCCCCTCACCCCCTCCCCTCTGGTAACCATCAGTTTGTTTTCTATAGTTAAAGAGTCTGCTGTTCGGTTTGTCTTTTTTTCCCCTTTGCTTGTTTGTTTTCTTTCTTAAATTCCACCTGTAAGTGAAATCATACAATATCTGTCTTTCTCTGACTTATTTCACTTAGCCTAATGCCCTCTAGCTCCATCCACGTCATTGTAAAGAAACACTCCAGAGTATTAATGTGTTAGCAGGTGCATTCAGGCAGCAGAATTACAGGCATGCTTAATATTATTCTCAATGATTTGCCTCCCAACAATTTGAAAACTTGCCTTCAGAAATGGGGGCACTCCAAATACATAATGTTGCACACATACACAAAACTATTTTCTGTAAGCACTTATAGGTTTAGAAATGTAAATTTAAAATTATCTAATTAAGACAAAACAAATTTTTTAAAAATTACCATTTTCCCCCCTTGTAACCCAGACTGGTTTCCTAGCCCACTGGAACCTGCCTCTCCTTTCACCAGAAGGACATCAAAGAATATAAAAATACAACCAGGCACTGTGATGGGGTCTGTGTGACAGCATCTCGGAAGACAGTGAACACAGCCTGTGGCAGGTTCAGTTCATTAATAAGGAACATGGCTTAGGCTCAGAGATTACCAGGTTCTAGCTGGATTTCCCTAGTTTAGGTGACTGAGCTAATTTTCATCATTAAAAATGTAAATGATTTTGAGACCTGTATAAGGAGAACATTAAATATATACAGTATATAGTCCATCCCAGAACCCCGAGATCATGACCTGAGCCGAAATCAAGAGTCTTGGATGCTTAACCGACTGAGCCACCCAGGTGCCCCAGGAATGTTATTTCCATAAATTTACCCTGAGACAGTAATTGAACAAAACACATTGTATATGAATATATGAATATTCACCAAGAAAATGGCAAAAAGCATAAATGTTCAACAGGAAATCATTTAAATAAACACAGTATGTTCATATATAGGATAAGATGGAACTATTAAAATTACACAGGACTGTATATATACTGAATGTAAAGATATCCACAGCGTATTGTCATAATATTATCTTATTTTAGTCTTAAAATGTTTTTATGTAGTTTCTATATTGTATATTCCTCCGATGCATCATATAATTTTATTTGTACTTTTTATATTGTATACTCCTCTGATGGATCACATAATTTTATTCACAAATATTCCCATATGTATTTGGGAATACATAGGACTCCTCCAAAAAACATGGTCTTATTTTCTACACCAAGAAAATCAACAATTTCTTTTCTTTTTTTTTTTAGGATTTTATTTATTTACTTGAGAGAGAGAGAGAGTGTGTGCTCGAGAGAGAGCACAAGTGGTGGAGGGAGAAGCAGGCTGCCCATCGAGCAGAAAGCCTGACGTGGGGATGGATTGCAGGACCCAGGGATCATAACCTGAGCCTAAGGTAGCCGCTTAACCGACTGAGCCACCCAGGCATCCCAACAATTTCTTCTTAATACTATGAAATAACCAGTGTGTTCAAATATCTGTCTCAAAATTTTTTTTTTACATTTTGCTCAAATCAGAATCCAAGTAAGCTGTTCACATTGGAGCTGGTTCATATGCTTCTTAAGCCTTTTTTTTTTCTTTAGAGAGAGAGCAAGAGATGCGTGGGGTAGAGGAAGAGGGAGAGAGACTCTTAAGCAGACTCCATGCCCAATGCAGAGCCCAAGTTGGAACTCGATCTCACGAACTTGAGATCATGACCTGGGCTGAAATTAAGAGTCAGACACTTAACCAACTGAGCCACTCAGGTGCCCCAAGCCTCTTTTAATCTACAGGTTTTTTGTTCCATTTACCATGTTCCCTTGCCTCCTATATTTTCCCAATACTGGCACTTAGTAAGTATTAATCAGATTCACATCTGATAATTTGACAAAAAAACTTTGTGGGTGGTGTTGCATTCTCCATCAAAAGACACTTAACATCTTGGCAGGAGGGGAGGGGGGTTTTATCTGTCGATAAAATAGTTTTCAGTGTATTAAGTACTTATGAACAATCCTTGGTTTTGGAAAATGAAATTTAATTAAGTTTGTTTGATTTGCACATATTTAACAGGTAAAAAGAATCATATCTTATTTACTTCTGTTGAGAAACATATGTTGACAGATGGCAGAAATGTCATTCACAGGACAGTTTACACATTTCTTTCATCTTCAGCTTACCTCACCCCGAAAGCCATAGGTAGAAATACGAGCTAAATCCTCAAAGGACTGCAGTTTACTTGTAGTGAACCTCTCACACACAATATCCAGATCTTCTTTCTAGAAGATACCAAAAAATAAGTAAATAACTATGTTATTCATTTTTTCTAAATCCTGAATTTCCCTTTTCTTGACTGAATCCAAGAAGAAAACCCTCTTAGGAGGAGTTTTAAAATCAGCAGTAACTTCCTCATGTGGCATCCAGAATGCCACACTGTCCCGGTGTCCCTTCTCTCTCATGAGTCGCATTTCTCATCTGCATTTGCTGGTTCCACCTCATCTCTGACAGCAGAGTAACCCAGAACTCCAGCCTTGGACCTCTTTGTTGTCTACACTCATTCTCTTGATGAATTCTCCCAGGCACACAAATTTTGAAAAATCATTATTATTATCATTAGAAAACTTCTTTATTAAAAATCTACAGAGGCGGGCGCCTGGGTGGCTCAGTTGGTTAAGTGACTGCCTTCGGCTCAGGTCATGATTCTGGAGTCCCGGGATCGAGTCCCGCATCGGGCTCCCTGCTCGGCAGGGAGTCTGCTTCTCCCTCTGACCCTACCCCCTCTTGGGCTCTCTCTCTCTCACTCTCTCTCTCAAATAAATAAAATCTTAAAAAAAAAATCTACAGAGGCATTTAATTACAGTAAAATATACATCACAAATTTTACCATTTTAACCATCTTTAAGTGTACAGTTCTGCGGCCATAAATACATTCGCACTGTTGTACAACCATCACCACTATCCATCTCCAGAACTCTTTCATCCTTCCAAACTGAAACTCTGTCCCCATTAAACGATAACTCCCCATGCTCCCCTCCCCCAAGCCCCTTGCAACCACCATTCTACCTTCTATGAACGGGACTACTCTAGGAACCTCCTAGATGAGGAATCATACAATATTTGTCCTTTTGTGACTGGCTTATTTCACTTAACGTGTCTTCAAGGTTCATGCATATTGCACCATGTGTCTGAATTTCAATCCTCTGTAAGGCTGAATAATACTCCATTATGTGTATACACCACATTTTTAAATCCACTCATCTATGGAACCCTGGGTTGCTTCCAGCTTTTGGCTATTGTGAATATGCTGCTATGAACATGGGGGCACAAATCTCTTCAAGACCTTGCTTTCAATTCTTTGGAGTACATACTCACAAGTTCTGCTGAATTGCATGGTAATTCGGTTTAATTTTTTCAAAAATCACCATACTATTTTCTATAGTGGCTACACTGTAGACTGCATTAGGGTTCTAATTTCTCTATATTCTTATTTTATTGTTTTTTTAATAGCCATCCTAATAGGTGTCAAATGGTAGGTCACTGCTTTTATTCATATTTCCCTAATGACTTGTTACGTTCAACACCTTTTCATGGGAGTCTAATGGTTTTTAACACCATCAAAATGCAATACACTAAATTTTTATCTCCAGCCCAAACCTCTATGCTGCCCTTCAGACTCACATGCTTACTCAACTAAGAGCCATCTCAAGGTTACCATGGCCCCAAACGAATTTCTGATCTGCCCTCAAGTGTGTTTTTTCCATAGGCTTTCCCATCAGTAAATGGCAACTCTGCCATTTGCATAGGCCAAAACCTTGAAATCATTCTTGACTTCTCTTTCTCTTATACCAAGCATCAGCAAATTCTGAGAGCTGTGTCTTAATAATCAATGCAGAATCTCACTGCTTCTTGCCTCTCTACTGCAACCAAACTGGTCCAAGACATGGTCACCCTGAATTGCTCCAAGAGCCCTCTTACTGCCTCTGTACTGTCCTGCTACAGTCCATCTTCCATAATCTAGACAAAAGGGTCCCTAAAAAACTCACCAAACCATGTCACCTCTTTGCTCAAAACCCTTTAACAGTATCCCACCTTATTCAGAGTAAAAGCCAAAGATTTTACAACGGCCCACAAGGTCCTACGTGACGAGCCTACTTATTTCTCAGACTTCATCTCCTATTATTCTTCCACTCCCTCACCCTGTTAGAGACACACTGGCCTCCTTGTCGGTCCTTAAACAAGTCAAGTGCGCTTCCATTTCGTGGTCTTTGCATGTTCTGTCTGCCCAAGAACATTCATCCTTTAAGCAGCCTCATAATTCTCTCCTTCACCTTATTTTCCTGAATAACTGTCCAGCTTAGAATAGGTGCTCAATATATATTTAACACTGGTATTGAATTATTTCAGTTAAAAATCCCATCCACAAAAAGCCCAGAGTTTCCCGAACAAGGAAAAGCTCTGTCGCTTCCTGTTAGATATACCCCACAAAGCACACAAACAGCCTGCTCCTCTGAGGTTTTACTTACCCTGATCCCGGTGCCATTGTCTTGGATCTGAATCAACTTGAGGCCTCCCTCTTTAACAACCACTTGGATACTGGTGGATTTTGCATCTAAACTGGCAAATTAAACAGAAAAAATTTTTTATTATTCTGCAACTATTCTAATGTACATATTTTAAGATGAGCCAAGGTATAAGAACAAATTCCAGATAAATACAAGACTGTCTGGTTATTGTGTTTTTCCTCTGTTCTTTAGGCTCTGTGACTACACTGTAATGAGTTTACATGCTGTGTGAGAGAGGGGGAAGAGAGAGGCAGGAGGGGGCAATCATCATTTTCAATAAGACATTCAACACCATTTCTGTTCCTCTAGGAAAGAAAGTGAAAAGTAGGATCCTTTTACCACATGCCTATTTCTTACCCTCTTCTCAACTAATTTTGCCATTTATTACCTCAATTTTATTCAGTCTCGGGTTCCCAAGTGACCCTAATAAGATGCCATTTCAAAAAAATCATAAATGTGTTTTTCTACTATTTATTCCCTTTTAAGAAAATACATTTTGTTGGGGAAAAGAGAAAAAAATGGCAATGCAGAAAGTTCTTTGAGAGGCCAAGAAATCTTTCATACTTTCAAAGAGTAGCCAATATCACAAGAGCACAGGCTACAGAAAACAAATTCAGTCTGTGGCTGCTTGAGAAAGAAGTAATCTGCTCCACACAAAGAAAATTCTTTCTTCAAAAATAAGACAATAAGTTACTTAAATATTAAAGACCTTTCTCAGAAGCCCTTGAATTGAGGTTGTATTAGCCATCCCGATTTACATATTAAAAAGAGCATAACTGGACCCCACACAAAATCCCTGCTCATAGAACTAATTATAAACCACTTAGCTAATATGTTCAGTTTGGTTGTGCAGTAGTCTGGGCCATCAGATAATAGGCCCAGGTTATTCTGTCAGTGAATTGTAACATCGTAGAAACAAAAGCCAGCCTTTACAATTGGTGAAAAGAGAACCTGTTCCCATGTTCCCTGCTCCTTCTTTTGTCTACCTCCTAATTCTGTTCCTTTCCCTCAGTGGTCCTTTCTACACTGTTCTTTTAGTCTCACTACCCTGAGCGGTTATGTTTTCACTATCTCCCTACAAACCCACCATTCTTCACTGGGTCATTTTGTTTTCTTCGTGTATTTATTTTATTAACATCAGATGATTTCAACACGAAGGTAACGTTTAGGTACATCATGAGCATGTCTTCTTGAAGTTAATAGTTTACACCCACCTTTCTTTCCAGGTTTTTAACCTCTTCCTTCCACACTGTGACACTTCTAAACTTCAGAATCCACGGGATACCCTGATGAAATCAGGTATCTTCGATGTGCCCCCCCCAAAAGGTAAAGGGGAGGAAAACACTAAGTTGGGTCACTAATTTGGCAATAGGGCAATCACAAGTTAAACCCAGACAAAGTCCATCGGCCTGTCTAAAATCTCGACAATTTGTTTGGAATAAAATCAAACGAACTGTACTCTTGAATGTGCACGAGTTATTTTTGGAATATGCAAGAAACGTTAACACGCATAACACGGTACTCTCTGAAGTATGGCTGGAGATCGCCCCCCCCGAAAATGTTTATGCATTAAAAGTTTTGCACCTTCTGTACATATAATTTTTTTAAAAGTAGTTCCCTTAAATAATGGCGCCATTAAAACAATAAAATGTAGCCCTTCATTTGGACCCCCGAACAATCCTACTAAAGTCTCGCGAGAGCGCTCAGAAACTCGCGGCACCCGGGAAGGGAAAAGGCAGGACCCCGCGGCCTCCGGTGCCATGGGCATGCGCCGTACACGCCTCCGCCCGGGGCAGGGAGGCGTGTCCGCGCGCCATCCTGAAGAGGGGCCTGTTAAATCGTAGCTGATAAGGAAGCCCGGCTCCACTCCCTCCCTACCAGTTCTCAATCATCTCCTTGATGGCATTAGCCGGCCGCTGGATAACTTCCCCTGCCGCGATGCGGTTCACCACTGTCTCGTCCAACCGCCGAATAACCCCCGCTACGAGCGACATTTTCGCGCCAGAGGAGCCTAAGCCACGTCGAGAGGCTCACCGGAAGTGCCTTCAGCCAATCACCTCAGGGCTTCGTGCCCACGTCTTTCCACCAACTCTGTTTACGCGGTCTTGTCCCACCTTCCCGCGGCAGACGCTTCGGGACCAGGGAGCTATTGATTGGGCAGCTGGATGCCAGTCAAGTTTCTTAAGTCCGCGGGTTCCTGGGTCTCTTGGTCCCTCCCTAGCGGGCAGCTTCAGGCCCCGGGCTAGAAGGGTATGCGCCTGCGCGCTGTCCGCTCTCCCCATTGGCTCTTTCCTGGGCTAGGGAATACGAAATCTCCAGCCAATAGGAACGCAGGTGGCGTAGCCGGAGGTTGGTGTCCCCCTGCTGGGGTGATTTGGCGCAGAGTGGAGGAGGTGCTTGCTCCTGCCCCTGCTCCTCCCCTCTCCTTGCGGCCTCTCGGAGGTCGGCCCTCTTCTTGTGGCCTGCTGTAAAATGTGGATGACGCCCAAGAGGAGCAAAATGGAAGTCGACGAATCTCGGGTTTTCCGGACCGAGTGGACCCAGCGTTACTTGGTGGTGGAGCCTCCGGAGGGCGAAGGGGCCCTGTGCCTGGTCTGTCGCCGCCTCGTCGTAGCCACCCGCGAACGCGACGTCAGGCGCCACTACGAGGCCGAGCACGACTACTACGAGCGGTATGTGGCGGAGGGCGAGCGCGCGGCCCTAGTGGAGCGTCTGCGGCAGGGCGACTTGCCCGTGGTCGCCCCGCTCACTCCCGAGGAGAGAGCTGCTCGTGCAGGCCTCGGGCTCGCCCGCCTTTTGGCCTTGAAGGGTCGCGGCTGGGGTGAGGGGGACTTTGTGTACCAGTGCATGGAGGTGATGCTGAGGGATGTACTGCCCGAACACCTAAGCGTTCTGGATGGCATTGATTTATCTCCAGAGGTCACGCGGCAGAGGGTCCTGAACATTAACAAGAACCTACGCAGTCAGCTTTTTGACAGAGCCAAGGACTTTAAAGCCTATTCCCTTGCCTTGGACGACCAGGCCTTTGTGGCCTATGAGAACTACCTCCTGGTCTTTGTCCGCGGCGTGGGCCAGGACTTGGAGGTCCAAGAAGAGCTTCTGACCATAATCAACCTGACTCGTCACTTCAGTGTTGGTGCCCTTATGGCGGCAATCCTTGAGGCCCTGCAGACAGCAGGGCTTAGCTTGCAGCGAATGGTTGGACTAACCACGACCCACACTCTGAGGATGATTGGTGAGAACTCAGGACTGGTGTCGTACATGAGGGAAAAGGCTGTAAGCCCCAACTGTTGGAATGTTATCCATTATTCAGGATTTCTGCACTTGGAACTCTTGAGCTCCTACGATGTCGACGTTAATCAGATCATAAATACTATATCAGAATGGATAGTTCTGATTAAGACCAGAGGCGTTAGGCGCCCCGAATTTCAGGCTTTACTAACTGAATCTGAATCAGAGCATGGCGAAAGGGTTAATGGACGATGTCTGAACAATTGGCTTAGAAGAGGGAAGACTTTAAAACTGGTATTTTCCCTGAGAAAAGAGATAGAAGCATTCTTGGTTTCAATAGGGGCAACAACGGTCCATTTCACAGACAAGCAATGGCTGTGTGACTTTGGCTTCTTGGTGGATATTATGGACCACCTCCGAGAACTCAGTGAACTGTTGAGAGTCAGTAAAGTCTTTGCTGCTGCTGCCTTTGACCATATTTGTACCTTTGAAGTGAAGCTGAATTTACTGCAGAGACATATTGAGGAAAAAAATCTAACACACTTTGCTGCCTTCAGAGAAGTTGTTGATGAGCTTAAACAGCATCTTAAAGAAGATCAAAAAATATTTGATCCTGATAGGTATCAAGTGGTGATCTGTCGCCTACAGAAAGAATTTGAGAGACATTTCAAGGATCTCAGGTTCATTAAAAAGGACTTAGAACTTTTTGCAAATCCTTTTAATTTTAAACCTGAATATGCACCTATTTCAGTAAGAGTGGAACTAACAAAACTTCAGGCGAATACCAACCTTTGGAATGAATACAGAGTCAAAGACTTGGGGCAGTTCTATGCTGGATTGTCTGCTGAATCTTACCCAATTATCAAAGGGGTTGCCTGTAAGGTGGCATCCTTGTTTGATAGTAACGAAATCTGCGAAAAGGCTTTTTCATATTTGACTCGAAACCAACACACTTTGAGCCAGCCATTGACAGATGAGCATCTCCACGCCCTGTTTAGGATTGCCACAACTGAAATAGAGCCGCATTGGGATGACCTTGTGAGAGGAAGAAATGAATCCAATCCATAAGCCTTGGTAGTACAACATTGAGACACTCAAAGAGAATCTCATTCTAAAAGCAAACATTTGTCCGATTTTTCAAGTGAACTAATTTGGATTGTGGCAAAGCACCAAGTTTATTCATCCAAATTGATCACGATTCAGATTCTTCTGACAGATGTTTTTTTTTCATCTCAAGAGGCAGCATGGGACTGAGACATGCAAACACCTTTTTTAAAATTTAATTTAATGACAAAGTCATTGTATTTTGCTTTTATGATACGATTGTTTTTAAAGAAGTTCAGTACTGATAATGTGAGTTGAATTAGAAGTCTGTTTTTCAGATGTTTTAAAGAAATTTTAGGTTTTAACAAAGTGCTAAAATTCTGATGCATATGGTCTGAAGTTATAATTCCTTAAATGTATGTTTGAGCCAGTTTGCAGAAACTCACATAGTAAGTTCAGAAGTTTTTGAGAAGGAAGAACGTACATACATGGAGGTATTTTGTCTTAACTACCAAAATGTTAGTATTTTTTTTTTAAACATTTTTCTGAGTCTGAAGTCAACACTGACAGATTTCCTCTTCTCACCCCCCAACCTGCCCTAGTGATAATATTACTAGTAGAAGAGAATAATCTTAAAAATTTTAGTCAGAGGAGTAAGAATTATTTTTAAATTGCTGGTTTAGGACGCTTCCTGCATTTTGGAGATCATACTATCCAGTTATTGGGGGTCTCCCCTGAATTTTTCACAGTTGGGTGCTGTTTTATCAGCTTGCCTATTAAAGGACTACGGTAAGTATAGAATCTTAATAGTTGCCCATTAGTTATTCTTTATTCTACTCCAGACAAGTTTGGCCCTGTCAAAAAAGGATGACAGAATAAGATTATTGCCCTCCAGGATCAGGAGGTGTGAGATATTTTAGCTTATTATGCATGGGTGTTACTGCTTTATAAAGAAATCCTGTTTAAAGGAAACCCTTTATTTTAAAGTGATATGATATCAGATTGTGTTAGCTGCTGGAAGTGGATTTACTATAGAATTTAAAACTGTCCCACACATTCTATATTTACGATAGTGCACAAGTAGAAATACTTAACTCTCAAGAAGCAGCTTTATTAACAGATTGTAGCAATTCCGTATTTCTAGTGAGACATCTGCTTTGTGGAAAAACAGTACTTTCCAAACTTAAGTTAACCATGAAAAGGAAATCTTACAGTAAAGCCAAATATATAAAACGATTTAAAAGCAGGACCCAACTGAGAGGTCCTCTCAAGTACAATTTGCAAACCTGTGCTGAAGTCCGGTCTTAACTATTATAACACATTGTTCTTGGTCACTAATCCAGCAAATTCATGGAACCAGGATGCAACCAACAATTTAGAAGGAACTGATTCCCGAGCAACCAAAATAGATGCCATGAGAGCTCAGGAACCAAAATTGTGTCAAGGGTTCTTGACCAGAAGCAGTAACCCCTCTTTCCAGAGGTTGTTTGAAAATACAGGGGACTTTTGGTTGTCAGACTTACCTGGGGGGATTCTGCTGGCATTTAAGCATGAAGGACCCCCCCCCCCCCCCCCCCGTGGATAAGGCAGCCAGGCACAAAGGAGAATTATCCTTCCCAAAGTGCCAGTAGGTCCCCCGTTGTACCTTTGTAGATTATTTTATTTTGAGGGACAGGGCAAATTACCGGTAGAAGCAGAATGAGAAAAGCAAGTCGGGCAAACTGACACTAGTCGATAGGGGAGACTCATTCCAACGTTCCAGGTTTGGCTGGTAAGATGAAGTAAAGGCCTTGATAGATTCTGGTAGCTCACAGTAGCATTTAAGTCAGTGGCTTATATTGAACCAGACTAAAGGGCTCAGTTCTGTTAAACGGAATTAGAACAGAAAAGCAAGTATTAACAAGCTAGTAATTGAGGATGGTCAAGTTGAGATTTTCGGTGAACGGGGAGTAAGCTTAAATATCTGGAAAAACAACAATGAAAAACCAACCCCTCCCCCCAAATCTACCGGTAATTTGCCAGTAGTTTAGAGTCTTCTTTTTCATGGCAAGTGCTTTATTGAAAGAATGTTTGGAGGACCTGCTTCTGCTTTCCTACCCTAGTTCCTAAAATATTGAAGTCTTGTACATTTTGTGCAGTTCCACTATATATTTTGCTTAAGGTAATAAAACTAGTTTGCATCATGTAGTCACTGAGTTGGGGGGAGATATAAGCTAAGGATTTAAAACTGACCCTAAATAATAGAGAATTTGCTATAAATTAGTCTTGTTTGTAATAAAGAAAACTGTGTATATTATTGTTTTCTGTATTAAGTAATTCTGTAACTGCATGGCAGTCTTTAAAATTTTTTTTTTTTTACAAAATAGTTGTTACTGGTCCTATTGTATCAGTGGTTATAGTTAAAATAAGCACTATTTTTTAAAAACCCTATGTCCCTGTATCTCCCATTCCTACTAGTTTTCTTAAAAGATCTGTCTGTATTCCCAGTCTTAGTGCCACTCAAACTGCTCTACCCAGCTAGATCCTTGTCAGCATTCTTAACCCTCTTTGACACCACTGACTACTCTTCCTTGAAGTACTTGTATATGTTGGCTTCAGGGGTAGATACTATCTGCAGGTATGCTTTCTCAGTCCGCTTCGTAGGTGCACCCCTTTCGCCTGACATGTTTGTGTTGTGATTTTAAAATTTTGTTGTAGAGTCTCTTTCTACGTCATCTTAGCTGCTCTCATCCCTGACCATGGCTTCTGTTACCATCTGTATGCAAATGATCCCCAAGTTCATATCTCCTTTCTAGGCCTTTCCTAATTCATGTATCTAATTGCTGACGTAGTCACTCTGCTAACTTAAGTCCCCTCTTGTAGACACCATAGCATGTCATTGATCTTGCCCCCAAACCTTCTCTTCTGTTCCGTCTTTGAGTAGACGGCACTGCTGCTACCAGTTGCCCTAGCCCAAGCCAAAAACTGATCTGTCCATGACCTTATCATATCCACTCACGAAAACCTTTGTGTTAGGTCTACTGTCTCAAGTTTTTCTCACTTCTCCAGTGCTACCATCCTAATTCAGGCCATCAGTCTACCTAAATTAGAGCAACAGCATCCTTGTTAGTCTCTTTTTCTCTGGTTTTGATCATTTTTTATGCTGCAGCCAGATTGTTCTGAAAGACATACCTGGTCATATCTCTCCACTGCTTTCACCATGACATAGGATAAGGTACAATTTCTGTTCATCTTTGAGGTCTCAGTTTAAGTACCACTTCCTCTAAGAAGCCTTCACGGATGCCCTTTAGACTAGTGCCCCCACTGTGCACTCTCTAAATACCCTTTACTTTTCCCAGCCATACACCTGTCACATTTTGTTGCTACTTTTTATCTGTCACTGCTAGACTGTAAGCTTTACCAGGGCAGGGACTGTGCCTTGCTAGCTGTTCTATCTGTAGTGTTTAGCACAATGCCTGGCGTTCCAATAAACGTTTGGATGAATAAATATGTGTGTAGTGTTATGATCTTTGAAGCCCTTTCATAGTCTTATTTGACCTTTACTGAGGTCTTCCTGCCTTAGCCTGCTTGTTGGGTAATTGTTATTCACATATTATGAATTAAGAAATGAAACTAAGTTCTTTGTGACTAGGGAATTGTATTCCCAGAATTCAGCTCAGTGCTTGGCATGTGGCTCAAATATTTATTATGTGAATGTTGTTTGAGGAAACAAACATAGATTGCAATTTGCCCTAGTACATGTAAGTAGTAAAGCCAGGATTCAAACCCAGGTATACTTATATGAACCTATGGAATATTAAGTCTTTACCTCCTTTATTTAGAAGTCTTCATTTCTTTTCTTTTTTTTTCTAATTTCCAAAGATAGACTTCCAAAGGAACCTAGATGAAAAAGATTGGACAACTATTTAGTGGACTAAAATAATACTTTGGTAATCAAAAAGTTACACTCAGTATCAGAAAAAAATGCAGCAAACATGCATACTATTTACTTGCCACTTTCCTTTACAGATGATTTTTGGCTCTTCTGGGATTTAAAAGTAAATAAATTTAATAAGATATTAGAAGAGTGACTCTGTCTTCCTGGTCCCTAGATACCCAGTTCTCTTGCTTTCTTGCCTACAGAATGTCCTTATCACTTCTCCAAGAAAGATGACCCAAAAGTGACATGTAATCAAGGTGTACTTCTTAGATTTGCTATATTTCTTTGCTTTCCTGTTCACGTGCCTCTGAACTTAATTTCTGGGTAACCAGGGCTTTTGGGATTCGTGGAAGAACTATACTCACAGTCTTTTTCCTTGAGCCATTTTGTCCAATTTAGGGGATTAACCAGTGTTACACTAAGTTGGACTTTTAGTCTGAGGCACATTAACTTATCCAGAAATCTTAACAGTAGGTGTGATAGTCATCCAGTGATCCTTGCTGCAAAACTGGGTTTTAATGGGTTTCTTTAATCCTTTGGATTAAGGAATTTCTCATTTTTATCTTCTCATAATTGAGAAGTGGCCTCATCCTATCCAATAAGTACTCAGATTTGTGAACTCTACCCCCTTTCATTTCTGCTTGCAAATTGATGAATTCTGAGGTCATCTCTTTCTTAGACATTTTGTCAAATGCAGCCAACAGCAACCATAAAACATTTTGTTTTACTCCGCCCCCCCCCCCGCCCCTTAGTAAAGGATAGATTCTGTGCCTTACAGGCTTTCCCAAGAGATGGTTTCACCACTCCATAACATGAGTTGCCCCCATAAGTTACTTCTTCCATCCTCCAATAGCAATTTCCTGAGTGCCTACCAACTAAGCCAGTGTGTAGTATGTTGAGTTTTTTTTTTTAAATGGAGCCAATTTCTCTATCAGGATAGGCGAGGTTGTCATACAGTAACAGCAAAATCTCAATGCCTTGGGAACTTTTCTCTTGCAACTTGGCTAGGGACTTTGCTCGAGGTCGAGGGTCAGCAAACTACAGTCCACAGGCAGAATCCATCCTGTGGCCTGTTTGTGTAAATAAAGTTTTATCAGAAGAGAGCCTTGCCCACTTATTTATGTCTATGGCCGCTTTTGCTCTATAATGGCAGAATTGAATAGCTGTGACAAGGAGTGTACAACGCACAGAGTCTAAAATATTTGCTACATGACCCCACAGAAAATGCTCACTGATCCCTGCTCAAAGTTCTCACTCTGGGTCTCAGGTTAACCAGATATCATGTATGGTGTGGCTGCTCATTTTGGGAAATGAAAAAAAAATGCAGCAAATCACTTAGGCCTGTAAAGCGCTTTCACTGCCCAAAACAAATCCCATGGCCACACCAAAGTTCCAGGAAGACTGTAATCCTTCCCTGTGCCTCAGAAGAAAACCAGAACTATTTGGAAGACGACACTAGATTAACACGTGGTTATATCTATCCATTTCTCTAATTTCTTTAAAAATGTTTTTTATTGAGGTAAAACTATTGAGTACAGTGTGTAAATATTAAATGTATGCCTCAGTGGATTTTTTTATACACTCTTCAACCCATCACCCAGATCAAGATACAGAACATTTCTGGTACCCTGGCAGATGCTCTCATGTCCCTCCTGCACACAGATACACTATTCTGACCTTTATCACCAGAGTTTATTTTTGTCTTTTTAAAGCTTCATGTAAATGTAATAATTATATGTGCTCTTGTGTCTTTTGTTCAATACTATGTGACTCATCCACGTTGCATGTAGCAGCATTTTTTACTTCTGTGCAGTATTCCATTGTATGACTGTATTGCAATTTATAAATCCATTCTGCTGTTGATGGAAATTTTGGTTGTTTCCAGTTTGTGATTATGAATAAAGTTGCTATAAACATTTTCGAATCTGTCAGTGAACATGTGCACCCATCTCTCAGTATACTCTGGTATATACCCAGCTTCCATGCTTTCCTGTCATTATTCAGACAGCAACTAGAGTGATCCCTATTGTAAAAATATAAATCAGACCATGCCAACCTCTGCTCGGAATCCTCCCAATGGCTTAGTAGTATAATTAGAATAAAGTCCAATATTTTTATTGTGGTCTACAAAGCCCTGCATGATCTGCACCCCACATAACCCTTTTTCTTCCTACCCTGTCTTCCGTCACATCCTTCAATCCCTTTCCCTATCCCTAGTCACTGTACTGGACACTGCTTGCGAATTGGGGAATCAAGATAAATGATTTGACCCTGTCCTTAAAGTGGTTGTTACCTATAATTTTAACAAGCCGTAACACTAGTTTGTGTTAAATCAATTACTGTACGGAATAGGAGGCAAATTTGCACTATGATTCATTAGTGTAAAATAATTTAGAATTATAAAAGTGTAAAGTAAATTGCAACCCTGGGAAGGGATTTAGAGAATAAGATTAAAATGTAAAAGCTTCCTGATAAATTTAAAAAAATGTGTATAGTCTTGCATTTTAGTTCTGTTGATTATGAATTAGAGTTCACCAACTTGACTACTCTTACAACCTAACTGTTTGCTATTACATGTTCATTTCCTTGAGGGATAAGAGGGAGATGGTGGGGATGGGGGTGAGAAGGCATTGGAATAAATAAAGAAGTGTTGATACTAAGCACGTTCCAAAAAAGCACCCTCATAACAAAGGGCCTCCTTTAACATCGTACCATTATTGATATATTGATTATTGTAAAATAACTGAAAGAATTTGACTTAAACTCTTTCCACATTTTTTTTACTTTCTTAATATATAATTGAAGTACAATAAACTGCACAGCTTAAAGACACATGCGTGAAACTCACCACAATCAAGATAATGAACATTTCATCCTCCCCTAAAGGTTGCCTTTTGGTTTTCACTAGTGGGAAGGGAAATTTACTCCAATTTAAGTGGGGGTGGGGAAAAAGGACATTATTAAAAGAAGATGAGGTTCTCTCAGAGCCACTTTTGTTGACTTCCCTCTCTGAACTTTTTTTAAAAAAGATTTTATTTCTTTATTTGAGAGAGAGAGAGTACAAGCAGGGGGAGTGGAGAGGGAGAAGCAGGCTCCCTGCTGAGCAGGAAGCCAACATGGGGCTCGATCCCAGGACGCTGGGATCCTGACCTGCGCCCAAGGCAGACTCCTAACTGACTGAGCCACCCGGGCTCCCCTCTCTGAACTGTCGTATCACTTTTGCCAGCCAGCCTTTGAACATCTCCCTGGCTGTCTAGCACCACTCCACTCCAGTGCCACTGACCACTGACCCAGTCTCCTACTATGCCAATTCCACATTCTTGGGCAGGACCTGTGACAGTGCAGGCTGGTGATGTCTTCCCTGAGGCGAGGTTTGTTTACCCATAGTGAAGTGAGTAATGCCTGTGAAAGGAAGAGGCCACTAATGTATTTGGTAGGGCTTTCTGGTTGTAAGAAACCAACTTGTGCTAGCTAGATTAGAGAAAGACAAGAGAATCTCATGGAAACCAAGTAGGGGAATAAGATTCAGTGGTCATTTGACAATCACTAAATGAAAGCCTACTAGTGCCAGGCACTTGTCTGGGCACCAGAGACTCAGATTCCTAAGCCAAATAAATTTCCTGCCTTCATGGGTCTTGTTTGTGTCCTCCTTGCTCACCTGCTTCTTTGTCTCTGAACACCAGCTTCCCCTGCATGTATGTGTGTGTATAAATTTTTATAATGGGGGAATATGGTTGTTGTGATTGCAGAGATGTTTTTCTCTAAAGGGATCTATAACATGCAGCTCTAGGCCCAGTGCTTTAGTCGAGGTGGGTTGAAGAGGAAGCCTCTTTAGGAGGGTTTGGGCTGGGCAGATGCACCAAAAGTTGCCTATCACATCTCTCAGTGCTTAGCAACCACTGATATTTTAAAGTTATTCCAATAGTTTATGGCCTTCCGTCACCAGCATTCTCATTGACCCTTCTCAATGAGAATTTATAGAACTGAATATTCAAGAGTCCATAGAAAGATCATTTACGCCAACTCCTTTACAGGTGGAGAAATTGGGTCCCAGAGAGGTGGCTAAGGTTATTCTGAATTACGCAGCAGATCCAGGGTTGAAAGCTACTTCCTGTTCCTGTGCTTTTCGCACTCTGCCATTCTGTCATTGCCAGATTGGCTCTTTGCCCCCATTCCTTTCAAGGAACTACCTGTTTGCCAGGAGGGGGACCCCAGAGTCCTCACAGTCTTGGCCTTTGGCTCTGGCTAGCTATGGCTGAGACAGGGTATCATCTTAGCGCTTAACAGAAATCCTTTAGGAATCCAGAATTCTTTGAGATATTGTTACATTAGATATACAGTAAAAATTATTAAAATTTTCATATTTTGATGGGTATTCTGAAACAGTCTAAGTAGTGTACAGTACCTGTTTCTAGAGGGTTTGAAAAAAATCTGAAAAGAATGGGACTGGTGCCACTTAGGTAGTTTTTTTTTTAATTCTTTATTTAAATTCAATTAATTAACACATTGTGTATTATTAGTTTCAGAGGTAGAATTTAGTGATTCATCAGATGCATAGAATACCCAGTGCTCACTCCATCAAGTGCCCTCCTTAATGCCCATCACCAGTTACCCCATCCCCACCACCAACCTCCTCTCCAGCGACCCTCAGTTTGTTTCCTAGGGTTCGACGTCTCTTATGGTTTACCTCCCTCTCTGTTTTCATTTTACTTTATTTTCCCTTCCCTTCCCCTATGGTCATCTGTTTTGTTTCTTAAGTTCCACATATGAGTGAAATCATATGGTATTTGTCTTTCTCTGACTGACTTATTTTGGCCTAGCGTAACACCCTGTAGTTCCATCCCCATCATTGCAAATGGCAAGATTTTGGGTTTTTTGATGGCTGAGTAATATTCCATTGTATGTATATGTACCACATCTTCTTTATCCATTCATCTGTCAGTGGACATTGGGCTCTTTCCATAGTTTGGCTATTGTGGACATTGCTGCTATAAACGTTGGGGTGCATATGCCCCTTTGAGTCATTGTGTTTGTATCCTTTGGGTAAATAGCCACTTAGGTAGTTTTTTTACAATTTTTCAATTTCTTCTTATGACTCTTGCATATTGAATTAATTTCAATTTTTTATTTTCTTAGGAAATTTTCCATTAAATTAAGGTTTTCATATTTATTTCGAAATAAATATTTCATATTTATTGCGTTGTTCATAACATTTTAATTTTATCTCCTCTGTTCTTCTGGTTATATTCCCTGTCTCATTCCCAACGTTTGGGCTTTCTCTTTTTCTTAATTAGTCTCACTACAGATTTTTATTTTCTTGTCCTTTTCAATGAATTTGCCCTTGTGTTCTATAAGTGCTATTCTACTAAGTATCCTATAAAATAATTCTATTTTTTAATTCATTGATGTCTGCTTTTATTTTCTTTAATTAATTCTTCCTATTTTCTTATTCTTTTTCTCCCTTCAATTATTTTTTCATATCCTTGAAGTGAATATTTGTACACTTTGTTTAACAGCTAACCTATCTTCATCATACATCAAACCTATTATCAATATAAAGTAAATTTCTAAGGCCTTTATTATGCCTTTGATTGACTTGAATTCTTCTTTGACTGACATGGATGCTGTACCACACCACCTAGATACCTCAGTCAGCACTGAGGTTCTTATTTCATCTCTAAAAACCAAGAACACTGTCATATGTAATTATAATACTATCATCATAGCAAATTAATTCTTCGACAAAAACTAATGTCTAGTCCATATTCAGTTTTCACCAGTTGTTCTCAACATGGACTTTTTAAAGATAGTTTCTTCAACTCAGGATCCAAGCAAAGTCCACACGCTGTATTTGGTTGTTGCGTCTCTCACATCTCATTTAACCCAGAGGAGTCCCTCTTCCTGCTCCACATTTCCTCATACCATTGTTCTGTTCAAAAAGCCAGGTCTGCTGCTGTAGAGACTGTCCCACAGGCTACATTGATCTGTCTTCTTTCTTGTTGTATGTAATTTGTTCTTCTATCCCCCATATTTTATTTAGTCTTGAAGTTCATGCTAAAGGCTTGATTTTTTTTAATTTTTTTAATGTTTTATTTATTTATTTGACAGAGAGAGAGAGAGCACACAAGCGGGGGGGGGGCAGCAGAGGGAGAGGGAGAAGCAGACTCCCCACTGAGCAGGGAGCCTGACATGGGGCTCAATCCCAGGACCCTGGGATCATGACCTGAGCCAAAGGCAGATGCTTAACCTACGGATCCACCCAGGTGCCACTAAAGGCTTGATTTGATTCCGGTGGGACTGTTGTGGCTAGAAGGCTGGAAATATGTTAGTGTGAGCTTTCTGCTGCTTCACAACAGGATCACAATCTGCCCATTTCTAGTAAGACTGGAACTGGTCAGTGGGGCCACGATTGCAACTCCATCCTTCTCCTGTCAGGCTCCCTCCCAGTCTCTTAGCTGATGGCTTTGATCCACTGGATCCAATGATCCAGTGACCATCCACTGGTCACTTAACCAACTGAACCACCCAGGCGCCCTCTTCTGGACCCTTTCATTCATTAGGACTTACAATATCGTTGTCTTTCTAACTCTATCATTTCTTCTATACTTATCAGCTGCATTCTTCTGGAAAGTAGAACTTTTCCTTAATAATAGGACTATTTAGTTACCTTGAAATATAGTTAGATGCCAAGGAGTCACAGACAAGATCCCCGAGGGTAGGAATTCATTTTGCTTTCCTGACGAATCTTCAGTACCAAGGCCAGTGCCTGACACCAGTAGGCCTCCACTAAACCATTGTTGAAAGAAGAATAAATGGGGCGCCTGGGTGGCTCAGTTGGTTAAGCGGCTGCCTTTGGCTCAGGTCATGATCCTGGAGTCCCCGGATTGAGTCCTGCATCAGGCTCCCTGCTCAGCAGGG